GGGGGGGGGGGGGGGGGTTTACATCTGTGTGCCGTGGCAGACGGGGTTTGCGGTCGGATATCTTACCAGCTTTGACCATTTTGGTGGATTTGTCTATGTTGATTCCAGGAGCCAAGTCACGGATGCAATCGACGAGTTGGATGAGGCTAGGTGATGTTGAGGAAGAGTGAGAGGGGCAAGGAGGAGTTCCGACGTGGCCGTGACGCAAAACACCGGAGCTGAGCTTGCGCCAGCCGCAGCCATGACACCAAACTAAAAGCCCTCCTCGAGCGCCTTCTTGGAGCTGCAGGTGGGGTTTGTGCACATGTTCGATGATGCCATTGCCTGCCTCATGCTTGGCGTCCGGCCGGCTGACTAAAATCAGGATCGTCGAGACGTAGTAATGCAATTTTATGCACAGTCCACCAGTGTCACGCAACAACTCCAGCAATCCTCTCACCAAGTTCCAACCACGATCGCTCCAGCCTGGAACTAGGCAAGAAATCACCGGCCAAATCAGCATCGTTCTCATAATGGCGACACGAGAGGGCCTATGACCGTTCTGTGCTCGTAACCGATGCAGCAGCGACCTATCGATCTAGGTATCGTGCCGAGTTCGACAATTCTTCGAAAAGGCAGTGGTAGGTCGCTTGGAGACACGCCCACAGAATCACTTGGCAACGAAACCAATTTGCTCGCCGGGCGACCACACAACGGATAATCACGTCCGTCACAGCCTGTCCGAAAGCGACCAGGCAGGGCAGACAGATTCGCTACAGTGGCAAGCAGCACGCGGCTGTACTGCTGCTGCTTTGAAAGCAGGCTCCGACAACGACCAGGCCATGCCGATGGTGGCAGATAGGGAGAGGAGAGCACAGAGAGACTCATACTGAGGTATTCATTGTCCATGGGGCCCTAAGAATTTAGTACAGTCGCTTGATAGAAGCAACGCACCGTTCGGCCATGATCGTCTATCTTCCGACACGATATGCCTATTTCTCTGACAATTGCGAATCTGTTTTCTGATATATACTTCTGGCCTTTGGGTCAAAAGTTTGTCCAGCGAGCCCTTGCAATTCATTTCTCGTTTTATGTACAGCCCTTGCATACTAATACATCGCATACTAATACATCTGTGCCGGGGCGCTCCTGGCTTGAAATATTCCTTACCCGACGAAATGATTTGTGGAAATGGAATCACGAGAGGAGCACCTCAAGCATCAATATCAATATTTCGCCCAGATGACTCGACGTGCCTATAGCCAACCGCGACTCCCCAAGTAGTGCTGACAATCCCGATTCCAGGATATTCCAACGCTTGTCGTCCAATATTGTCGTCTGTAGTCTAAGCTATCGCCAGCCAAGATCTGACGATGATGAGATTTTCATCCTTTTCCCCCGAACGAGTTGGCAGAGAGCTTTCATGCGACGGCAGGCAGCCCTCTGCATGGGAGGGATCGTCATATCAAAACCACGTGCTATATGGCATCAGGCGGAGAGAGCCGTTTGACACTTCCCCGCACACAAGTATCTCGAATGTCGAGTCTCGTCCCTCGGTCCGTCAATCTCTCGTGCCAACTGTCCTTGGTGGCAAGGAAAAACAAAAGCAATCGTCCTTGCGAGAACGGGACCTCCACTGTCAATGCTAATGAGAAACGCTACCCTTAAGTCTTCACACCATGCACCGCTTCTTCCGCATCTACAAGCCTGGCTGGACGAGAGCCCGGTACAATGGTGCCTTATGGCTCAACGTCATCTCATTCGCACTGCCCGCTCTGTATGCTACACTGGTCAAGCTGTGGGTTGCAAAGATCGACTCGCGAATGGTTGTGACGACAGAGTATGTCGGCTCTCCGTCCCTCCTCTGGGGGCAATGCCCTCATCGCAGATGGCTGACAGAAAAGAACCTGAAGCACATATACGTACATCACCACCATGACAGAAGTCGTAAATGAAGGCCTGCCCCGAGCGGCATGGTCCACCATCGGGGACACCACCGCGCCGTACGCCCGCCGCCTGTCCCTCACATACACCCTTCTTGTGGCCCAATCCATCCTCGGCCTCGTCATGTCCATAGCAATTCTCGCTGGCGCCGAGACGTTCGCCCAGGGCTTCGTGCCCATCCAAGTGCGTCGGCACAGCATAACGTACGTGCGGATCAGCTCCTTTTCCGCGCTTAGCAGTGCCATCGAGGCGGCTGTCGCTGCGTCCACAAGGGCCCTGGATAGGCCTGATGTGCCGCTCGTCCTGTCCAGCGTCAAGTTTGCCGTGAACATCGTGCTGGACATGCTGCTCATTTCGACGTTTCGTGTGGGGGGGCACAAGCCTACTTTGAATATGCAGGCCGACATTCAGGTTGCTTGCAATCTGGCCGCTGCGTTCAGCGGCCTGGGGTACCTGCTTGCCGTAGAGCGACACCGCAACAAGGAAGATGAAGGAGGAGGAGGAGGAGGAGAAGAAGAAGAAGAAGAAGAAGGACAGCCGACTGTATCGACACCATCTATTCAAGCTCTCAAGGTCCTAGTTCCGCCTGGACTGCCGACTTTTATCGAATCACTCGTTCGGAATGCCTTGTACCTCTGGTTAATCACCAACATCACCAGCCTGGGAACGACGTACGCCACAGCATGGAGCATTTTCACCACGATCCGCTGGGGCCTTGTCATGGTGCCCGTGTCGGCGCTTGAAGCAACAACATTGACGTTTGTAGGACACAACTGGTGCAACTGGAAGCGCCAGTCTGTTGGTGTAGGCGTTGGCGTGACCAGCGTCAGTCTCCGTAGCTTGGCTGGCATTGCACGACCGGCGTTCAAGTCGATCCTCATCGCGTTGGTCTTTGAAGTTCCTTTTTGTGTGTTGTTTTCTTTGTGGGGGGTAAGACCGTTGGCAAAGTTCCTCAGCGCAAACGACGACGTCGCCGACGTGACAGCCCGTATGTGGAGGACTATTGACTGGTGCTACGTCTTGTATGCCGTTTCGACGCAGTTGGCTTCCGTTTTGCTGGCAACTAGACCGAAGTGGTATCTCTGGCAGAGTTTGGCAAGCCAATTGTACGTGTTGCCTTGGGCCGTCGTCTGCCAAGTAGCACATTTGGACGAGACGAATGCGTGGACATATCACGCGCTAGTGTTTGGGGGAAGCTTAGTGTTTAGCTTTTTTTCTGTTCCCGTGGTCTTGGGGCTCTGGGCGTGGGTTTTGAAAACAGGCAGAGCGCGTCTAGAAACAGTAGGACATTGAAACCAGTTGCAATGGATATGATGGGCCCTTCAGTTGTTCTTGTATACAATGTTATGCGGTGTTTAACTAACAGGGCTGATCTCCGTCATGTCGTTGCACTTCGTATGATATTAGCGCTTCTTTCGTCTCTCGGCACGATTCGACATGGGAAGGGCTTTGGATGACTCGTTAAGCCATTGGTAAGCTCTACTTTGGGTACAACCACGTTTCCGTTCTCATCCCTGGCCATTTCAATGTTCATGGTGCTTAGCATGGTTGCTACCACTATCCAAACGCTAGCCTCTGCCAGATGTTTCCCGACACATACTCTACGACCATAACCAAATTGGCCAATGGGCAGAGGCTCTCCTAAACCGCCATCCTGTTTGGCCGCATATCTATCGGGATTGAAATCATCCGGTTCTTGAAATGTCGATTCGTCGTGAGTCATGGCTCGAGCATTTGCATATACGACAGATCCTGCGGGAATGAAGTAGCCATTGTAGGTGTCATCTTCCAGTGACTTGTGTGGGACCCCCATGGGAGACACAGGGCACCATCTTAATGTTTCCTGGACAATAAAGTCAATATAAGCGAGCTGTGGCCGGTCTTTGAAACTTGGCAGCCTGTCGCGGCCGGTGACGGTGTCCAACAGAAGTTGTGCCTTGATCTGTATCTCGGGGTGCAGCAGCATGTTCAGAATAAACACAGTCAGAGTTGCCCATGTCGTATCCTGGCCGGCTGCAAAAACAGCACCGGCCGCCCCTTTGATATCGTCATGCGACAACTCGGGCTGCTCTCCCCTTTCAATCTGAGCCTGCCTCTGGTCAAGCATGTCTTGTATGAGGGAGTTGGTCCTTTCTTCGGAGGCTAACACGGCATCGAATGGCTTGTCATGCAGGTTGCAAATGGCCCACTTCCAATCCCTGGCGAATTTGAGTGAACGATCGTGAAAACAGGACGGGAGGCAGTTGAGAAAGGGGAAGAAGTCGACCGGTGTTCCGGCGGGGGCCCCTCCATGGGCCAGAGCATAGCTAGCGTCCGCAGCAACTTGAATGAATGGATCGCCGTCCCGTTCTACTTGGATGCCGAAACCGATGGAGAGAACGACGGCGGTGGCGAAGCGTCGAATAGCGTTATCCCACAGGGCCGGGCTGGCAAGTATGCCATGCAACATCGAGGCGGCTTCCCGCTCTTGTACGGGGCGGTATTGGGCAATGTTACTTCTTTGGAAGTTCTTTTGCAGGATTCGACGGTGCGTCCTGTAAGTCTGACCCCAAGGCAAGAAGGTCAGTGTCTTGCCCCATCCCATGATCTCGAACAAGACAAATCTTGGCCTGTCACAATAATTGGCACCTCGTTTATCAAGGAGGTCCACCGCGGCACGGACCGAGTTGAGGACAATGACGGGCTGCCCAAGGATATTGAAGGACAAAATGTCCGACTTGTATTGGCGAGACCATTTCATATAAGCGTACTCGGGATTGTCTGTGGGAATAAGACGCAAATGGCCCAAGATTGGTTCTCCAGGCGGGCCAGGGGGGAGCGGGAGATGGCCACGACGGCGTTTTTTCGTCGAGAATAGCAGCTGTACTAGCCGACACCCAACGAGAACGGCAATAGCAACAGACACGAGGGTCGAGGCAGGAGACGAAGACAAGGGAGACGCTGTAGCCGGAAGCGTCCACAAAGCCATGTCGTCCGGACTGGCGCTGGAGCGGCCCTCGCCCTAGTCTCGTGGCTGCGTGTGGCGGCGGTCGGTGAGTCGCCTCTGCGCCACGCGGTGCCAGGCGTCCGGGCTGGTAGGACAAGAGAACAACGGTGGGACAGTATGAAGGTAGGGCAGTAGGACAGTAAAACGACTGATATTGCGTGCAAACTCAGGCTCAAGGGATGTATCGTCTTCTAATACCTCCCCTAGCTTGTTGGCAACCTTATTTATCTGCCTGAGTGTTGTGGGCGTCTCAAAGTCGGAAGAGTTGTTGTGATATAACGGCGGCGGCGATGGTGTTGATGTGTAAATTGCAGCTCGTTGTTCAAGGGCCTCAATTACAGGCTGTGGATTGTAGGGTGAAATTCCAGTTTTTCGAAAGGCTGTGAGAATAGTAGTAGTCTTGAAAGCTTGTTTTCGTACAGCTTGAATGCAAGCAAGGAATTCAATCTTTGTAATATTCAACACGCCGTCTCGAACAATGATATCCAACGCCTTTGCATGATAATGCTTTAGTGGCTGAAATATCACAACATCAAGAGGTTGAAGGATGTGTGTAAGGTGCGAGGGCAACGCAAAGGGAATTATATCGTGCTGTTCGCAGTATTCAACGAATTCAATTGTATGGTGTGATCCGTGGCCATCTAGGATTAAAAGGCGATATCTGCCTATTGGCGTTGCAAATTCCTGAAAATGCTGTATCCAAGCAACTGCAATTTCGTCATTCGTAAAGCCGGTTGGTGAGACTGTTATTTTGGTATTAGCTTCAAGCTCCTTTATCCGATACCAGGACTCCATGTGTTTTTGCCCTGTAAGGATAAGAAAGGCAGGAATAACTTTGCCGCCAGCAGAAATGCATTCTATTGCTGTTGCAGTCTCCCTGTTTTCTGGCATTGAAAATAGATGCGCTCTTCTTCGCTTTGTAACAACTAAATGGTCCTTTCCCATTCCAATACGAAAGCCAGTCTCATCCATATTCCAGATATCTTCAGGAGGGACTCCGTACTGCTGAATAGCCTCTTTAAGCTTGTTGTAATAAGAAAGAGCTCTTGTCACATCTTCTGAAGCTTTTCGACTTGAATCAATCTTTTTTTGAAGACCTTTATGATAGTGATGCCGCTGGATAAAGCGTGTAGTCCATCGCGTTCCAACTTGCCTAGGCGGGGCAGTTGACGATGCCCTCTCTTTTAGGATGTAATTTGCAGCATCTGTAATGAATTCAGGTCGTACAGCGAAGTTGGCCTTATCAAGGCGATCGATATAGTTACATAAAGCAACTTCCTCTTCTCGTGAAAGCATTGTATTTCTTGCTGGATGGCCTTTCCTAGCAGGAACGCCGTTAGCACGTCGTTGAAGCCGGCTACGAGGCACGTTGAATTTCTTCGCCACAGAGCGAATTTTTGCACCTGGATTTTCCTCAATATACTCAAGAGCCTCGTTGACACGTAATTCGACATCGCTTTTTGCCGTTTGGACGCTAGTTGCAGCCATTTTCGCGGTTCAACGCGTCTAGGTTGAAAATTGGCCCGCCTTGGTGTCCGGCCCGCCTTGCTGTCGAGCACCACCTTTGGTGGTGAGGGCTTTTGCTAGCCGAACCACATAAAGTGGGGCGGGCACGATTAGGGTGTCGTGTCAACAAGTTGGTGCTGCTCGATGGCTTTGTCCGAGTGGCCGAGCAGCCAAGTCGTCAACGCTCAGAGTCTCAGACGTCGTCAACGGATCGGACCTGCCCACCCGGGGGCTACAGGGGCTGCAGGGGCTACAAGGGGCCATTTGCTCCACTAACCCACTAACCAGTTGACCTTTAAATATTCCAGCCCTGGATCACCCCATGTCAATCAATACGTCACGAAGAAGTCAAGTCGCTACGTACATCACATGTCTTCACACGCACACAAGTGTCCATTTGAGGCCACCCGACACCCCAAGTAACTACGTAGGTAGGTATTTTATATGCCTGCCCTCCTAGGTATGTAGATCTAATCCAGATGCCCAGTACTTAGGGCTTCATGGCCTTGAGAGAATAGCTCACGCTTCGTTGGTACATGTAACATGTCCATTGGGACGGGTGTCTGTGAGACATGCCTGACATGGACGCACAAACTTCCACGTTGATGTCTTTCCAGGACGCGGTTCGCTGGTACCAGTTGACCTGGACATGTATTTGAGACCCCAGGCACGTACGTGTAGTCTAGTAACATCTCAACCGCCGACCCTAATCATGCAGCGCGTGGTAGCAGAATCGTCTGGTCCCGTGTCGAAACATGTCCCGCATCGCACCCGAGTCCAGACTCCCTCTCATGCTCCTGGCAAGGTCTCTTGGAAAGCTTCAAAAGCTTCTTGTCATGCCGTGTTGCCGTGTCTTGTTTCGGCATAAATTTCTTCTACAATGCCCCACCAAAGTCAGGATGCCCAACAGCTCCGTTGCAAAGCTGCCATCTCCAACCAAGACTCCAGCTTTGACTTCACCTCTTCACAGGCAGAGCAGGGAACGCTAGCCGAGCATGCCTTGTCTGTCACGGAGGCCATCAAGACATATCCAATGGCTATATTCTGGGCCTTGATGGTGTCCCTCACCGTCGTCATGGAAGGATACGACACAGCTCTGTAGGTATTCACCCGAGAATTTGTCCATCCATGGCCCCTGTAACTACTCCATGCTGACACCATGTCCCAGCATTGCCAGCTTCTTTGCGTATCCGCCATTCGTCCAGAAATACGGCCAATTTGCCGACGAGAATGGCCAGCATCAGCTGTCTGCGCCGTGGCAGGCTGGGCTGGCCAACTGTGGTGTCGTCGGCGCCTTCTTCGGCACCCTGATCAACGGCCTGCTTGTCGACCGGTTCGGACAGAGGAGGGTGCTAGTCGGTGCCCTCGTCCTCCTCTCTGGCTTCATCTTCATGAACTTTTTTGCACCAAACATTATCGTTCTGGCCGTCGGGCAGCTTCTCTGCGGCTTCCCCTGGGGCATATTTACCTCGTCGGCACCGGCGTACGCGTCCGAGGTGCTGCCGCTCAGCCTGCGCGTTTACCTCACCTCGTACAGCAACATGTGCTTCATTATTGGCCAGTTGATTGCAGCCGGTGTTCTGGTCAGACTTGTCGATCGGACAGACGAGTGGGCGTACCGCGTCCCGTTTGCCATTCAGTGGTTGTGGCCGGCCGTACTCGTCGTACCGCTCTGCTATCTTCCGGAGTCGCCGTGGTACTGGGTACGGAATGGCAAGATGGACGAGGCCGAGAAGTCCCTGCGTAGATTGCAGCGAAAACACGCAAATATTGATACAAAGGCTACGTTGGCAAATATTGTCCACACCAATGAGCTCGAGAAGAAGCATGCCGCCGGCACCAGCTACCTGGACTGCTTCAGAGGGGCCGAGCGGCGCAGGACCGAGATTGCGTGTGTTGCCTGGGCCGGACAGATACTCGCGGGCTCAAGCTTTGCGTACAACTCGACTTATTTTTTTCAGCAGATTGGCCTCGGCACCGACACCATATACACGCTCAATATCGGGGGCAAGTCCATCGCCCTGGCCGGCACCTTAGTAAACTGGGTTGCGCTAGTGCCCTACTTTGGCCGGCGCCAAATCTATCTTTGTGGACTTCTCACCATGTCGGCTCTACTCTTTGTAATCGGGGTGCTGAATGTCTGGAATCGAAACGCCGATATTGGAATGGCACAGGCCGTGCTGACTCTTGTCTGGACATTCATCTTCCAGTTATCTGCAGGTCAGCTGGGCTGGGCTGTTGCCGCTGAGGTCGGGTCAACGCGTCTCCGGCAAAAGACAATCTGCCTCGCCCGAAACTCTTACCTTGTCGCCATCGTCATATCCGAAGTCTTGCTGCCGTATCTTATGAACCCACGACAGTGGAATCTAAAGGGCTATACCGCCTTCTTTTGGGCCGCTACGGCATCCCTCACCTTTTGTTGGGCATTCTTCCGGTTGCCAGAGACCAAGGGTCGGACGTATAAGGAGCTTGACTGGCTTTTTGCCAAGCGCACTCGTACGAGAGCTTTTGCCAAGGCCCCAGTCGATCCGTATGATTGAAGCGGCAAGTTGATCCCGTGCGAATATCAAGTTGGCCGACTAATAACAAGCCAATCTGGCTTCTTTATAAGAGCTCTTCAGCTAGTAGCCATTAGCTAGCAGCAAGAAGAAGAAGCAATGTATTATACATACAAGCTTTCCTTTTTTTCGGCGCAAAAATTTCTACATCGTTCGCTTTACTCTTCGTTCTTCTTGTGAGAGTAGTGATTAGAAATATGTGAACATGACAGATATATCACAAGCCGCTTTCATGCCAAGGAAAAGAATGGGAAGCGTCGTCTGTAGCCCAACGTGACAGAAACAGCTTCAATGAATACGTACGAAGAAACGCAGGTCTGACAAAGTCTCGACACGCACCGTCCAATACGAACCAGCATTCTCCGAGTTTGCCTGTCTGTGTCTGTGTGCCTGCGTGTGAGTGACAGCTGTCAAGTCGGGCATCCAGGAACCTACCCGTCGTGGCAGGTGCGGCTGCTGACCAAGCCTGACTGACTCCTTCTCTTTGAAGACTGCTGCTCGCTCCAGAAATAGACCAGTTGACCTCGATTGCCAAACGCCATATCTTGCAGGGCAACAACATCATACATCATCGTCGTCGAATTCGGCCGCTTGTTCTACGGCTCTACGGCTCTACGGCACTACGGCACTACGGCACTACGGCACTACGGCTCTACGGCTCTACGGCTCTACGGCTCTCAACACTAGGGGTGCCAGCCGGCAAACTAGATTGCGACTTCATCCCCCTGTTCGATGGTGTGCCTGGCTGCTATTTTCGGCCACGCTGTCGGCGCGAACATTGCGATGACACCACCATTCTAGCGCGAGCCATTATTGATCGTGGCGGCAGGGTATATCTGGCATCCACGGAGTACTCCGTACCACGGCGTGTGATGCAAACCCAACTTCCCAAATCGGGAACGTCGTTTCGCACTGGTCAACACCGGCATGAACAGTTCCGCTACCAAGGCACAAGGGCGGGGACAAGCAAGGCCTCACACATGACGGAAATACAACCTCTTGGCGACAGCCACATTCATTTTCACCTCCGCATGCCATGTGTCAACAAAGGACGAAGGCTGTTTCTCTTCTCACGCCGGGCCATCATTGGACTGAGCCCCTACCTAGATTCATGCAGCCGTTTCTGTATAGGGCATCGTCTTCTCAATGGACGACGATGACGTGCGGAGATAAGTGTCGAAATGAGGCACAATTGCCTCAAAGACGGGCAATTACGGAATAGACAGGCAACGAATTCCGACACTCAGCCTCTGCTATTAACTGTCCATGAACAATTGCTTCTGTGCTAACATGCTGGGTTTGGTTGGTGCAACATGTATTTGTGTCAACATTTTCATCGTGTTGTACACAAAAATGGTTTGTTGAACTTGACGCCTTCTGTCTGGCTCGAATATCAGTTCGGTAGGGAGTAGCTAATTTCAATTTCGAGGCTGCTGCCATTGATATCCCCCCTCGATTGGTTTCCGCACTAACACAATTTGAACTTTTACTCTTGCAGGGAATCCGTCCGTATCCGCACCTTCAAATTAACACGCACCATGTCCTGCAATGTGGTGATAACGACGGGCCCTGCAACGCGTATGCAGCAGTCTCCTTCGGCTTGCCGCCGGCAAAGTTTCCCGTTCTAACAACGCCAAGACCAACACCACATGTTGCCGGAGGCAAAGTCGAAAGCCACATGACAAGCTACTTCTTAGCAGCCCGATAGCTCCACGTGTAAGCGGGCAAAGTATGAATCTTCGAATGGTCAGGTAAAGCGACGGGCAGAGGATCATACAGAAATTCTAGGATTTATTTCAGATGTCGAGGCTAGTGTTGAGGGGTTTTAATGCGTTGGCTAGGTCAAAGGACTCTGTTCCTTATTTTTGAGTCCTGTATCGCGAGACAACTGAAACGTTGACACATCTCTCAGGCACTCTCGGAAATTTACCCATGGGCCAACACATGGACCACTTCGCATCCATTATCAGTCGTGGAAGCCGCGGTGCATCGTCCGTCGGCATGATTACGTTCTGAGCCTGGTTCAAAAGAGCACCATGGCTGTTTCCATAGCAGTCCCCGATTTAAGCTTCTGCTCACTCATTTTTTTTTAGTGGCGTTTTAGTACATCATCAATTCCGTTCCGCCGTGAGAGATAAGAAACCGCTCGTGTCCACTTCGCACCGCAACATATTTACCGTCTCAACTATCTTGCCAAAGCAAATATGGCGGCGCACAAGATGACGGCCACAGCGAAAGCGGCGTTCGTGACAAGCCCATCCGAAACAGATCCTCACCCGTATCAAATCGGACTTGGGAACCGGTTTGCGTCGGAAGCTGTGCCAAATGTATTGCCCAAAGGGCAAAATGTTCCTCAACGAGTGAAATATGGTCTATACTCGGAGCAGTTGAACGGGGCTCCCGTAGTGAGTTCTCGGGATGCGATTCGCCATGTATGGATGTACAGAATGCGGCCGTCCGTGGCCCATGGCCAGGTTTGCCCAAACCTACACATGAATACTGATGTACGTGAGTTGCTGAAGATTGCTGAAGAGATGGCTGGGGCAAATCTAATCCGAGTTGGCAGATCGAATCTTTCTTCTCGCCATCCAACAGCAACGTGGAGTTTTTTGCATCTCAGCAGGCATGGGATCCGTTCCCGATCTTGGAATCTATCGAGCATGGATTATCATCTATTGGCATTGACTTCGTCCAAGGCATCAAGACCATTGGTGGCCAAGGAGATCCCTCCCTTAGAGAGGGAGTCGCAATCCATGTCTTCTCAGCGAACGTCTCAATGGAACAGTCGGCATTTTCTAACAACGATGGCGAACTTCTCATTTTGCCTCAACATGGCAGGCTAAATGTACAAACCGAGCTGGGCTGGGTCATGGTGCGTCCTGGAGAAGTCATGGTAATTCCAGCCGGAATTCGATTTCGCGTTCTTCTACCCGATGGACCCGTAAGAGGCTACATACAAGAGGTTTTCGGCACACACTACGAGCTTCCAGAACTCGGTGCCGTTGGCTCCAATGGTCTGGCGCTCCCGAGAGATTTTGAGTCCCCAGTTGCCAGTTTCGACATTGATGAGACCGTGTGGACAATTACGTACAAGCTGGCTGGCAGCTTGCAAACTTGCCAACAAAACCATTCCCCGTTCGATGTTGTCGCCTGGCACGGCAACTTGGTTCCCTATAAATACGACATGGACAAGTTTGTCAACATGGCAAATGCGAACAAAGACCAAGCCGACCCGACAATTTACTGCGTCTTGACAGCCAGATCCAAGGTCCCTGGCGCGTCACTCACGGACTTCCTAGTTTTCACAAAGAAATGGATCACTGCGGAAGATACCTTTCGGCCGCCGTATTACCACCGAAACATGAGCACCGAAGTCATGGGGTTGATTTACGGAAAGTACGGTGGATCTAGTCATGTCCTGGACGGCGGCGGCCTCAGCTATGAGGCGAGCTACATGCCCCATGGCGAAACATATGACACGTGGAAAGATGCCACCACTCGCGAGTTGAAGAATGTGGTTATCTGCGAGGATACAATGGCCTTTATGTTTCACATTAGCGTGCCAGTGTTCCTTACGAAATGGGCTACGCGCGGCGAGGGATCCAAGTCCCTCCATACGAGTGATCCGCGTCAGTGGGACAATGTGAGGGCACACTTTTTGGACCATTTGGAGGAAGTCAATACGGACTTGAGGGCCGCCGGGCTTCCGACATTGTCACGGCGTGACTAAATGATTTGGTTGTTGGATGGTGGTATGTGAATCTCGAGAGGGGTTGTTTCTGTGTGCAAGACGTGGTACTAATTTTTTTTAGCGTCGCAGGAATGCCCGCAGCACTACCCCGTACTTCAAGGCCCCTGGTGATATAGCATGGGCTAGCAGATTCGTACGATCAGGTCGCCGTTTCTTTTCGCTTTAACGGTTCCCCAACCTAGCTCTGGCGAGATACCCCACACTCCTCCCTGTTCAAAGCATGCCTTCCAGGAATCCAGGTTCTGGGGTGAGCGCCTGGACAAAGAGCAACTACTACTTGTTTCGCATTACAGTTGTAGCTTGGAGTGGATTTATGTCCAATAATTGTCATGTTAATATGATGGGCTGGACTTGGAGGCCAAAGAATACCTGTTGGTCATAGTCTAGCTCGTTGGATCCTGGCCATTGTGATGAGAGGCCAAGTTGAAGACTGGTTGATTCAATATACTACTTGTGTCTCCTGAAGAGCTTTCGCTTGCTTGTTCGTTGGGGCCCATCTTGCATGTTTTGACTGGAGACTACAGGCCGCACTCTGTTGCGCCGTCTGGGAAGACTGGCGGTTGGCGATACCGGGATGAACCTGAAAGCAGCACCAAACAAACCATTCCGCGTGGCGGTGTGGGCGACAGCACAATATCACGGCGACGGACCAATCTCGCATAGCTGGACGCTGAGTTGGCTGATTAAAGTGATTCATATCAATGGATTAGATAGTTTGGTGCCCAACGGCTGACACGGGCCCCCCTGGCTGCCATTTTTGTTCATCAATTGGGCTGAGTCTAGCCGCCGCTCACGGAGACACATCTTCCGAGGCCATCAGGGCTGTGTTCGAGGCCATGGGCATTCATGCTGCAACTGGCGTATGACGACGCCATCTCAGGCAGAGAGGCGGACGTGACCAAGTCTCGACTTGCGAGGTGCCGAGATGATTGGCGAGGAAGCTGGAGCGATGTCGGGTAACAAATAACCAGGGGAACATCAGGGGGAGCAGTGTCATGCGACACTTGATGCCCAGAAACAAAACGTCCTTTCTAAGCATAAAATTACGAATCATCAGCCAAGACACCATGGTGTGGTCTTGTTGCCTGCAGGTCGTTGCGCAACATTGCCATGGGCAGGTGACGTACGTGCTCGGTAGCCCCGGGGACATCTTTCGGCGACTCAGTGCTAGTGATTGAAATCCCCATGATTCAATGCCATGCTGGGGGTCGAGCTGGTACTGTATGTGAAACTCTAGGCTGTTAGAAGTGCCCCTTGGAGAGATGGAGATGAGAAACGAGGGCGGCCAGTGTTTATATATGACATTCATGTGGCCGGCCAGTCAGGATTCAGATGAAAAAATTCCATCGCATGTAATAATAAGGGCTGAGGACATGAGCGAATGGACGGGGTAATACTCCGTAGAAAGGATTGGAACAAGATGACATGGTGTTTTCTCTCCCTTCTTCTTGTTTTAACCCCAACAAGGCTCTGATGGACGGCGGCTGGGCGCGGAGAACGAGACAGGAAGGTGCGACTGCACTTCGTAGTAGAGTTTCAAGTTGGGGACTTGCTCGTCATGCTGATGAGGCACTCCACCTGCTGTTGTGGCTGTGACGTCGTGGCTCAGTTGAGTGGGAAGTGGTGAGACGGCCGTGTGTCCCCGACGCCGCAGAGCACTTTGTGCCGCAATTGTGCTCAGCATCTATCTATAGCTATTTGTGCCGAACACTGGGACAATTTGACGAAAGGGCAACTTGTCACGTCGTCTCAGCCCTATTATTATTAACCGGCTCTGCCGAGTTGGGCCAGCGTCCCAAAGCAAAAGTCCGATGCCAAGACACGTCGAAAGTCGGCTTGGACTCGTCAAGGGCTCTCTTTGACATGGCAAGGGCTGGACATTTCCTGCCCCCGCTCCCGCTCGAGTTCGTCAGGCAAAGAGCCTCATCGGCCTCAGGCCACAGCCCACGATTCATCGGTAAGCATTCTTCAAACATACATTACTGTCCGCTGCAGTTGGCGCGCAGGAGCGCACGCACAATCAATCAATGCATCCATCCCTCCACCATCGTTGCTAAATAACAAGCCACCAGACTCTTCCGTCTCCGCAGAGTCGAATCCGATGCGGCTCTTGGCAGCCAATACGTGAGCGCCAGCCGCCGCCCACCTCGTTTCTTCTCCTCGCATGCTCGCACTCGACGGTGCGGCGCGACAACGTTGACCCGCGGGGTGCAGCCGTCCCACGACATCTCAACACCACAACACCACCTGGCTGGCGTTTCGGGTGCTGGTGCATGTGTGCGACAAACTCCCTCCAGCTACCATCTCCAGCGTCGACGCCGCCTCTTCTCTCCGTCCGCGGCAGCGTCTGCTGTCGGGGCCCTTCTTGACTTGACCTGTCTCCGCCATGTCCTTTCGTGCCGACGACCAGCGCCGTTATGGCTCCGTCCCTCCTGTGCAGTATGCCGTGGCCGGCCAGCAGCAAGATCAACACGGCGCTCAACAGGCCTCCAATGCACCCGGCCTAGGCCGAAGACCGAGTTTCAACACGGGTGACGACGCTGGCTACTACGTTCAGGGTCACGGACGCTCTTCTTCCTTCGGTCGTGGCGGCGAGGACGAGCTGTTCTTGACGGGTGTTGGCCGCGGCAATTCCCACATCAGTCGCTGTCCTTCCGCCAGCGGTGCCATGGCTGGCTATCAGCACCGATATCAAGATGCCACTCCTCCGAACCCCTCACCGTCTGGCTACAATCCTCAGAACTTTGCGCCGCCTTCAAATTCCGCCTACCAGAGATCGCCAGTCTCTACGCTTCCATACCATCCTACGCAGCGGTTCTCGACCTCCAGCGCCGGGTCATATAACACTCCATCTCCGCCAGCCACAAACTACACGCCACAAGCCTACAACCCTGCCGCATATGCCGCCGCAAACTCCAATCCTCAAAGGCAAGCCAGTCATCATGGATATGGATATGCCGCACATGATCAGAGCTATGTGACAGCCGCTGGAACAGCGGGCTCGCCTTCGTACGGGCACTCTCCCAGTGCGTCGCACACGTCGACGTTTTCACAGCCTGCACGCTCCCCTTCCTTTTCATCCGGCTTCCTCCCGACCAGTCCTTCATCCTTCACTGGTTCCAACCCCGTGAGTCAGACGCCCACCTACGACCCGTCCACCTACCTCTCGTCGACGCATTACTATTCTTACGGCTCCAATGGTGTTGCTCCCTATCCGACGTCAACAAATCAAACTCAGCTTCCTTATCCCAACTCATCTCACATACCGGTGGGCCCAAACTACACGGCTAGCAATGAAGACAATCCATACTACAACCGTCATCGCTCAGACTCCCAAACTTCTCCCAGGACTTCCCCTTATATGCAGCCTCAGTCATCGCCTGGACTCCAGCGGCATCCCACCAATGCACCACTTCCAAGCCGGCCAATGGAAGACGTTCCCGAAGAGATAACCCCATGGGACGAACGTGGACGGCCCCTGCCCCATGACGAGTTGGACGATGAAATAGTCGCCCAAGAGACCATTATTCATGACATCGAGGCGGAGCTTGGAGGATCTGGGTATCGCTCCCAACACAGGCGGTCACCAATTGGCAGCCAAGTATTCGACGGCTCGGCGTCAGCCCATTCCCCGGCAAGCCGAACTTCTCCCGGCCGGGGCTCAATTCAACCTAGGTTTGACGACGACGACGACGATCCAGAGGGGACAGCCGGTGTGCTAGCAATGCAACAGGCGGAGCTCGATGACCAGCGATTCGGTGGCGGCACATTCATGTATAGCGGCTCTGGTCTTGCCCCAGCTGCTCCACTCCCCGTTACAATGTCTGCTCCCGCGACGACTACCCAATCCAATCTTCCGACCACTCCCCCAGAGGAACTGAGCCAAGGTAGTGATAGCGACTTTGGCGGCATGGATCTTGGCATGTTGAGTGGGGGGTATGCAGGGACCTTGGCGTACGGTGCGGACATTGGCTCCCCACCTGGATCCTCCTCGATACAAGATGGACCAAGGCCGTTGCCAACACCCGGCTACTACAATTCTCTGAAGGAGAATCACGACCACGGGGCTGCTTTCAACAATGCCGAGGTGGACTATGGAGGTACAGGCGGGCTACAAGCCCCTGAAGCTCACCGACTTAGCTTTGACGAGGGTCGAGAAGAGTGTGTCTCCCTCCATTCCCAGCATAGTGGGACCGAATCGCCCGCCAAGGACGATTACCAAGATCTTTTCTACCACCCTGGCCTCTCGAACCGCCCGCTTCCTGCTCTACCCCCTGGTCCCGGTTCTGACAGCAGTTCCATGTTCTCTGTTCACAATAGTGTCCGGTCACAACACCAGCATGCTCATTCGTTAAATGCTGATGCGAGATACTATCAGGGCGACGGCCCCGAAACCCTTCACCAACAAGGAGGGCAGCAGGGCCTGCACCCGGAACGTTCAGTATCGCTTGGTGGCCATAGCCACACACCGCAAATCCAGGCTCCCGCGAGGTCGAGAACGGATGCTGCTGAAGAACGAAAGAAGATCAACCGCCATCACCAGATCACACATCAAGGCCCATCTTTCGACTATGATGCGGCATCTGCGGCAGCGTCGGGCGCTTTCGATAGCATCACTCTGCCCAGCGGACGAAAGAAGAGACTGGTGCCATCGAAGCTCACGGCAAGCGATTTCGATGACTGTGGATCGCCGTGGGCGTTAAGCCATATCGAGGCTTGGATTCGCAACATGGGCCAGGGCGAACCAGACCTAAAGGAGAAAGCTATCGAAGAGGCCATAACGAACCTTTTTGTGTACAAGATACCCACCATGAATGTCGCGGACGCTGAAGCTTTGAGCAGTCAAGTAGTGTCAGGCATGCTTGATTCTCAGGTTCTTCTACCAGATGAAGAATGGGTCAAATTTGGAGACGGCCACATTTCGGGTGTGCTATGGCAGTTGACCGGATCGGGCTGCTATGCACCCAGGCTTCACGATGTCGACATCGGTGGCCGTTGTTATTCTCATTATTGTACTCGAACTCTGAAGAAGGTCGATTTGGAAGTCTTCTCAGAGGAAGTGCAAGGTGCTGATGCGTGGCATGTCTTCTACAAACTGACGAAGGAAGTTGTTGAGTCAAGACCAAAGAAGGAAGTTGAACGCCAAAATATCCTTCACGAAATTGTCACGGGCGAGGAAAATTACATCAAGCAACTGGACATTTTTCGAAGGTTGTACAGAGATGACCTTGGAACACGGGATCCGCCAATCATTCATCCTGACAAGCGAGATAAGTTCTTGACCGCAGTGTTTGGAATGCTCGATACCGTCGTCAGTATCAACAAGGATCATCTCCTGGCACAGCTCAAATATCGTCAGCAGGAACAGGGTCCATGGATCGTAGGCTTTAGCGATCTTTTCCGTGAATGGATCCGGAAGGCCAAATCCGTCTATACCGAGTATGCCATCGGCTATCCACGAGCCGCATACATGGTCAGAAAAGAAGCCGATCGAAATTTGCTCTTCAAGCGATTTCTCGAAGATAAGCAGAAGGATAAGCTGTCCGCCAAGCAAGATTGGACTCATTTCTTGATCACACCTGTACAACGTCTTCAGCGGTACATCCTGTTGCTACAGAGTGTCGAACACAAAACGGTCGGGGACAGTGAAGAAAAGACAATCCTGCAAAAGGCGATCCAGGAGATTCAAACCGTCACCCTCGAATGCGACGCCAAGGTGGCAGAAACCAACAAGAGAGTTCAAATGATGGAATTGGATCGAATGCTGGTTCTCAGACCGGGGTTCCAGTCTGTTCTGAATCTAGACCACCTAGGCAGAGTTCTCATCATGCAAGGCGAGCTCCAAAGGATGGGTTCAAAAGGCATGCGATGGGTCGACTCCCATGCCCTTTTGTTTGACCACTATTTGATTCTAGCCAAGGTCGTTGTGCCCAAGGACGGTAGAGGGGAAAGAAAATACGATGTCTCGAGAGAGGTAAGGCCTAGAGAAAATACCCTCACGCCGGAGGTCCTTGTACTAACCAGATGCTGCAGCCCATTCCAATGCCCCTCCTATTCCTTGAGAGCATGAACGATGAGCCAGTCATGAAGCAAAAAGGCCTTACGGCGCCTCTCGGCAGAACCACTGCGGCGCCAGTGGGTGCTCAACCGAACAAGGTAGGCAGCAATGGTGCTGGCCGACCGGGGTTGGAACATGCATCTACAGGATCATCGGGAAACCAGTTGGTACCAACGGCGTCAAACGACGCAGAAGGCAAGATCTTATATCCCTTCAAGGTCAAGCACCTTGGCCATGAAGTGTACACACTCTACGCGTCCTCTGCCCGGGACAGACTTGACTGGTGCAATAGCATCATCGACGCCAAAACAAGGCATGCCAAGGCTCTGTATGCTCAAAATGCCGAGCCGTTCAGGCTTCGCGTTCTAGCAGACGCTGCCTTCCACTACGACGCCAATTCCGTGTACGCACGAGCGTCGGGTGTTCCCGTCAAAGGTACCCCCCTCGACAGAGCCATCCAGGACTTGGAAAAGGTCTTGGGCTCGGCGCAGGGCATTGCGGCAGTATGTCGTGCACAGGTGAACTGTGCCACGGGTTTCTCGGCCTTCGGAAGGCAAGTCATTGCCATCGGCACAGATTACGGCGTATTCACATCTGATCCTCTCAATCCTCGCGGTTGGGTTCGGGTAAGTCTCCGGCTTGATTCATGTCTTGGTGGCCCCAGAACTAGCTTGAACTAACTACCAACGCTCAAGTCTATACAAATTACTCGGGTTACCCAAATCGCCGTGCTAGAGGAGTTCTCGGTTTTTCTCGTTATTGCGGACAAGTCACTCATTTCTTACCCCCTAGACGTTCTAGTTCCGGTATCAGAGTTTTCCGCACCCGTCAACGACAGTAGCCGACGTGCACCCCAAAGACTTGCAAAGGACGTGACGTATTTTGCCACGGCACGTTTGAAAGAGCGACTATTGGTCTTTTACAAGCGGAAAGAAGGCCTTAACACATTTTTCAAGGTTCTAGAGCCCATCTTCCACAAGGCAACTGAGAAGAAGTCTCGGTTTTACGGGGGGCGCAAGTCGGCCGTGGGCAGCACCGACACCTATCGTGATTTTGACGAGTTTTACTTGCCAGCAGAATGCTTTTCACTCAACATCTTTCATAATAGTTTTGCCGTGGCGACGTCCAAGGGTGTCGAAATTCTTTCGCTGGACCAGAAAAGGCCAATGTCGATCCCCAACTTGAACGCTCCGGCAATTGCCAACATCGCAGGCCGTATTCGCGACCAGCGACCACTCGGCGTGTTTCGTCTGAGTAGCAAGAACGAGTTCATTGTTACGTATGAGGACTGCGCGGTTTACGTGGATGAGGTGGGTAACGTCAGTCGCACTCTGATCATGGAGTACACTGGCAAACAAAAGAAGGCTAGGGGGGCGACAAAATTTCAGGATTATCTGTTACTTTTCAACGAAGACTATGTGGAGGTACGCAATGCAGAGAATGGACGGCTTCGACAGATCATTGCCGGGCGGGACGTGCGAGTAATCGACCTTGGCGTGGACCCCTCGGATGCCAGCAAAGCAGCTTCATCACAGCAGGCGTTCGGGCCCAACGGACAGTCGCCACAGGCTGGTCATAACTCCAAGGTCACGGTCAAGGTTGCAATGTGCCATCCAGAGCTGCCCGGCCGACAGATTGTCCTGGAAATGCTTCTCAATGACGGCCACTCGGAGAGCTGATCCTACTCTAGAGCTCAGCAATTCATCACGACTGCCACGATGTCTCGGTCATGAATAATTCGTATGTTTGGAAAAGCAGAGGTAGACAGACTATTTGTTGTATATGGGAAGCGGGGCCTTGGGAGATTTGCGGAACAGTTCATCATGAGGTTTCCTGGAGACGAGCGGACGGCGAGGCGGCCTGGGCACGCTCATTTTACCAACGACGTTGCTGACGACGTTGGAGAGCGTTGGAGAAGCAGGCAATTTGGATGGCAGTCATGTGACGTGACGATTTATGTTTGTACTGATTTGATTTTTTTGCATCTTCCCCTGTGTTTGTGCGCAAAGGAAAGGGTCCCGGTCCGTTGTCCTGCCTCCTCACTATTTTTGTTATTTTTGTTCTTGTATGGCGCTTGGCGGTTGTCCCTTTTGAACGAAGGGGAGGTTAGGCATTAGCTTTCATGTAGGTGCGTAAGGATCATTGATTAAGACGTCTACGTGTTCCTCGTGTTGACGGTGGCTTGACCGGTCGTGGGACTCGTCGTAGAGAAAATCCTCTGCACCTACGTACCAGTAGGCAGGATTATGCCCGCTTGAGAAAGCCTGACAGGGGCGTTTTATTGGCACATGCAACACAAAACTTGTGTCCCTCCGCCTCAGCCAAGCGATGCGCACTGTGAGCACGCAGGTGCGTCACCGCCCCAGTATCTCATGTGATGCGAGTCAGAGGACGGGCTCAGGACGGGCTCGGGCCGGACAATCAGCCATGTCACGACGGAGGCGGCTGCACACATGGTGTCGTTCAAGGAAAAGCTAGCATTGCGATAATGTACATGGGACAATCCGTCATGCCACGCATCTATCTAATGCCGTCCGTATCGAGCCATCGTCTATCGGGTACAGTCTTGAACAAACCCCCCTCGCGGCAGAGTCTTGCAACCCGGCCAAAAGTCGGCGTGACGTGTTCCCGCTCCTCCTGCCATGCTGCGTTTGCGCCAGTGTTGGTGCCTCTGACGTGTACTGTGGAAGATGCGACCCTGCGCCTTCCCGTCACAGCACCTCTGATGATGGATACAAGAAGGGAACGGGGCCTGATTTTGGTGATTCTTTTCACGAATTGCTTCTGGGCGTCTCGCACAAGGGCACGGCGGTAACTTTAGGCTTTAACCTGGTCCTTGACGTCTTTCTTGACGTCGTCGACGACTTGTGAGAGGCCCTTTTTCTTGGCGGATTCGTACATGGCGATGCGGGTGACTTGGACGATGCCGACGAGGCCGAGGAAGAAGTTGACGGCAGCGAGGCTAGATGGCGGGGAGACACACACGCACACACGCAAGTCAGTCGGTCTGTTGGGAACGAGTGGCGGACACGACGTACAGGTAGTTCTTGGGCTTGATGATCAGGCACCACCGCGTCCAGATCAGACCGGTGCACGTCAGGGCAAAGTTCTGCGTGAACGAGAGCTTCTCGGCGGGGCGGGCAAAGTCGGAAATACCGGCGAGCACGAGAGCCCACTGGTCACGGCTGCTGTTAGCCTCCCTTTATTCCTGGGCTCGGAGGGAAAACTGGGGGACGGGGGGGGGCGGTAGTCATGGCGTTGACGGACCTTCATGACGGGGGCCCTGGATAAAACGTCGTTAGCTGCTTGGGGGTTCGAATGGCTTGGCGGCAAGGGCGTTGCGTACCAGAAGTGCACCGTCTTGATGCCGACCTCGCTCTCCCACGCGCGCTTGAACCAGCTCTGGTGCTGCTGCTGCTGCTGGGCACCGTCGGCCGTGCTCTGCCATCTCCTGCTGCTCTCGCGGAAGCGGAATCGCTGGGCGCGGAAGGCCTGGGAAGCCTGTGCGGAGAAGGCGCCTTGTCGGAAGGCCGGGCGCGAGGCGCGCATGATTGTGCTGGCGACGACCATGCTTTGGTGGTTTTGTTAGCCGGTGCCTTTATATTCCTTCCCGTTTGTATGTGTGTATGTGTGTGTGATGTGTGAATGTGGACGATGGGAGGAAGGGGGTCCGAGGTGCTCGGCAGAACAGCACAGCACAATCCACGAGTTATATGTAAGGGGGGGTCCGCGCGTGGAAAAGAACACACGCACGGGGCGAGAGCCATTGATGTAGAGAGAACGTACGTTGGGCCCTTGAACACGGCAGTTCTTCTCGGTTCGAAGAGGACGAAATAATGTTGCGTCAAGGCGACACGGGACGTGTGGTAGAAACTGACGGGGCCCTTTTGACGGACGGTCCGGAGATCAGCCGCCAGCGGAGGAGGTGCCAGAGTGCGAGACCGGCCCCGAGGAGTTGCCAGGATGGTCCCCACTTCGATGAGTGGCCATGGCCAACCAGAGCCTTACTGAGCACGACTTCCAGGACCTCTGTCCAGCAAGGAAAGCCAAACTCTGTCGTCCCGTCTTCCGGCAACCGCAGCCTCCCGACCGCCATGTCGAGCAGATACGCATTCACAAAGGGCCTCAAGGAGGTGCGCTTCCTGTTCTGCCAGACGTCGGAGCAGAGCGCGGCCGTGCGGTACGTCTTCCCCGACGCACGGCACCGACGAGGAACTCGCGTCCACGCGCGCCAGGCGGCAAGCAAGTGCTGACGAGACACGGCTGCAGATCGTTCCTCACGCGCGCCTATCCCACCATGAAGAAGAATAATCCCCAGACCCCGATTCTCATCCGCGAGGCCCAAGGGACCCTGCCCAAGGTCTACGCGCGATACGGTGCGTGCCCCAACGAATCGCGAGTCGCCGTCTGCATGCTCACGAGTCGCAGAGTTCGGTCACGAAATGTCACAGTCGCTGGAGGGGCTGTCGGACAAGCAAATCGAGGACGCTGTCACGGGGCTAGTCAAGAACACCGCGTAGACGATGCCTTCCGTGTCCGGCTGGGAGGGGGGCAGGGCGCCGGTGCCCTTGTATATAAGGAATGAAACATGTATCCAAATGCCTCTGCCGGGTTGCAGGATGACGTGAAGTGAGCCTGTGGGACGTGATGCTCTGCCAGGTTCACACTTGAAATCAATCGGCTACGGGGGATCAGGGAATACGCCATAGGGCCTGTGCCACCCGGGATTCGTTGCGAGTTGCCTGCAGCTGCGTACGGTTTCCTACGTGCTACTCTGTTGGCCCAAAACAGACACGCAAAAGGACAACAACCCCAAAGGCACCATCAAACAAGAGAGAGCGCGCCGGGGGGGTTAACCTCCGCCCCCAAGTCTCGTGTCTCCCAGACTTCCGCGTCATGTCCCCTGGGTAAAGCCGGTAATCTTTCCTCCTGAAGATCCTTCGGGGCCTGCGCTCGAGTCTTCCTACTTAGCGATAGCTGGTCCACCAGACGCTTTGGTCTCGGGATCCCTGGCTGTCGTACCCACCGCCCGCTCCATGACTGCTGCGTATGTATCAATCACACTTTCGGACAGGGGAAGGAGTCTTGTCTTGTTTCCCCTTGGGTGGATATCCGGAGGAGGCATCACCAGCTTTCGGCTCTGCTACCTCCAACTTCCCATTATCATCGTTGGCAGGGGTCATTGCAGTCTTGGAGGCAGCATCTGTTCTCGAGACACATGCATTTGGCGTTTTGCCCCGATCATCACTGGAATCAATGCTTCGCGCTGCCGGTCGATTGTTCAGACCGCTCCCCATCAAGGCCGTGTCTCTCCCCTGGGCGGACCCTTCAGCACCCACCACTTGTCTCTTCCAAGCTTTTTTGCCTCGTACGGTTCCTCGCCCATCGCCAGTAAATTTGAACGAGTCCTGGTCTGCATTAATTGGGATACGAATCTCTCTTCCAACTGCATTCTCTGCCTGAGAAACCGGTCTCGGCTTGTTGTTTGCTCCTCCACTCTTCTTGACTGGACTTCCAAGCATCCCGGAGACCTCGCTGTGATGCCTAGAGTGCGATCCGGAGGTGTTTCTATTGGGCGGCGTCTTGTTGGGGCTGGCGGATGGCGGACTGTTTCTCAGTGAGCTACAAGACGACAAAGTTTTGGATTCCGCAGATTTGACGCTCAGGGCTTCAGTGTCAGATGTGTTCTCGGCTGGCATGGGTACGTGGTAGCTGGTATCGGAAGGAGGAGTCTCAGAACGTGCTGCCTTGTCCCTGGCAGCCTTGCCTGGACCGCTCTCCGCGGATACCGCTCTCTTAGCCTTTCGTCGATGCCGGGGCCTTGCAGTCCTCTGCAAATCTCTTCTTCTCCCCTCTACTTCTTCTTTCGTGAGTTCACCGAGTGGCGGAGAACCTGTGCCAGTCACTGCGGCTGCATTAGCGGCTAGAGTTTTGGGTCTTGTTGCAACCGCAAAAGACGCTTCACTTGATACCCCCTCGGGAGAATGGCGAGCATGAGAAGGCTGAGACTGTGTAATGACATTCCCTCCGGTGTTCTTCACATTCAGAGGAGCCCCTTGACTCACTCGTGACTGGTCTGCGTCTCCTTTCTGCTTCTCACTTTGGGAATATATGGGCCGGGCAAGCCCGGCTGATGAGACTAGTGGAAGTGCAACCTTCACTTTGCGGCCTGACGTTTTGGAAGATTGGCTTCCCTGACTCATGGGACTCACAGCTCCATCTTTCTCGACAGGATCGTCCTTCTCCAACGCCTCCTCGGAGGGCGGCTTTGACTGGGTCTTGAACTCCAACGCCTTTTGTGCCGCTTTATCAGATGCCAACTCCTTCCTCTCTTGTCCCGAAATGACTTTGTCAGTCTCTTTCTTGGGGGCCTGAGGTCGCAGGGAGATCTGGGGCGGTGGTTGCTGTGGCATCGCTGCTCGCTGAGGGAAAGCCACCACTGGGCGGTGGCCTCCAGACACTGGAGCTGTTTGACTCGGATGACGTGGTACATGCTGCATATTCATCCCGTCAACAGCCTGTAATTGGTGCTGAACAAAGGCGTCACTAGCCAAACTTTGCGTCTGGGCAGGATACATCCAGTGAGGCAGGGGGGGGCGTGGCGCATTGTCCGATGAACGCAGGTTCTGGATGCGAATGCTTCGCAGAGTGTCATGCTCGGCGGCATCTTCGCTCCGTTTGCTGCCGTGGAACGGCTTAATCGAAACAATAAGTTTGTTGTCTAGAAGGAATTGCCTTGGGAAATGCAGGCTTTCCTTCGCGGAAGTTTCGTCTTCGAACCTAGAATAGAACAAAAACGTCAGTTGACTCGTCATTTTTTGATCGTGACACACGCTTTGAGGCAGACTTGCCGAACTATAAAGGCGCTACTCGAACGTTGGACGACCCCTTCAACGGGCCCAAACCTATTCTGCATTTCGCTCTTCAGAAGACTCCTGATCTCAGCGTTATTCTCGCTTGGGAAACTCCTAACCCTCAGCCAAATGCTTCTGTTTGCTTCGTGAATGCGCGCATCGTGTCTCTGCCATTTTGGTGGCCCTGTGCAGGCAGGTGGATTCTGCGAATAGAACGACTCCTTGCCATCATGGACAGGATGTTCATCTCGAGGCCGGTAGCTCGCGGGACCGAGTCTTCCTCGAGGTCCGCCGCCGCCCCCAAAAGCAGCTCTTGTCACATTCGGAGATGGGCCACAGCTCGATGCAGCTACTGCCACTTGAGGCAAAAGTTGTGCTGTGCAAGCTTTGCCAAACATGAGGCGTTGACTGCCATCACCCTGCATGGACCTTTCATTGCCAAATGCCCCGCCATGAACGTGAGGCGCATCGCCAAACGACACCACGCGATTTCCTGAAAAGTAATTATGAGACAATGGGCGTGCTCCCTGACCCAACTTCTCGGGAATCTGTCGGCCAGCCGATTTCCCACTGCTGTCCTGTGGGTGCGTTCGATTCGGCACCGTGTTGCCTCCTTTTCCAGCAGATTGTACGCCGACCATCACAGGAATCTGAGACTGAGACGACATGTTTTTTGTTGTCTTTGGAACGAGAGTGTTGGATTGTTCCGCATCATTGTGTTGAGGTTGCCTAAGGGGACTTTTCCCTGCAGTCGTACCATGCTGGGCAAGTCGATCCTTTCGAGGGAGCGGAGAAGGAGACGCCCGGTCATCCCTCACCAGAGCTGGTCCAACGTGGTTCTCAGCGTTAACAGAGAGGTGAGGCTGATTTTTCTGGTTAGGCGGGGCTGTATTCATCGTCATAGATGTTGTGGCCTGCTCGTTTCCGGCATTCACAGGTCTCTTCTGCACATGGATGTCTTCGGGCCCGTGGACTGAACTGGTTTGTCGGGGCTGACTTGTCGGTGCGCAACTCAGCATCGCCGCAGTGCTTGTCCGCCGCAAATCTTCAACGGCAGTTGCATGTCTCACCTGAGAAAGGCCAGGTGGCCCATATCCAAGCATTGCGGGAACAGGACGATGTTGTCCATCGTGAAGACTGTTTGGTGTCGGGACATTGGTGAAGGCCACTTGGGAACTCTTGCACTCTGAGGGTGGGAACTTTGGTAGTAGTGCATTCGCATTGTAGTCAAACACCTCTGCGTGAACTGTTTCCTTGTCAGTGTGACGGGAGAAGAAACGGGAGGATCATGCTGTCCACAAAACGTACCTTGGAGGTTCTCGCAATTCTTTACAACAGGAATTTTGATATTATCCGGCTTGATTGACTCAAAGTCCTTCTTCCGTTCCTCGAGAACTTTCTCAAAAATAGCCACCATGTCCTTGTCGATATTACCTATGGCCTGCCAGTCGTCTTCAGAGAACAATTCCATAATGCCATCTTCTGAAGCCCAGTTTTTGAGCTTCCTACCATTGCCACGTGCGAGCCACTTATCTACGAATTCTCTGATATGCTCGGTAAAGTCCCTTTCCACTATTTTTGCTATGATCTCGTTTTCGGCATACAAGGTATTTAGGAGATTCCACCGATTCTGGGGGCCGTCTTCGTATATGTCGTGGGGGTCGAAGTACTTGAACAAAGTCTCTGGGTAGCGCGGCTTCTCCAGCAGCTTCATAAAGGGTGCGTGCTCTCGGCGAATATCGTTGCATCGAAGGTCGATCTCGCGTTGCGACCAAAGCCTCCTTTCGCGCCCAAGTTTGAAGCTGTCCACATTCGCTTTCCGAAAAGGAAGTCTCCCTCCTTTTGTTGAGAAGATGGCAGAAACATTATCCGGGGACTTGGTGTAGAAGTCTTTATCAAAGTTGTCTTCAATGATTCTGTCGGGGACACCCTCGGCGGTGGTTCTGCGAGCCATGTTGTATTTGGCGGGCAGACCGTCAGGATACGCTATTATAAACGCAGGTCGGACTCGACCCGGATAAGCATTGGCCTGGATTCTTTGAGCCTCAGCTCCATTCTCTTGAGAATTGGGCGGGTCATAGTGTCGGAAATAATGCCCGGGAGCAGAAGATTCCATGAGAATAGTCACACAGACCTGACAGAGCCAGGAAGGAGTACGCAGACTCTTTCTTCAACCAACTTGGGCCGATAGGGATGATTGCAGAAAAACACTGACTGTGCGAAGCGTAGTGATAAGCTTTAGAGAATTTGTAAACAGGAGGTAAGGGGGAGAGGGGAGTTCAACATTTAGGATGTATCAAGGAACGTGAGTTGGCGCCTGCAGCAAATATAAAGCCAAGGCAGTCACTCGGGAATACAAAAACAAAAACAACAAAACAAAAACCTTCGCTTTTTAGTATCTGAACAGACTTGCAGAACCGACCACGGGGCATACCAACTGAGAGTGAACGACATCTGAGAGAAACCCAGGTCAGATTGGTGCGCGTGTTTGACAGAAGTCCACAAACAGGGCACAGTGAATTCCGCCTACCCCGATTTTGGTCCCAAGACCAAGCTGAGGAAAAAAAAAAGACACTGCGGCTCTTTGACATGGCACGCACGCCGATGTTGATACATGGGCCAGCGCGCCATTCTAGTTTTACCTGCGTGTAGTAACAGTTCAATTCTCAATTCACATAGATGAGCAAACCCTAGCTACGAGTTCGAGTAATCAACTGATCGGTATCAGGCAGAAATACTTTTTTGACAATTCAAAACTTTGATTGTTAACAAGAAAGGAGATTTCGGGTCGCGGGTGTTGAGCATATAGGTATGTACAGGTGCGTTTCCGTAGTTTTGCGTCTTCACGAGGCCCTATTCACTCTGACTTCTGCGTCTTGAGCAGCTTCAGAATCTGACTCTCGTTATCGCCGGCAATGGCTTTCCCATTGTTCCAATCCACGGTCTATGCAAATGGATCAGCTCGTTTCACCGAAGAACTGCGGCTCTCTATCGCAGCTCTCGACTCCTCCACGTGACTCTACTTACCACCGGTCGCAAGAAGCTCTCCTTGCTCTCTCGGAACTTCTTCAGCGCATCCTTCTCGTCGCGGGCTCCCTTGATAACCTTGGCTATGCTGGTCCTGCCAACGTAGTCGAGGATTGTCTGGACCTGCTCAACGGTGGGAGGCTCCTCGGTGATGTTGAGCTCGAACGGGTCGCGGTTTGCTTGTGTCTGCGCTGTATGATCGCTGGCCTGGTCGAGAGTAGCCCCAGCCTGGGCATTGGCGGAAATATGTTTGACCAGGTTGGCAACTCTGATGGAAGCTGGGGAGCTGGCCTTGTGGAAGACCGTGACAATGTCGGGCGACTTGTGCTGTACTATTTGTTAGCCCGCAGCTCAAGTTCATGGCGGGTGCAACTTCTGCTTCCTTACAAATCGAAACATGTTGTTTGTCTGTGTCTTGAGGAGTCGATTGGGTTGAGTACAGAGTTTGGAATCGGAATGCTGAGGGATGATGAACGGTTCCTGCCTTGTTTAGCGGAGCTGTCGAGAGCGGCTGCCGAGTGCACTGGTTGTCGCGGGAGTACGTAGTGCGGAGCAGTACGAAGTACTAAAGTAGCTGATCATTAATGTGGGCCTGTGGGTTTTGTCATGAAAACAAGTTCGCAGTCCTCGACGTCCGGCCAGGCTCTTCACGGAATTCTTGACATTTTGCTGCATTTTCCTCCTTCGTCAAATTCTTGGTCAGCCTTTTCAGCAGCTGCCTTGAGGGCCAGGCCAGGCCGATTCCTGCCCAGAAAGTACACAGGCAGATCGAACCACGCGAGGAAGAAGAATCGGCCGACGGAGCGCAGAAAGTCAAGGCCGCTGTCACGCTGGATTCGAATTTGGGATCCCTCGACGCCAGGAGTACAACCATGTCTTGGGCATCATCATCTTGATGGGCGGATGCCTTGGCTTCATCCCATTCCAGCAGCTGTCCTCGAGTCCAATGCCAGAACTCGGAATTGGAATCGGAGTCTCGCCCCTACAGACTTGTGGCCTGTGTAGCTCTGGCCGGCTTGGTATCCTTGGCTTGGCTCTCGAGAACGACATGGTGGGCTTTGGTCAAAGCTTTGTCGGAAAAAAAAATACACTTGTCTGTCCATGCTACAGAGCCAGGAGAGGTGAGACGCACAAAAAAATAAATAAATCAATGAACAATCAAGTAAAAGCCATTTGCTGGCGGACCAAGGTACCGCCCAGCACTGGCCTCGGGCAAGCTAATTTGGGAGAAGGACAATAAAATAATTTAGTCAAGCGATTATAGACAACACCATATTCAAGTCCAAAGCCCAAAAACATAAACCAACGTGTAAAGACTTGGCGAGAAGCGATCGAATACGCGCGGTTGTCCCGAGACGTGTTGCCCGTAAGCTCGTATCGTCAAGCCAGAGACGCACCAACGAAGAAACGAGGTTATTTCGTCTCGGGAACCACCGCAAGAGCTACGAACCAAAAATACCCTTCACAACCCGCCAGCCATGATTCTTTTGCTGTGCTCAAAAACTGCTCAAGTTCCTTCGGGGCAGACAGACTTCTTCATTGTCGCGCGTCTGTTTTAGCGGGGCCATATTCAATTGTCACATTTCAATAGTGATACACAAATTAGTTATGTTATACCTCGACCCCGATTGACAATTGCCCCGAGACCTTGGCGCCGTACGAATGCCAGAATGTCATGATAAACCTGACTTGAAGCATCTATTTCAATGACTGGGCTCAGAGCCTGCACCAACAAGATTCACACAAAGAACTGCAGCACTTGCGGCCAAGCTGCCCAGAACCAGCATCTGAAGGCCCTCCAACAGGCTTCCCTTGACGCTCCTCGCTTCACCACGGAGTAGCCAGCTCTTGCCCGATCCAAATGCCATGAGCACTATCAGGCATAAAGCGATACTCCAGTGGAGACCTTTGCCCACTGTTGAAGTAAAGCAGTACGGGAGCAAGGGTATGATACCGCCAATGGCATACCCCAGCGAGATGGATAGGCCAGAGGCGACGGGCGAGATTGGTAGCTGATCCGACAACGGCTCTGTCGCAGCATTCTGTTGCTGCAGGCGGCAGACTGCCCGTCCAAGACCATCAGGACGATTTTTCAACGCCACAAGAATCTCCAGGACGGTAGTATGTGGTAGGGCCAGGGGCTCAAGATGGTTCCGTATTAGGTCCTCTTTTGATTCTTGTTCCAAAACCTTTTCCTCCAAATGATCGCTAAGATTCCTGGATCGGCCCTCTAAGCTTCCATCGCGCAACATGGCTCTTAACTCTTCCTCGTCACCGTTTTTAACAATGTCATCTCTGCCTTCTGTTGAGTGAGGGACCTCATCCAGTGCAGATAGATAACCACCAATGCCCATACTGATGCTTCCGGCGCACAACTCGGCGAGACCTGCATTGATGACGGTATCAGCTCTTCCTAGTGAGCTGAGCCCTGCAGTAAGGGCAAATGGGACAGTAAGGCCATCGGAAAACCCGAGCGTGAAATCGGAAAGAAAGCGAGTCAGCCGAGGGCTCTGGGGTTTCGACATTGCGACTAGCTAGAGGGAAAGCGCTGTAAGCGGGATTGTTAATCTATTTGTATCTTTGCAAAAAAGGAAGAAACCATGTCGCGAGTTGGTCAATGTGCGTGGAAGTGAACAACTGGTTGATTTTCGAACAACTTGTCACATTGACCAGAGTAGCCAGTACATCGCACCACTCATGTAGGATGTGAGAAATATCGGAATCAGAGGAGCCAGGGAGCCCAGGAGCATGACAGTTAAAAACGGGGACGCGCCAGTCACTGGCCTTGAGGAGAACGCAACAAGGTTAAAATGGTCCAGTGCATGACGAAATTGAACAGCTGAGAAACCCGAGTCGAATGAATGGACGGAAGCAGTTGTCCAAATGAGGGCGCAACGTGGGAGGGTTGTGTTTTCGGCTGTGCTTGCATCTCCAGGCTGGCAAGTGACTTTAAAATGACCTGATCAGCCAGTGCTCGCTCACTCCTGCCAGATCGGACAGACGATGCAGTCAGTGGCAGGTGCGCCGCCCAACAAGGGAAGGTCAGGAACAGAAGTGGCTGCAGGTGCCATTCACCCCCTGGAGAAGATGCCTTGGGTACCCGAGGTGTTCCAATGTCACATCATGATTCATGAGATATCAAATGCATCCAACCAAGTAGGGACGGCCTTGCATCGCTGGGCTTCCAGCTTCCACGTGCTCACCAACTTAATTCTGCCAGTTACGGAGTACGAAAGAAGCCATCTTCTGTGCAGCATGAAGTTTGTGGAGGACATCTCCTCCACAGGAGTAACGGGCAGAATCCCGACGTGCCTTGGCCTGTACTTGGTAGGTTCCTGCCCCCCACACGCTCTCTGTAAAAATTACCTCCTATTGGTTTTCACCCCGGCTGAACCTTTGAACTACTATACGGAGCATGGCATGTTACTGCGTTCAGTGACTTGCAAGCGCAACTTGATCCAAGCGACGTTCCCCCTTCCCTCTGCCAATACTCCGTAAGTAGTTCTCTGTTACAGAGTACACACGCGGGTCGCATTTCAAATCTCGGCTACCAATTCAGCGTTAAACCGGCTCTCCACGTGCTCTGCCTACATGTTGCGACTCAGCCGCTGATTCGGTCACCAGTGACCACCCGCCTCCTCAGTGCTTGTGCGTGGGGAAGGACCCTGGGGAACCTGAGGGGGACGAACCCGAACCCGAACCCGAACTGACGGCCCGGGATCTTTTGGAGACCGGGTGACGGGGGGACAGGGGATTCCTGGAGTCTACGGAGTCCCCATGCCCCTTTGTCCACTCTCGATTGGCTACCCGGACGGCGGAGACGCTGAGAGGCCAAGAGATCGCCGCATCGTCCGTACAGCTGGACCAACCGATCTCGAGGTTGCCTCGTACGGAGGGGCAGGGATGGTTTCGTAAACGAGTCCTCTGTTTCTGTACAGCACCGTCTTGTCACTACCTTGTGTCCACCAAAAGTTGGGCGTGCACTTTTGTGTGTGGTAGACCACCTTATATGCTATGCGACACCTTGACGTTCTCCATTATTTTTGCTTCGTCATGATTTATTCTTGATGATTCTCCCGCAGCCAAGTCAAGAACATCTATGGCGATCCAAATATGTTGAATTAATCAAAGACTCACAAACTTCATTTTCTAGAGGGCTCATAGCCTCGAGGAGGATGCAGACCATCAGGGGTCTCAATCGTGTCCTTGTAATAAGTAGGAGCCTCACTATTTTCCCAGGCGTCCTTGACGGACTGAAGAATACGACGGCCGCTGAAGGCCTTGTCGAGAATAAGATTAGGTTTGGGGAAGATGTCGTTGCCGCCCCGGTTGTTATACTGGCCAGCATACGAGTAGTTCCAGTACATGCTTTGAAGCTGTTCCCGAGACTTCCACTTGCGAAGCTTGTCGCCAGTCCTGTCCGCAACCATCTTAAAGACATTGGCACCGACGTCCCATCGGCCAAGGGTGGGGAGATCCCAGTTGGCAGAGACAGTGGCAATTTCAGAATAGTGATTGTAAAAATTCTTGTCCTCAGTGCCAACGAGCTCTTTGGGGACAGCATCACCAATAAGAATTCCCAGAATGTTGTTGCGGGCAGCGTACGACTCGTTCTCATCCCAAGTGATCAGGACAAGCGTATTCTGCATGAAGTTTCCGTCCTCGATAAGGGGCTCGAGGAACTTGCGACACCAGACGCCGGCGACAGTGACAGAGGTGTCGTGACCATCGGAAGTCATGTTCGGGGTAATAAACATCCACTGGGGGAGCTTGTTGCCTTTGAGGTCCTTGTGAAACATGGAACGTGAGGTATCGATTAAAGACAGGTTCTTGATTTGTGACAGCTTTTGCTCAGATTGGGTGATGCCGTCGTGTAGAACGGCAGGGTTGTGCTTACGCACGTAGTCGTTGGCACCGTTCTTTCGGTTGCGGTAGGAATTTCCCTCAAAGCCGGAGAAAGGCATGTCTTCCTGGTAGTGGGCCCACGAAATGTCCTTGGTGTCAAGAAGATCAATGACCGTGGAAATGTTGCGAGGCGAGCGGGTGAAGTCGTCATTCTCCATACCAAAGTAATCACCGGCAATGGAGGCCATGTAGTTGGGCTCAGAAGGGTGAGTGACGGCGAAATAGTTGGACAAGGTGATGCCCTTCTTAGTGAACCAGTTGAAGTTGGCTGTGATAGATGTCAGACCTTGTATTCCGCAACATCGTGCGTTCTCCCCATGGAGTTGCCTGGAAGAGCACTTACGGTCACCGAAGGATTTGTCATAGTTCTGGTTCTCAAAGTAGATGATGGCAAGCCTGTCAAAGGCCTTGCCCTTCACATGACTGGTAGGGCTGCTGGTCTTCGCTGTAGCGGCAGCCTTTGCAACATCGACAGTTCCAGTAGCTGTGTACCTGGTCTCCCAGCCGCTTTGAGATTTGTAAGGAGTGGCGGCGGCGGCGACGGCGACAGACAGAAAGCTGGCAGTTTTCCGGAACAACATATTTCGTTTCTTCAGCCTTTCCAGTTTGGTTTTACAAGCAATGAAGCAAGTTGATCTGCCTGCTCGTACCGTAAAGATGGATCGACGTTTGGGGCGGTGCGTTTACTTAAGGGCACCGAGTCTCATGTCGGCAAGGTACGGAGGACCCCTGGCTTCTCCAAGCGAGTACTGCTCCGTCGAATATGCGTGACCATGCTAGGTAGTCAAGCATTGTACGTACTTAGGTAGGCATGGTTGAAAACGCATAAATGACTCCTGGATACGGAGTACTTTCAGTCGTGGTGGCAAGGCTTGCTTGCTGGCCCGCGGAGTCTGGCCATGCCACACGCCCCGTCCCCAACGGACTAGTGAGCATTGCGAGCGAATGCAAACACGCAGATCGGGCTCTCTATCCGTGGAGACGGACATCGCCCGGACCAGTCAATCCTACGGGAATTATGTAGCGTCAGCAATACTACGTACTACTTTCCCAACTGAACCTTGCCTAGCACTGTCCGGGTGTACGACGCAATACTCCGTACTCCGTACTAGACCTGGAATGTTTGTTGCCTTCTTCTTCCAGCCACGGTAGCCCAGAGTCCGCTAATCCTGTGTCTCAGCTCACATCTCGGCACCCCGAGGGGGCCCCTCGTCGGTATCCCCAAAAGTTGAACGAGGCGCCTAGGTGTCAAAACGCTGGCATCTCGACCTTGTTCGTCCCTTATCAGTGGCCAACCTGGAGGAGCATTGGGTTTCGGTGTTGGGAACCTGACTGTTTCAAGAAGCTCGGTACTCCGTTCTGGTGACCCCAGTAACTTATGTCTCTCCCAGTTGGTCTGGCCACTCTCCAAAGTGGTTGCGGGACAGGACCTCGAGGCTCCAGGGTTTTGGGCGAAGAGCGGGCCGACGAGATACAGTTTTACAGAGTACGGAGTACTGCGTCAAGAGTCTCCTTCTTTTTTTGGGAGCTGAAGTCTTTGAGCAGATAGAGAGTGTGACCATTGAGTCATTGCGCTTGTCACCTCGAAGCAGGGGCTCCATGCGCTGTTGTGTGCCGATCCATCCGTTGAGGAAGGTTGGGAAGGGCCATTTGTCCATCCAATTGAGCACGTTGACGAGTCTATTTTTTCTTGGTGACATCTCCATCTCAAGTTCGTAGCCTGGTGGCCCGTGGGGGTCTCGAGATCGGTGTTGATGCTACCCAATAGCACTTGGAAGCTTCATCAAGCGCGTCTTGCAATAACCTTTGAGGATTGGTCGACAGCCTCAGAACACGGTATATTTCCTGCATGGGACCACGCTTAACGAAGGTCATTACTGCCGTCTTCCCGAACGGAACCCCTGTGTGGAATGCAAGGTGATTTTCTGACTTGGTGGGTTTGCTCACCAGCGCCAACTGCAGATCACATTGCTCGTGGTTTTGCGGCGCGAGTCGGCGACTCGGCAAGCACCAGGGCGAGGTAGCCATGCGGCTTGACTACCATCTGCTGTGATAGGTGATTCACCATTTGCCGCTGGTGACAGTTTACGTGCCGCAGTTCGGTGCTGGTGCACTTTGTCCAGCAGAATGTCTCCAGCGGAAGATGGAGAGGTTGGTGAAAACGCAGAGGAGCAGCCGTTTCTTGTCCAAGAGACATCACGAGACGAGGGGGAAGTCGAGGCAGGTGCGAGTCCGGCTGCGACTACTGCCTCTTCCACTCCCCTCAGCGAATCGAGTCAAACTGCCTGGCTCGGAAAGAGCCGAGCCTCACGACAGCACAGATGCTGCAAGTTGAGCCTCTTCCTTCTTTTCTCCTTCGTCACAATCTTGGGTCTTTGCGGCATCATGCTGAGGTTCCCACCCAGAGGAACGAGAGGCTCTCTTGATGTGCACCCCCACGACGATCAAGAAAAGAACCACCAAGATGATCCAGCCAAAGGCCAAACCGATGACCCCGAGCACCATACAATACTACACTATCCTGAAGACGTCCCCCGCACGCCACGATTACGAGACATATCCGAGTATGTGCTTCCGCCGTCATGGAACCGCAGTGCTGCACGGGTAACTCGGGAATACTACTGGACAATATCAGATGCTGAATTGAACCCAGACGGAGTCTATCGACCCATGATGCTCATCAACAGCCAATTCCCCGGCCCCTTGGTGGAATGCAACGAAGGTGATACAATCGTTGTCAACGTGGAAAACAAAGCCGTAAACGCCACATCAATTCACTTTCACGGACTCTTCCAGAATGGAACCAATTGGATGGATGGCACTGTAGGCGTCACCCAATGCCCCATTGCCCCTAACTCAAACTATACATATAAATTTGTTGTCCGTGGACAGTCCGGCACATACTGGTATCATGCTCATCATAGTGCTCAGGCATCGGATGGCTTGGTTGGACCTGTCGTTATTCATTCCCAGGATGAGCTTGGACTGCAAGAGGTCAAATATGTGACGGACAGAGTTATCATGGTCCAGGACCATTACCACAGCACAACAGCTGAGTTGTTGATGTATTATCTCCAGCCAGACCAGGAAAACAACGAACCTGTTCCAGACAATGCGCTCATCAACGGCCGTGGCGTCCGGAGTTGTGATGACTTCAAGGGGTGGCATTGCGATAACAGCAACACGTCTAATCCGATATTTGACCTAACTGCAAACCAGCGGCATCGTCTACGATTCATCAACGTGGGAGCCTTTGCCGAATTCCAAATACAAATTGACGAACACCCATTCTACATCACGGAGGTTGACGGAACAGATGTTCATCCGGAGCCCTTCCATCGTCTCAACATCTTACCTGCTCAACGCTATAGCGTCATCGTTGACACCAACGTCACTACCGCTGATGCATATTGGCTGCGGGCCAGGATGGTCACGCACTGCTTCGCCACACAAAATGGTCGATTACAGCCGGAAGTCAGAGGAATAATACGGTACATCTCGTCAGTCTCTCAGCCCCTCACAGCTGATCCCCAAAGCAAAGACTGGCCGGAGGTCATCGAAACCATGTGTCGTGACCTGAACACGTCGGTTCTACATCCAGTTCAGCACATGAACCCACCCCCCGCAGACGACTTCGTCACCCTTAGAGCCAACTTCATGATTGGAGCTTGGCGTCTAGCACGAGGCTTCTTCAACGACTCAACTTGGCATGCAAATGTCACCCACCCCTCTCTCCATCGATTCCTCGATGCTAAGCCTGAATCAACCAGCCTCGAGGCCCCGTTGGCCATCAATAACAAAGTGTTCGACAAGGACAACGACTTTGTCCTTCAAACAAAGGGCATTCGCACAGTCGACATCTCCATCAACAACTTTGACGACGGCGCACACCCTTTCCATCTCCACGGCCACAAATTCTTCATCATTGCCCAGGCTCGGAGCGGATATCCCCCCACAGCCGCAACGCTGGACAAGTACCTGCAGCACAATGGTATGCCAGAGAACCCCCTTCGCCGGGACACTGTCACGGTAGAAGCCTACTCATGGGCCATAGTACGCGTTGTGCTCGACAATCCCGGCATATGGACGCTTCACTGCCATAATACGTGGCACTCTGAGTCGGGCATGGTAATGCAGTTACTCGTACAAAGTGAAGTAGTTCGTAGGTGGACGGTGGATCCGCAGCGCAGAGCAATGTGTGAGCTGGAAGGTGTCATGTCTGGCATCAGGCCAGACGATAGCATTTGGTTTGGCAGTTTCTAGATGTATGACTGCGTACTGCTCAAGCGGTGGTCGTTGGTTATGACGCGTGAATTTTGGATACCTGGGATGTGTCATTAGGACAAAGTTGACATCATGGAAGGAGGATGAGAGTTTGTACTTGTAGGCACGGTCTAACAGGGGAATTTGATGGAAGAGTTCTCTTCCTGAGCAATGGAGCACACTTGCCTCTCCAGAATACCCTTCAACGTCATTAAAGCAGCGTGGAATTTTCTCACATTCCTTACGTCCACGAAAGAAAAAGGAGAAAATAATTATATGTTGAATGATTTTGATCCTGGTCAGGTCTTCTATCCTAAGTAGACTCTAAGTCCACCACCAGCCAAACATCAGTATTAGTATCCCTTCTATCCCCATGGTACCATTCCCTTGTCTAGTTGAGCAAGTCCCTGTACAAAAACAACACACCCAAATTCCCATTTGTTACAAGATGAAATTTCTATTTCAGAGGCGAGATTTCTCATCCCAGGTGCCTCTCCCCCGTCCGCAGGTAATATGCAATTACAATAATACAAAACCAGGCGTAGTAAACCAGCACACCAGGCGTTGCTCGAAACGCCGGGGCTCGTGGAAATGTGCTGAACAAGTAGAGGTTGCAGCAGTAAAGCAAATGCATGTTTGATCAAGATGATCCGAGCGCAGTTCTGCTCGGAAGACCAACGCCGCAGGTAAACATGGGACACCACTTTTTTAAAAACCTTCGCAATGCTTTCCAGATGCTGCTAAAAGTCAAAGATAACATAAGCAATAAACGCCAGAAAGAACGCTTGCATGATGAATTATGTGATGTGTGACGGGTGTATTCGTTCCGAATTCTCTGCTGTGTCTTAGGGGTTTCTTCGCGCCACGTTGACCCCGGGGTTAACGAAGGCTCGAGACGCAATGTCGCTGAATCGCCGCACCACATTAGTAGTGCCACCAGTGACCTGTGCTTCGTCTAGTATGAATTTCGACGCGACAGCAAGTCGATTCTTGGGGTCAGTCTCATCTGCGTACTGGGGAGTGCTTCCGTAGCTCGGACCGTAATACGGTGCGAGTTCGCGAACGACGGCTATGGAATAAAGAACGTCACGGTTTTCTCGCGAATCTAGCAAGTGCCTCATTCTACTCAGCGCATCCTCCCTAGCCTTGAGAGCCTGATGGGAGTCGGGCAAGTCACGCTTCCGTACAAACTCCGCTAAGCTATACCAAAAGTCGAACTGGCGAGTACGATGGGGTTCCGGATCTTGCAGTGGTGGCGCGAGAGGATTTGTGACCAGATATTCACCACAAAGCAAGGCTTCAACAACGCGCAGGCGATTTCTTGCTTCAGTGGCATCGCCCTCTGGTGGCATGGTAGCGCGGCAAGTCCGATTTGTTCCCTCAGGTGTCCGATACGCAGTGCAAGCAAGCTCCCACACTATCCTCGTCTCCAATACTCCAGAATAAGCCATTTGAGAATGGTCATTCGCTCTGACAGCTTCCAAAATTTTTAAAAATGTCGCCATATGCTCGATGAGATTGGCGTCCCTGGGAAATGACATCTTGCCATTATCGACAAAGTAATACCATGTTGTTTCAAAAAAAGCACTTAATCCACCAGCATACATCTCATGGTATACTTTGGTGATTTCGTTAAAGGTTTCCTCGGTATGCTTTATCTGTTGATGAGGAGGCGGCGCACCGAGCAAATCGATAATTTCGTTGATCTTCATCTTCTTGGCTGAGAACCAGTCGGTTAGCATATCGCCGTCCAGAAGGAAAGCTTTAATGTCAAAAAGAATATTTACTTACGTGTCGCGTGATGGCTGCTCTCAACGGCCGTCGGTGTCTTGTAGTCGTACGGCTTGATATCGGGGCCAGTCGGTGGTGGCAAGTGTCTACTAGCTGGATCAATCGGGGTTGCGAAATCAAAAGGCTCCTGCTTGCTAGGCGGCTCCCGCTTGATAGTTGTCGTGCCGCTGGCGGAAACTGGCGAGGTATAGCTGGATGAGACGGCGTGTGCCGCTGAGGAGGAAGGAAGAGTAGACGGTGGGGATGCAGTTGAATAAGAGCTTGGAAGCATCGACGGCTGACTACCATACGGGTTGGTAGGCGCAGACGGGTGGCCAATTCCAGAACTCGAATGGGCCGACACCGAGGAAGCAACAGATGACGATGCCGCTGGCTGACTTGCTAAGGCTGGTTGGATGTGAGAGTTGGGCTGCACGCCAGGTTGCTGTCGAAATATGGGGTCGTAGCCTAAGCACTCTCGTTTCGACTTCTTGCAATTGTTACAGGTTGGATGTGTCTCATCACACTATAATTCGAACGGCATCGTCGATATGTTAGCAAATAAAACTGGACAGAGACAGAGGCCGAAATTGGCGAATTGGCAGAGGTGGTTTTGTGATGGAGGATAGAAGGAGACGTGTGTTGTGCAAGACTACTAAGAGCTTCCCGACCCACTTGGCGCAAGCGGATTAACTTTTGGAGCTCCCTCCGAATCGGAGCAGCGTCAGACATCAAAACTGACCTGGTGCTACCACGACAAGAAGTCATGGCAAGGGATGAGAACATTTTCAAATCAACTTTTGAAAATGGAAGACAGGGGGCTATAAACGAGGGGAAGTAGAAGTGTAAACGAATGAGTGGACTGTTGAATACCTTTATTCTACGCTTTCGACATGTTAGACAGCCCGTTTTGGTTCGACGTTTGATTTCCTGTAAAATATCAAGTCAGTCGAGCTATGAATTCAACCAGAGTTTCGGGAATGCAAAAAACTCATGATTGAGCCCTATTCAACTCTCCTGTCTCTCACTTACCTTCTTTGAGCCTCTACTGCCGAGGATCCTAGGGTCGTGAGGTAGGGAATACCGATGTAGAGAATCAGAAGGCAGCCCGTAATTTGAGGGCACGGGCATCGCATGGTGAGAGGAATAGATTGCTGGGCCAGTAGATGCAGAGGGTAGAGGAGCATTCATGCTTATTGGCATGGCATGATGTGGCATTTCCGATTGACTGGCTCTTTCCTGAGGTAGTGAGTCCATCGTTCGCATACTCGGAAGAGACATGGTGTTGCCACTCGGGACTGGGCTGACTCTGTAGCCCTCGGTCGAATGCGGTACTACGGTACTCGTAGGGTAGGGTGAGTATTGCGTAGTCGAGACAGCAGTCGGTGAGGCATAGCTAGCGGCGGCCAGGTGCGAAGAGGTCGAGGGCGTGTTTGTTGTGGCTGAATAGCTCGCAGGAAGCCCATTGTGGGCTGTAAGAACAGGCCTATAGCCGTTCATATCGGAGTCGACCTCGGACGACTTGTTGAGTCCGTTCTGCTGAGATTCTGAGGCAGAAGCAGGAGTAGGAGCGGCGGCGGCGGCGGCGGCGACAGTGGCAGGCGACTCAGATGGCGATGACGAAGCCGGTGCGGCAGGTTCTGAGTCGATAGTCGAGGCCGGGGCCGGACCTGCAGTCGTCGTCGTGGGTGTAGTCGAGATCGGAGGTGTTGAAGGGGACCGGGAGAGAGATATTGACTTTGACGGAGGGTTGTGAACGGCGCTGGAACTTGCCAGAGCAGCCGTGGCAGCTGCAGGCGCAGAAGCAGGAGCAGAAGCAGACGTAGAAGCAGCTGCAACAGCTGCGGTACCGGGCGTGGCGATATCAAGATTGGGACCAGGACTTGAGGTGGTAGTAGCACCGGCGGTAGCGGCATTGCCAGGAGCTGGAACAGGATCAGGACCAACACCGGCGGCGGTGTCCTGAGCCATGCTTCTGCCGTCCGTAGACATGACTTTGTTGGGTGTTTCTTAATTGGAAAATTTATGGAGCTTATCGGACGACATGGGAAGCTCAACAGCGGGTAGCAGCAGACGGATTTCAAAAGGGTACGGAGCACAACGGCCCAGCAAGACGACCTTGGTTTGACGACAGTCGTCACACGAGGGGCGTCCGGATGGCAAGATTAGGTGTGAAGAAGTCCACAAGTGACTCTGACGGGATCCGGATAGAAAGCGCGAGACACGCCCTGACTGGGGTTAGGAAAGGAAGCCTTGCTCAACCGTGTCAGCCCGGTTGGACAGTCCGGCCCTAGCTGCCTTGCTTGTTGCGCCGCAGCCAAGAGACAGGGAACGATAATTAAAAAGAAAATGGAGATGGAAAGGGGATCGTCTCGTCCGAGTGCTAAATTTTTAGGTCCGGGAGACGGTCGGGGTAGCTGGCTGGGGGGCACCCCAGTTGAAGGCGTTGAAGCAATCCCCAATGTCGAGTTTTGCACAATGGGATCAAAAACGCGGACTCGGACTTGCGTTCTAAAAGTGGTACATGCGCGGGCGGGAAGGAAGCACTCGAGCCCTAGAGCCTGAGAGGTACATTGTACAACGCATTAGCACTCTCTGCAGTCATGGACTGGTGCAGAGAGCCGGCGTGCACTTGTATCCGCAACATTGCGGAACCTGTCCGCCCGTCTCTGCCTGCCTGCCTGCCGGCCGGCAACGCTGACAAAACGTGGCGGTGCGTTCGACTGCTGACGGCGGCTTGAGACATTGTGGCTGATGCTTTTTGACTGTCTTGAAAGAAGAGACATGGACTCAACATTGAACGCCCATGGCCAACCCAACCCACCTTTCTCTATCACACGAATACCGAATACCTCGCACACTGCTCCGTAACTGATTCCATATCCTACCGGTGCAGTTGCCACCTATGCACCGAGTACACCGCATATTTTCAATACGAGGCAGCGTTCTCCGTACGGAGTATGCTATCGTCATCGGACCCACGCGTGAACATTCCGTATTACAAAAGCTAATATCGCGAGCTCCTGCCAGCTCCAGAATTCATAACCAGCCCCAGCTAAACCTTGCGCACGGAGACGATTCATATTCCTCTGCGGCCCAGTCACGAGAGTGGGAACTAATAAGGCACAGAGCGCACACGCCCGGGCACCCTGCCAGGCTTCACAAATCACTACGACCCTGCCGCGGTGGAGAATTTTTTTTTTTTTTTTTTTTCGTTTAAAAAAAGTATGCCGTGACCCTGGACCAACAGAGCATCATTTCAGCTACGGTGAGCCATGAGTTTGCTGAATCTACAACAAGAGCCCCTATTACCAATGGTACGGAGTATGTACAGCAGCCACTTGGGAGACGGAGAGCACCATTTGTTCACCAAACGGACGCACAAACAAGATACCCGCGTGGCTCCTCAATTATACATACATGCCTAAGCGAAGCCAGCCGTATACTTTCGACAGCAGCCTTGATGCATACTCTATTTTCTTTGGACGATGGGCGAGTGGCGACGCTTGGTTCCGACCCTGGATGTGACTGCGGATGGAACCCTGGACTCCCCTTGTCTTGGCTTGGACTCTTGGGCACACAGTGAGCACGGAGGACTCCACGTTATATCCAGGGAACTAAAAATTTGGGCGCAGGGCCGGAGAGTCGATGCGCCAGAGTTGACTACCCGGAACCACGAGGTTGGGGGAAGAATGGAAATCACAAAATGACGTCGTCTGCCAGCAACTGGCCCTGGTCCGGAAGGATTTTGTTTCGACATTCGGTCGAAGGGCTTCCCCTTCCCCTCATCTCCGACATTACCGATCTATCACAATCTTGCAGCCCGTGCTCGTCACTCTTGACCGACTCGCAGCTGCCATGAGCTGATGACCATGGGTGAAACGAAAGGCATGGGCACACCCAGTGTTCCACGAGGCTGCTGCTTTCTGTTGATGCGCACACGAAGGGAAAAACACGCCGCACCCCTGAGAACCGATGAGTACCCAATCCGGGTTCATCGAGCTGCCACATCGATTGATAGTGCCCATTGCATTGTGAAGCACAATACTCCGTACTCGGCACGAAATCCAACAATCGTTGCCGACGACCAACAGCTCTCGCAAATCGGGCTCAATTTCCCGGGGCACACATCTGGATCGCCATGCGCGTCAATCTTTATTTCGTAGCGAACGAGAGCACTCGGCACTCCCTGCCTGGGTACATTGCATGCAAGCGGTGGGCGTACGGAGCAGCCAGTAGTTCAAGACTTGATGCGGGCGCGACCGAACCACAGATGGCCCTGGACCTGGGCCTCGGCAGGCTGGGCCATGTGCTCTGGATTCTGGAGTCTGTTCTGTCCATACGGAGTATTTCGACCCGTGCGCCGTGCCGTGTGAACTAGTTAGTTACTCGTATTGCGTCAGCCTAGCACCGGTACGGAGTGCTCCGTATACACAATAGCATTGTTCCTAGATCCAAACCACAATTGCCCCTACAGCAATCCCGGAGGCCCACGAGACGCCCGCAACGCCATGTCCAGTCCAATGCGCGCCATGGTACAATATTCGACACGACTGGGAACTGCGCCGCGACCGGCAAGGCCACCAGCTCAGGCAGAGCTGCCCTCAACCTGCGCAAGAGAGCACCTTTTAAATGCAGATGTCGCCGCTGAAAGACGAATCCCAGACACCTCACTGCCGCTGGTCGGCGGTCCGACAATGAGCCATGGACTGGCGCGACACACGCGAGTTTCGGCGTAATATGTCCACGCCAGGCACCGCCCTTTGCACCTGTACTGGCAATCCCGAGCCGTTTTGATGCCCTGCCAGAGCTTGACCTCTTCCTCGCCGGGACCAACATGGTCGCCTTTGTCCAGGGCTGACTCTTCCATCGACTCCAACCGTGTTTGGCCAAACAGCTCCCACAGCTGGCCCCAAAGTACCGGCCTTGTCGTCCTGCCCAGCGTCACTCCAGCATGGACCATGGCACCAGGTTTCCGGAGCCCATGAAAAGAAACAACGGGCGAGCAGACACGATCGAGTCGAATCCTCGTCATGTCCGGCGCCTCGCCGTTGAAGTAGTGACTGAGCCGTTCGTCAATGTAAACTCCAATCCTCTGCAGCGTCGTTGCCACCAGTCTATCGCCCCACGTCTCGTCCAACGAGCGAATGTAGGCGTCTCGCACGATGTCTGGCCTGCTGAACAGCATCCTCATGGCCGCGCCGGAGACAACGACGGCCGATCCGCCGTGGGCAAATCGCGCCTTGTAATCGCCCACGGCGTTGCCCACATACTGCGGCTTCGAAGGATCCAAGTGACTCAGTAGCAGCTCCAGGGATTCCTTGACCACGAACGTGTCGTCGTCGAGGATAAGATACCACTTCTTGTGCGGCATTCTCCGGTACGAAAGTTCCATGCCCGCGATGAACTGTCGGAAACCGTCAGCCTCGTCCCTCCCCAACCCGCCAGCTCGCCACCATCTCCTTTGCCTCCCAGAACTGCCGCCCGAGCCAGGGCAGGACCAAGAAGCAGAGACAACGGCCCAGGGCACTCGCTCACCTTCAACGCATCAAGTTCCCACCCAAACTTGGCCCCGAGCTCCTGGGCTCTCACCTCGTCGCCGGCATCCACGGCGCCCCCCAAGTTCCTGTACTTGCCGAAGCGCGCATGGTCCGCAAACCCGGCCAGCCTCCCGTCCCTCATCACCAAGCCGACGGCGTCGACGACCGCCGCGCCCAAGCCCCCCTCGGCGGTGGCGTTGGCCGGCTCCCAGTCTCCAACGACCAGGTAGTCCCTCCCCTCGTCGCCCAGAACGCCGCCCTTGACCGCAAACGCGCGCAGCTGCTCCCGGACGCGATGCCTCGTCCCGTAGCCCGTCTTGATCAGACACCCGACCTCGCTCGCCAAGTGCACCGGATACCGCGCCCGCCCGCGCAGCCACGCGTCCCTGTCGCCCGGCAGCAGCGCCGACCGAAGTCGCGCCGAGTTGAACACCACTGCCAGCACGGCAGGCGAGTCCGGCGGCAGCGTGACGAGGAGCACGCTCAGCACCACGAGGGCCGTCAGCACAGCCACTTGTGCGAGGCGACGCCGTCGACGGATGGCCATGCCGACAGGCCGTGCTGTGGGAGTCGGGCCAAGCACGAAGAAGGAGGAGAAGGAGGAGAAGAAGAAGAAGAAGGAGAAAAAGGCGCGCTCATACAGCCGACGCGCGCATGCTGGCGACCGCCGAATTGTACTCGAGTACGTTTGGCAGCCGTGTCGAATCTCTGGCTGCCCCGGCCGGAATGTACAATGCACGCCATGGCAAGGAGTACGGAGCACCAGGAAACGAAAGTTTGGGCGTCTCCATCTCCGCTTCGTCAGGGGACGGGACCAGGACAGGACAGGACAGGACAGGGGGGCGGGTCAGGGCCCAGGGGCGCAGCCGCCGACGGAAGAACCGGTCAAAGCTTGAGCAAGTACGTGAGTTGCACGTACCTACTAAGTTAGTTAAGTACTAGCACAAAGTACGGAGTAGGTTGGCGCGTCAGCTGTCGACCCGACGCACAATTTATTTCTAAAGAGCACGACAGTCACCAACAGTAGATGCACAGCAGACAACCAACGGGCTGAACTTTACTTTGTACAAAACGAAGAAAAGGGCTCCTGTACTTTCCAGGAACGTACCAAGTATGTTCACGCCACCAAGGGAGCCGTCATTCCCCTCCCCTCGTTTTTTCTTAAAAAAAAAACAACACTAACAACAAAAAAAGACCCCCTCGCAAGTGAAGCACAAAATGCGCAACCAGACGCCCGTTCATGCACGTCAAGGACAACGCCGGCGTGGGCCCGACAGAGGGCGGCCTATATACAAGACGGAGACTAGTACCTGCCAAACAAGGCGCCGGGCAATCACCTCTCTAGCTCGTAGAATAATAGGTAAACCTCCCTTTGCATGCCAAGGACCTCGCTGGTCTTGGCCTCGCGGACCTTTTCGTCGCTGACGCGCCACCACTTGTCGGCCGCTGGCTTCCGGTGCTTCGGCCGCCTGGGGGCCCCGTTGGAGCCGTGTTTCCTGAGCTCCGTGGTCTTGGGGGCGGCGGCCAACTTGGAGAGGGCCGACTTGGTAGAGGCCGCGACGGATCGGAGGCTGGTTGTGTCGATGTCCTTTTCTCGGGGCGTGCCGGCGGACGAGCCGGAGGAGGAGGGGGGCGGGGGAGGGGGCGAGCCGGTGGCCTCTGCTGCTGGGACGCTGCGAGGCGGCGTGGCCACGGACAAGAGCGACGGCGTGGACGAGTTGGCTGCCGGCGACGGCGAGAGCAGGTCGGGGGTCGACATGGCCGGGCTGTGGGACGGGCGGCCGGCCATCTCGGGCGTGGACACGGGCGTGGGCGTCCGGCTGTAGACGTCGGACCGCTGGAAGGTGTTTGCGTTGTGGTAGGGCGAGGGCTGGTTCTGCCGCCTGAAGGCCTCGTAGTGGCCGCTGTTGTGGCCGCCGCGGTGCGTCACCGTGCCGAGCAGCTTGTAGCTGTGCTGGTCTGCGAGCCCGCCCAGGGGCAGCTCTTCGGGAAACGCCACCTTGGCAGAGTTCTTCTGCATCATCTGGCCGACGCCGTAGATGGAGCGCGACAGGTGGATGGCCAGGATCTTGGGGAAGATGGACATGCGCGTCGTTTTGGCTATCCTGCGCTTCGGCGCATATCGAATGTCGCCGAGGTCCACGCCCTCGGGGGGCTGTCCGGGATCCGCGTCCATGGCCGCTTGCACTTTGGTGATGCTGTCCTTGGCCTGGGCTATGAAGCTCCCCGAGGTCGACCGGGCCACTTCGTGCTCCAGGTTGGCCTTGACGTGCAACAGCCGACACATCTCACACTTGAAGTCGTCAATGTACTCCGTCTTGAAGATGCCGTCGAAGCACGCGTTTAGTGATGTCGACGAGACCTGCGGAACGGCGAGGGTCAGAGTGCAAAACGTCTCCTCTCGGGGCTTGGTCTTGTATCCGCACGTTTGACACTCGAGATGCGACTCGTACTTCCCTTCCATGGGGAACCCTTCTTCCAGCTCAGGCTGTGTCTGCAGCTGCACTTGGGTACCGGGTGCCTCCTGTGAGATGGGCGAGCACGTCTCGGACTCGGCGTCGTCGTTCCCGCCGACCTCGTTTGCGCCGTCGCCGACGGTAGCTTCCTCGTCTGGGTCCTTGGCGGCGGCGCCGTCGACGGGGCTATCCGTGCGGCTCGCGGCGGCGTGCAAGAGCCCGTTCCCGCGCGCGTGAAGCCTCGCGCGCTGGCCGGCGTGGTACTCGTCCTTGAGACGCTCGGCGACAATCTGCAGAAACTCCTGGGCGTCCTGCTGCTGCCTGCTGATGCGCTGCTTGAAGGCGGCCTCGAGCACTTTGACAAAGGGAAACGGCGACACGGACTTCCTGTAGATGGGCCGCTCGTTGAGGGCGTCCAGCATGTCTTTGAGGCCCTGTGTCACCAGGCCGTCCTGCAGGCCCCGCAGCTTCCACTGCTCCAGCCTGGCGGTGCCCTCGGGTTGTACGAGATTCGCGTAGACGGCGGCATCTTCGATGCTGCGACGGTGGGTTTCGCGGATGAGATAGACGCGGAGGTCGCCGAGACCGGCGAGGACCTGGAGGACAGAGTTGATGAAGCAGTCGTTGGCCTGGTTCCGCAGACCTACGACCGTCTTCTTCTTGGAGCTGGATTCATGATCGATGGTGAAGTTGGGCCCGAAGACGTAGATGAGGGCAACGGCGGCGAGAGAGGCTCCGGCAGCATACGAAACAACCGTCGACGACTTGTCGGGCATGGTTCGCAGGTAGGCGGCGGGAGGTCGGGTTGGCAGACCTCTTGGGTGCACGCGCCCTGTTTTTTATTTTTCCCTTTTTGACCTCTTTTTCGATCGAAGATTCGGATTCCTCGGCTTAGGAATGGTATCTATTCGGTAATGCTGGATGTGCACAGCCGGTGGAGAAATGGACGAAATTCAGGGAAAAAAAAAGAAAAAAAAAAGAAAAGAAGGGAAAAGAAAGGAAAAGAAAAGAAAGGGAGTCGCCAAGCGCGTTATCAGGTTTGCGAGGGAGTCGTCGGCGTCGGAGGGAGAATCATGGCGCGGCGCAAACCAGAGGGATTATTCTGTTGCCTTCTCCTGCCTGTTGAGAACGTCGGTGCCGTGAACGTCTCGACGGAGGAGGATGGGAAAGCACACGTCCAGAGGGGACGGGGATTGATTGACGGGTACGGAGCAATGCGAGGTCGGGGGTGCTTTGTTTGTTCAATGTTCAGTCGGACTCGGGGGCTTGTGGGGATGAAGCCGACGCACATGAGGCCGAAGAGACGACGGCGCACATACGGAGTAATTCAGGTCGACTCATGTCCCACGCGTGCGTAAGCCGGGCTCAAGCGGACGGCCGATGTGTGGAAAATACTTGGGTTAAGTGGTAAGTTGGCAGTCGTGGTCCTCGGAACGGAGTACTTGGGTAGCATTGAATTGAATGTTGCATTGGATGCTGATGATGGAGGTCAATGCAGGGCCTCCGTTCGCCCTGGGCCTCCCCTGGGCCTCACCTGGGCTTTGGGCCACGCCACGCCACGCCAGGCGAAGAGTGGAAAGTGGAGGGGGGGGGGGGCGGACGTGGGAGGGACGTACCTTCCATTCCGGTGCCCTTTTCCGTTCCCCATTCTGCATGCGCCATGCGCCATGCGCCAGACTACAGGACATGGTATAATAAATCATATATAGTCTAGAGTCTTTTTGGTCTTCCAGAAAAAGACAAAAAAGAAGAAGAAAAGAAAAAAGATTAGAGCGCGTCGCCTGGCCCCCACACGACGTGGCGCGGTTCGTGCCGCAGCGCTGCCTGCTGCAACCACCCACCCGTCCGTCGTCATCGTCTTCTTGGTTGGTGGTCGACGGGTCGTGATTGGCATCAAAACGCCCGTCGAGCAACTCGCCCTGGACTACATGCCAGTCGCCCTCAACTCCAACACGTCAAGCCACCCTGTCCCCCTTCCACTCCCACAATGTGCCGTCCAAAGCCCCCCTCCTCACCCACTCCGTGACCAGCTCCCCGTCACTCTCGTCCCCGTAAAACGGCCTCGGGACCTCGTACGTTTCCACCTCCATCTTGCCCTCCGGATCAACCTCGCTCCACCTCGCCGTCCTCACCGTCCCAATCTTGTACGCCGCGTCCAGCAGCACGATGCGCATCATCCTCCCCAGACGCGGGTCGTCCCGGGGCAGCTTGTGGAAATACTCGTCCTTGATGTCCGCCACGTCCACCCTCTGCGGCTGCGCCAACACCACGTGCCGCAATTCCGGGAGCGTAGCTATATCCCACCAGAGCCAGTGGTTGTCGAGCGGCACGCCAAACAGCGTGAGGCGCTTGAGGTCCGGCCACAGACGCCATACGTCCGTGTGCGCCTCGGGCACGCTCAGCGCCGGATACTCGGCCAGACACGTAAACTCTTCCACCTTGGTGAGCTGCTCGAAGCCCTCGCGCAGCGTCCGCCGCACGCTGACATGGTCTTCGAGAGGGTCGAGGCTGGAAAACTGCATGTGGACCACCAGCCGGCGGAGAGAATCGCTCACCTCGCAGAGGAGCTCGCGCACACATTCGGCCGTCGGCTGATCGTCCAGGGGGGCCCCGAACAGCCCAAGGTAGAGGCTCGTGACGTTTCCAAGGGAGAGGACCGGCGGCAAGGTCGGTACCATGCGCGGGACGCAGAGCAGATACGTGGCAAGACGCTGGCTCGAGTCAATGTGTACGCAGTGCTGGCGGAGAAGTCGGGAGGCGTGCGTGTAGGTCGCGCGGGAGACCGTCGTCAGTGCCACCAGGGTCTTGGTGATGATGTGTTTGGGAGGCAGGATGACGTGCCGCCCGCACGGGACGAGGCAGTCCATGGCCTGCAGAATCAGCTCCGGGGGAAGATATGCATGCTGCCCCCTGATGGTGGTTCTTGGCGGTGCTTTAGGCTCGGGTTCCATGACATGAAGCAGAGACGGCTGGCATCAACATGTCCAACTCATCTTTGCTCATTCATCAACAGAGGCGACTGCGGCGCGGTTGAGGACGGGCCACCGAGCCGAAACGCCTCCAGTATTGTGCGATTGTCGTTGCGCTGCGGATAGAAACGTCTCCTTTGGCATCGTTGGTCGACGCGAGCGGATAAGCCTCTTATCAACTCGGGGTGGTGTGGGTGAGGTGAGTGAAGGGAGATGTGATGCGTTTGAGTTGCAGAGTACAGAGCACAGTGTGCACGGTGTGGGTTCATTCTAGATCAATCAAATCCAACATCAGACAACATCAGACTTTCCCATTGGGCCGTCTCATCCGGCGCTTATAGACCCGACTGTCTAGGCCCAAGACATGACAAGACATTGACGTTCCTGCTGCAACCAGGCGAAACAAGTAGTTATTTCGTTCCAGATCGAGTCGCCTCATTTCTCCATGCAGTGGATCCTGAATGGAGCACATGTTGCTCGTCTGCATATTCCACGGCCAAACGAAACGTCGAGCCACGGCCACTCATGTCCTCTTGACAACTCAATTCTCGCACATGTGGTATCTGAGGCTTCTAAACTAAAAAAAAAAAAACAGTCTTCTCCTTACAACCAACTTTCCATGATGCAATGCACTGGCAGTGAGGGTAACAAGAGCATCCGCCAAATCTGCTCGCTTGTCAACGTGAAATAGCCATCCGTAAGATTATACCAATGACCAAACAAGACAAGAACGGAAACGAAATGAATAGCCCCGGCACATTGATGGGAATCTAAAAAACGCCTTTTCCAAATGCACCTTGCCCATTACACACACAGTCATGATTCCGAGGCAAAAGCGCCCACCGACGCCAACACCACCCCAGGCGCTCACTTACAGCAGTCGCAAGTCTAAATGTACCTGTTTGTCTTCCCAACTCTTGCCGACGAACCCACACGCCCCTACCTCATTATTCCTTGGCTGGACTTTCGTAGGAATAGTCAACGCTCCATAGGGAATCCCACAACACTGACTTCTTGGACTTGCTTGCTGCCGAGTCTTCCCGCTGCACAGTCATTCGGGTCTGTGTACATGGCCATCAGCAACAATTACTGGTCCAGCAGGGTGTCGACATTTTGTACCTCGGAAGAGCTTCCGGCGGCTCCCGCTGCCGACGACTCTCCAGCCTGTGGACCGCCTCCTCCGTTGCTCGACATGTCCTTCCGTTTCTCCTTGCCCGTCATGTTCTCTGAGCTGCCGGCTTGAAACTGGCCATTTGACAAGGGTCCTGCCTGCACGGGACTCGTTGCGGCCGGGGAATCTGGCGCAACTCCTCGCAGGGAGTTTGTTTCGCTGGCCAAGGCACTGCTCCTCAGCACTGCTGTCCCACCAGCTGTTGCGAACGGCAGAGTCTTCTTCGATCCAGAGCTGCTACCTCTGCTCTCCAAGCTCTTTGACAGGCTCTTGTTGATCCCCTCGATGCTAGCGATGCTGTCTCGGGTCTTGCCTCTTGCCTTGATCGGAAGGGACTGAATGTCGGCCGTTGCTTCAACTTTATTGGAAGCAACGGTTGACTTGCCCATTCCGGGTGTGGATGGTGCGCCGGCCTTATCCTCCTGTGCATCAAGGAGATACCATCGTAGGCCATCTGATAGCTGGAAGGGGTTGTCATTCTCGTCGTCGTTGAAAGACTCGGAATCATTTGTTGGCTGAAGACTCTTGGACAGGTCAACTACACGCTCCTGGATGCGAGATATTCTGGCCACAAGCCACTCTCTATGACGGAGACGGTGCGCTTCTGTTTCGCGAAGGAAATAATGAGGGAATCCCACATTGAAAGCTGCCCACGCCCCCGCCTGCTGGTTACGCGTAGGCAGGAACAGGGCCAGATCACCTTCTTTGAAGTTCTTGAAGGCAATCTTCTCGTGTGCGTTTTTCTGTTGAGTATGTGCTCGATCCCTGTATGCTCTGGCTTCTCGCTGCCACTTTCGCGCCTTGTGCTCCGCTTCCTTGATTCGCACGTACATGGTTTCGGCGAAGACTTCCGTGTCAAAGGACCCAAGCTTTTCCAAAAATGCACTATATTTCTCAGACTCAGAAGCTGCGTCGCTCGCATCCATCCAATACATCAACTCCAGATCTGCACTATCCACCATCGACTTAGTTCCCAGGCTGACGGAACGACGTAGCGAATTTCCGGGGTCCGAGGAATCGTTAGGGTTCTGGGCAGCACGGTCCGACCGAGCAACTTTGGCGATGATCATCTCCCCGGGCTTTCTCGCGACCGTGTATCCACAACGTTCAAGAAGACGTATCAGACGTTCGCTTTGAGCGTACAGTCTCTGCGTGAGGTCCTTGGTTCGCGAGTCTCGTGCATCATATTGAGCGGTCAATGCCGAGGACCTGATCTGCATGTCCTCCATTCTTTGCTTGATAGAGTGGAGTTCCTCTTCCAGACTGCCAACTTGCGACTGACGAGACGCTAGGTCTTCCGTTAGCTGGCTAACCTTCCTCTCTTCTGACTCGAGCTTCTTTTGTAGAGTTTCGGAACCAGTTTCACCGGCTGACAGCCTCGCTCGTAATTGACTGAGGTCATCTCGGGCGTTCGCAAGTTCATTCTCAAGAGCAGCCACCCTAGATTTCTCTTCTGACACACTTTCGCGCAGTTGCACCACGCCGTCCTCCTCCTTAGTGAGCTTCGCCCTTGTGTCAATTATTTCCGCCTTCAACTCCTTGACAGATGCCAACGCATGCTGTAGATCTGCCTTGACCATGGCCGAATCACTTTCAGTGTTCTGCAATTTGGCTGTGAGGTTTGCAATGCGGGACAGAGACGACTCCACCAGATCCGACAGATCAGCGGGAGTTTCTTCTTCGGGACATAATTCGACGTGGATTTTATGGAGTGAATGGAGTTGGCTTTGGTTGAGTTCTTCTGCCTCCCTGAGTTTCTTTGACAGGATGGCCACTTCCTCACTAGCCTCTTGTGCCTGACGAAATGACGTGTCCAACTGTTCGCGGTGCTTTTGCGCTTCTTTCCGAAGGTACTCGACCTGGCCCTGTGCTTTCAAAGCCTCATCCATCTTTTCCTTTGCCAGCTTTTCGACTTGCGATTCGAGTTCTTGAATCTTACCATCGAATGTAGCCTTCTCGTTCTCGCGAGATGCGTCAAAGTGTTCCATCTCGTCTTCATTTTCTTCCAAACGACCCTTGAGTGACTTGATTTCGTCCTCAAGGGATTTCCTCTCCTCCAGGAACTCGCGCTTCAAAGCCTCCATGTTTCCAAGCAGATCTTTCTTGGTAGAATTGGCTTCTTGTATCTGGTCCTTCATGTCGTCGTGCTCCGTGACTCGGGTGCTGAGGTCTCTCTGGATGCGTGTCGACTTTTGTTTCTCCTCACGAAGCTCATTTTCTAGCTGAGTAATTCTTCGTAGAAGAGGATCAGCACCGTCGGAAGGCCGCCGATTTGATCTGACAGACGAAGTCGAGTCGCGACGCTCGCGCGGCTGGTGATTCTGAGGTTGAAACAAGTTGCCGGGCCGGGATGCTTGGCTATGCCTATGGAGCAAATCTTCTAGACGCCTGACTCTGCTTTCGGCTGTCTTCAACTTGCTTTCCATCTTGGACTTGTCGTCCTGCAAGGAGCGAAGTAGATCATCATCCCCGCGAATCAAAAGCCCACTTCTGCCTAGAGCCGCTTCGTGGACACTGCCATTCTTAAATGCCTTGAGCCGTCTTGACTGCTGCTTTGTGGGACTGTGAAGCTCTTGAAGGAGCTTTTCAATGTCCTTGAGAATGATATGATCCGTTTCCTGTTCCCTAAGGGTCTGGAGGAAAGTGTCCAAATCATCCTTATTTATTGAGGGCCACGGCAAGTCTTCTCCCAAAAGGTTCACCTCAAGGCCTATAACGTGCGAATCCGAGGCCGGCCCATACATGCTTCCGACCATCTTGTGCCATTTTCTTCGCCTTTTGGATTCCTCATCCTGAAACAGCGCCATTTCGTTGGCGAGTGTAGAAGAATCAGTCTTGACCTTGTCAACCCATTCACGGCGGCGAATCGCTTCGACGACGAACGATGCGTACATGTAGGGTAGTTGATGGATGAGTCGGAGGTAATCAAAGGTGGTCATGTCATCCTCGGACTGGTTGAGAACGTTGATTTGGCTTCGTAAGTTGGTATGTAGAGAGGTTACGTCGGTGATAGTCCGCATGCAGCTAACTGACTCCGAGGCAACGGAATTTCGAGCCTCTGTGGCGTACTGAACTAATTCATCCATTTCCTTAGCCCGCTTCTTCAGAGATGGGACTAGTCGTTCGGTATGATTCGATGCTGTTTTGGACACCTGAGCAAGATCTCTCTGGGAACCGCTGTACCCCAGGGCAGTACGATAATCGGAGTCAATCTGCCTGACCACGGCCTCAATATCATCAAGCAGTTGCGTCGAGTCAGTGCTGTGACCTAGTGCCGAAGAATTCATCGTCTTGTCAAAGTCTGCAATGAGCTCCGCGAGGCCTTGATACATTTGGGATGCGAGTTTGTCTAATGTGGCCGCCTTCTCCCCAAACCTCCGGCGAGCCGTGGGGGCAAGCTTTGCAGCCTTTCTGGCTGTCTCTGGCTCGATGAGATCTTCCAGTGTGACGTTACCCTTGGCTACTTTTCCCTGCGTCATGAAGTTGACCATGGCCGGCGATACAGGAGTGTTTCGCGCAAGTCGAATATGGTGTTCCCACATTGAGGCTAGGGTTTCGTGCTCTGCCAAGGCGGGATCTACCCATTTCTTTAGTTCGTTGTACTTGGGCTCAATCTGCTTGACGCTGATCTCGAGGTTTGCGACGGCGGCATCGAGACACTTGATCATAACATCCATCTCATCATATCGAGCCACAGCCTCCGAGTTTAGGCGGGCACATTCCGCCGCCAAGTTGAGAGCCCAGGCGCGGCGTTCTTGATACAGACCCTGCCACGATGAAATAGCTTGCACATCGTCTATGGAGTTCGGGGCATTCGGCATTGATAGCCGCGGCGGCAGCGGCGTGTCGGGAACCAGTGAGGCTAACGTACTGGAAGATGATTCGTGCGTGACTCGGATATCGTACACATACAGCTCTTTCTGTAGATCAAACGACATTAGCAATCGCCATTTCTCAACCCAACCCATTTTACGATATTACATCTCGTGTAGTACCGACCTCGGCATGGAGGTTAGTTGACTTGACGCTGCGACCTTGGGGCGTCAGAGCAACAATGTGCTGGAGTGGCACGGAGCTGTGTTGAGAGACCCATGATTTCAACTCATCGATGCTGCAAATGGCCACGGTCAGTCGGGGGGTCCTGCAAGAAAGGCAGCCACATCGAGACAGCTGCTGTAGCCGGGAATTGCATACGTCGAGAATTGTGAAGCATCGACCTCGAGACGCTGGCCCGTATGGGCAATCAACACCTGCGTAGCCATTCCCGAGACATTCTCCCGTGGCAGGCGGAGCGGCCGAGGCGGAGAGTGACGGTATCGGGTGGAACGGAGAGATGGCGATGGGTGTTGTTTGTTGCTGTGTCGTGTTGTGTCGTGCGTGCAGGGTTGTGCGAGGTCCGAAAAGGGCAGAGGCGAAAGCCTGAAGCCTGGCGGTCCGGCGTCTTCCTGAGAGCTGAGTCGAGCACGACGAAGACGCACTCACCCGAGGCCAAGACACCAGAATATACAATGGACATGGTTATTGTGCCCGGTCTTTGCCCATATTATAACTAGGCCGCTGCCAGATGCGGCCAGGCACGAGACAGCCCAAGCCTAGTTTGGCCGGCGCCAAAACCCAGGCGGGCAATACCCTGGAGAAGCGGGCCCTGCAGCTGACCGTCCACTGGCACGTCCGTCCACTGTCCCGTCTCCCAGTGCCGGTCCCTCGTGACATGCTTCCTTGTCCAGTGGATCTCATCCGTCATCTGTCGACATCCAATCGCCTTGATATGCGGAAGCGCGTCGTGATTTCACGGCCAGCTTGACTGGCAAGAACCTGCATCATCTGGCATGAACGCATCGATCGCTGTATTGCTCAGAAGCATCCGCTAGCCGGGCTCTTGGGGGGGTTGTATAACCCCAAGACCACTTCTGCTGCAACATGGAACCCCAAGACTTATCCATGGTCGATGAGGACGAACAACGCGACGAGGTTGAAGCCCAACTGCCTCTTTCGCTAGACGAGCAGCGAGTACTGGATTTATTCGATCAGCTGCAGCAGCTCAGGCTAGAGATTGCAATCATAAACGCCCAAGCATCTCATGTACCAAGTACGTCTGTCCGTCTGCGTGCACCCTCACGCCTCAACCCCCCCACACACTCACTCGCCCACTCACACGAGCAAAGAAACTGACATGCTCATTAGCGACGTCTCATAATGACGACGAAGCAGTATCAGAAGAAACCCAACAGGCTCTTCTCGAAGCCAGAGCCAACTTCCGCCTGCGCAACGACGTGATCGAATCCGTCATGACAGTCAACCCCATCCTCAAAGCCGTCCACAACGGCACTAATGCGTCTCCTCCAGAGAAGTAAGGCGCCCCGACGAACAAATCCCAGCCCCTCCCCGAGAAGTTTGCTCACAAAGGCTCACGGTGCTCGACAGAGATCTCCTCCCACTCATAGAACAGCGCGACCAGTCCGCCATAAACGTCGCCAAGCATGCGGCGGACGTAGCCGATGTCCGGAGTAACCTCACCGAGGTCCAAAGCGCCATGGCCCGTGTGATTCGACAGAACGTTGGTCTCACGTCGACGCTGTTCGAGCTGGCGGAGGAGGTGAAGCAGAAGCAGGCCAGCCGGCTGGACGACGAGGAGACGCAGAGCGAGATACGGCGGCTGGAGGCGGCAATGAGGGCTAGCAGGCAGCGATGGAGGGTGATCAAGGGCGTGGCAAGTGGCATCGTGGCGGGCAGCGGCGTGGACTGGGCGAGGGACGCCAAGTTGCGCGAGGTTGTGCTTGACCTTGACGGCGATGAGTAATGGGTGTTGCTGGGCAAGGGGGGGTCGGATCGTTGGATACAGCAGGTACGCTGTATACTGTGGGAGGGGAGATTATCGGGAAAGCTTTTTGCTCTGGGACTCCGTCTTTCATACTCGACATGGGCGGCCTAGGGTCGCATGGCGGACATCAGATGCTCCATGCCCGGCCCAGTCTTGTCGCTGTCTTTTTGCACGTCTATATCTGGGCGAATGCGATGGCTTGATACTGCCTTCTCGATTTGGCTCCTGGCAATATCCAGGCCTGCAGGCCACGAAAGCATTTGACACTCACCCAGGAAGAAAAGCACATGAGCCTCATTGTAGTAGAGTCACCTCGTCGCGGGCGAGGGGAAACGCACGAAAGAAACCCCAAGTTGGGCACGCAGCGCTTCACACCATCAACGCTGCGTGTGGATGCAGAACCGGCTTTGCAGCCCCCCGGCCTGTGAATTTTCAGTCGAGTTTCGAATCCATATTCTACCACGCGAAATGTATCAAGGCATACGGACAAGACTGTGTACGGCAGCTCAAACTAGCCCTGGGCCCGGCCTATCATGAGGGGATGACGTATATACAGTATACTACAGTAGGTCTGGAATGGGAACAAAGAGTTGGCCTACGGGTACACACCCCATTCTTTGTTTTTCTTTGGCAAAGTGCTGTCCTTGGAGACCATTTTCGAGCTGGCCAATGCCCCTACGTGCATACTTGGGTGCGCAGCAGCTCTCGGCGAGTGATGGGCTTGTGCAAGCAAGAAAAATCGTCGACATGGCTTCTCTCGGCACGGACAGAAGGTCCACAGAACAGAGACACGGCGATGGAAGACAAGGCCCAGGCAAGCATGCGTCAGTGTCAGTACTTTCTGCTGCTGGACACCGCCACAATGTGCAGTCGCTCTCGGATCTCGCCGAGCGCTCCGTGGCCTCGTCTTGGTGATTCTATCGGAGTCATGGTGGTGTCAGGTCAAGGCCGCTCGTGATCTCTGGGGTGGGATATCAAGACGTGAGCCCTACTATACGCACTACATTGCTCGGATGTGCGTCGCCGTTTGCCCAGGACAGCGTTTCAAAGTTGGCATATCGATGCCGAGAGGCAATTTTCTTGCCGTGTCCATTACACATGGACGGCATCATGCTCGGGACAACGCTCATTTGCGCCCGGCTGGAGGCAATGTGGCCGAAACTGTTGAATCCTCGATGCTGAGGAGACCATGGTGCGACGCTCGCTGCAAAATGCGCCGGGGACCACGGCGGCCATGCATCCCGGTTCCTAGAATCCTAGTCTCATCCAGGCAGTGTGCCGCGTCCTGCATCGAGGCCCGTATGAAGCAAGCCGGCTGCCGCTGTTGCCCGCCATGCAAAGTTTACGGGATGGAATGGTGTGGCCATGCAGCTGTGTCTATTTCACGAACTCGCGGCCGGGGGGCTGGCTAAAGGCCGAAAAATTCGTGAGTGATATATGACACACTACGGCAGTTGACACACATTACGGCAGTACGATAGTCGGTATCGTCAAGTCAGTGTCGAGGTCAAGGTCACCGATGGTTCGGCTGAGTTGCTGGCCCGGGCACCTCACGGCGTCGTGTCCATGGACATGGATGGATACCAAGATGGACGGAATTCGTGCGACATTGATGCGAATGCGATCCGGCCGTTTTCACGGCCAACGCATCGCATCGAGTTGTTCACCGGACCCCACGTGATTGAGGAGAGTGCAGATGACCCGACTATTGCTCGCCTACCTGACCTGACCTGACCACTATAGTTGACTTGACCTAACTACTGCAATAGAGAGAAAGGGGATTTCAATTAGTTAAATATTCTTAGAGAGATCTAGACACTGCGACACAAGAACGTGACAGTCGTCACCAGCAACAAATCCGCGGCACTAGTGACAGCCCAGCCGCGGCAGCAGTCAGGCCAACGCACCATCGGAGAAGTATATGGGCAAGTGAAGCAGCTTCATCTACAGCATGTCCCAGTCTCCGTAGTATGAAGTAGTATAATGAGTATCATAGCAACGATTTGCAATCCTTGTCATATGCCCTCAACTGCTCCATCTTCATCTTGACAAATGGTGCAAGTGCTGCACGAACATCCTCATCCAGTGTCTCGGCGCCTGCACCGTTTTCATTCAAACAATGAATAAAGAGCTTGTCAACATCAAAAGGTTTCCTCGCTGCGTAGTTATACCAAAAGCGTTTCGTAACCCACGAGTCGTGCATAAGACTAGAAAGAGATTTCCCAGTGCACAGCATTCCTCTTGACCTCTCAACCCGTTTCATTACTTCCAGAAACTGCTCTAAGCGGGGCTCATAAGCTGACAGAAACTCCTCCATGCTGTGACCCCGAAAAAGGTACGAATCTGGTCCAACTAGTAGCAACCACCACGGCGGGTCCGACGCGAACTGGCTCGGCATGGCATTTGTGAATTCGAGGTCGAGGACGGCCGTTATGCGGAGAGATTTCGGATCTACAAGTATATTCTGAGGTCGAAGGTCGTCACAAAACAGTTTGAAGGGGCCATTGTCGCAAATGCAGTGCTTGTCAATTGGGCGCGCAAATAGATGCCGTGCAACGTATTGCTCCTCAGCTTCATCCGTGGTGGAAGAGAGGTTGCGCTGGGTGAAAAGATGAGTCAAATTTTCGTGGGAGAGGTGCCTGAAGTAGCCACTTGCAGATTCAAATGGACCAGTGGCAAACTTATCGAGAGGATAGAAAGCTGTGGTTGCTAATTCGTTCATGCTGTAGGTGAGAGGCCGTCCAGTGACGGACCATGTGTCTAAAGTCGGGTCCTTGGAGACTGCTCCAATACGAGAAAAGTTGAATTGAAAGAGCTGGAGTAAGATATTAGCAATTTGCTCAAATACAACATTTAGTATTTGACTGTTAATGTTTGGATTGAGATAGATCTTTGTAGGAACAGCTGGGTCTCTAAGAATATCAGATAAATGAACTCCCTCAACAAACTCTGAGATGATGAACGGTCCAAAGTGGTATAGGCTGTCCTTAGTTAAGCCCCAGCTTAACAACCGTGGTATAGGGATATTCGTGTGCTTATGGAGGAACTTGATAATCTGAACCTCATTGGCAACCTTTTCGTCCCTAAAAGTTGTGTGTCCAGGTCCAGGGAGTCGAGTAACGGCGTCTGCGCCTGCATCGTTGAACACAACTCGGAGGCAGAAATTAAAAGAGCCCTCGAACCAGTCAATAACCTCGTCAGCGTCACGGCCAAGTCGACAAGCAACAAATGATGCAATTTCAGAACGAGCTCCAAGAATTTTATCCTTCCACTGATCCCATTGGGCATCGCCAGCCTTCTCGGCTATCTCGTCGAAAACACTCATATTCACAGCGATCAGACCTCTGTCGTTTCGTGGAAGGGCATGACGTGAAGAGTGAAGCGTTGCGAGTTCCAGCGCCGTGCTTGACAAGGGCGGCGTGGGTTGTACTTGGTGAGACCAAGCCACCAAGGCACGTGCCAGGCCCTCCTACCAGCCACCAAACGCGACACTGTGTGCCTCAGGGATAGCAAGCAGAAATGTCCAGGGCTATATAATTCTGCTCGTCAGGGTTTGAAACAGCCAATACTCTGCAACAGGAAAATAGAATGCCATCTTATATTTACTGTGCGGTAACTGGTAATTTACAGTAAAAGGTGATTCTTGCAATTTGTTTGTACATTCTTATGGGTGCCACACGGCGGCAACGTGGGCCACTTTCACGTGTTGTCGACAGGAGCGCGGGGTCTTTGTCAGTGCAAAGCATCAGAGGCTCATTTGTTGGTTCTAGAAGAGAGAAAAATGCGCGCAAAGCCACTGATAGCTTTGTGCTTATTCATCCCGCATAAAGCAGAAGGCAATAGAGAAGCTCTATAGCTATCTAAAGTAATTAATATATATTATTTATTTTTTCTCTAGAATTAGTGCTAGTAATCTCTTTTTATCTATATAGTATTTTATTTAGTTCTATAAAATATTTTATTTCTTTTATAAGTACTTTTATATTATTAGGAATGCCGCTGGGAGTATTCTCGAAGTTGCGAGCCAGCACACATGTCACAAAGCTCGCGGCTGCAGCCCAGGGATGAGTTGGAACTTGGAGCGGCCAACTGGTTTGGTTTGATTGTGGGTTTTCCGTTGGCAATTGTTAGCGGCCATTGGCAACGTCTGTGTTTAGGTAAACGGACACTCGAACGGCCCGGTTGATCGGTTCATCCGCGGCAGATGGATGGGACGGAGAGTGCTCGCCGCTTCCGTAGAACCAGGGGAGTTGAGACTCAAGAGATTCATCAGAATGAAGAGGGAGTCGACTTGGAACCGGACCTCCGCTTGAGAGTTGGGGGGCGCAGAGTGTCGGAAACGCAGGCCCCCCCTTTGCTGGGCGGCCAGGTACAACACAGTATCAGCAAGAAAAGCCGCTACCTCAGCAGAATGGCTTTGGTGTGTCGCGTACCCGCCTGAAGTCGCTGCGTGTACCTTTTGGCTGTGGCTCTTGGCCCAAGCCCTGTCTGGCCTCCCAAATATGTTTGGGTCCAGCTGCTGGCAAAGGAATGGTGCGGGCGCGGGACATGGGAACGCCACACGCTCCTTGCTGCTGCTTCTGTCCCTCCTCCTCGGCTGGGACTCCTGGGACGGAGCTTCGTAGCCACGGAGAACTGATGAACGTACGTACACGCTCACGTCAATGTCACATGGCCGCTTGCCGGGTTTTCCTGCTAGGTACGGAGTAAGTTACCTAGGTCTTGGGGCTAGCTACCTACTTGCCACGTAGTGGTATTGCGTGCGCACACGTCGATTGCCCGTGTCTCTGAAGGGTCTGCGAGATCGACTTCGTCTCTTCCTCTGTCCCGTTGTGTCTCTTGGGCGGCGCCGGTGCCACAGGAGTTTCCCAGGCTCCTTGTTCCACAATGCCCTTCTCACCACCTCGCTTTTGCCTCTCGGCATGTAGTGCTCCGTACCAGGTATCACAATGCAAGTACGGAGCATACTCGACGCCGCACCGAGGACGGAGTAGATGGTAAATTGGACGAGGCAACAACGCATTGAACTACCGAGTACTTGTGCGGCAAGTCAACCATGTCAGCGTTGTGACAAATCGACTGTGCCGGCCTGCCTGCCCGAGCACCTTGCCTACCTCTACCTGAAAGTACCAACTTTAGGTAGGTACGTAAGTACTTACCAAAGTAAGAATAAGTAAAGTTCCTAGGAGGTATCCAGCGTCCAGGTACTCAAGCAGGTACGGCGTGCCGAGGACTACTAGCCTTCCGCTTCGCATCCGTGAAGGATCAACAGCTTCCACGGTATTGGAATACTAGTGCCTCTTTGAGACCCAGTGGGCATGGAGACGCGAGCTTTCAAACATCACCCAACCTGGCGCCTGGGCAGCAGGTGACACAGCTCAGCTCAGAGCTTGCCCCAAGGGTGTGGCAAGCTCGCGATACCAACGCCCATGTACCGGTACAAGACGCACTCGCATGACGGTACATTTCATCATGCACACCGCAAAGTACCCCGCTCCAGCAGGTCGCGATCCGCCTCGAGCTCTGCAACCACCGCACGAAATGAAATGTTTGCTCGAGCGCTTGCCGCACTGGATGTTTTCTTTTCTGTCTAGTTCCATGGCTCGTATGGGAGGGAGTACGGAGTACGGAGTGGTGAGTAGTACGGCGTACGAATCAACCCGCGCCATTCGCCACACCATTACATGTGCCTACGTTTTTTTGTCCTGGCCCAAGTAAAATGCGAAGAGGCGCTGACTACTCCGTGCTTCTGGCCTGCCGTGCTTACTGATATCACGCTGTAGCTAAGCAAACACGCTTCTGAAGGCGCGTTAAGTCAGGATCGCTTACAAAAGGGCCAGTCCCGAGCACGAGAGCCATGCGCCAAGGCTAGGTCGTGGAAGAGCTGGAGACGGTTGCGGCAGTATGTGGTTTTACGGATTGCCGCACTGCTAGGGTGGTGTGTTCCTTGTTGGCTGGCGAAGACGAAGACCTTTGAAGTAGTAGTCGGAACCTTGCGGCAAATAGCTAGCTGTGTCGTCATCTGGTCTTGATGTCATGTTGGAATAGTTGTTCCTATAATAGCGCGGAGTCAAAAAAAAAAAAAAAAGACCGCAAGCTTTGACACGAGATGATGCTTGGAGCAACACAAGGCATGCGCAGGGAAATGGCCTAGTATTATCAATTTTACGCCATTACTTGTGAGCAGCAAGTGCGTGAGCGAGTGCTTGCATTTTTTATCGGCAAACTCATATCATTGGCTCATGCTCTGGACATGGGATGCCTCTTGCTCTTGAGAGACGGGACCACGCATAAACATTGGGCGAACTCCAAAGTCCTTATTATTAGTCACCGGTGCATTGATCCAGGCGGCAGGCACGGGTCCGTAGCAGGCGAGAGCGTTTCCTTCTACCGAGTTATGATCGCACTTATCTAAACAGTATTAGTGGTTTTTAAAATCAGCCACTTGCAAAGGTGTTGTGTTGTGTCTCGCCAAGCAGGACAAGACATGATAACTTGGATGGAGAGTAGAGAAATAATACATGGAGGAAGGTAATTGACCTGCTGGCTGAGCCGTTGCGACTTGTCTGCCGCTTTAAACAATTTGGTACGGAGTACGGAGTAAATGATCGTCCATTTGTGGAAAAAGAAAAAACTCATGACAACCACGGGAATGGGGAATGGCAGCGACATTGGGCAGTTTCTGGAGAGGGCCTTGGCTGGCCGGCAGATTGGAAGGTCGGAGCCAATGCTCAGCATGACTTGAGGGTGCTCACCAAGTTTGCGCCGAGATCACTAATGTATACAGTGCGGATGCAATTGAACGAGACGCGGTACAGCGCCTTTGTACACTACATCGGCGCGACTGTCGGGGACACACATGTATCTTTACAGTACCACGCGAAATTAGTACTAGTAGTAGCCGTCTTCGGCGCGTGCATGGGCATCTGCGCCCAGTCCCTTCTCCGTCGGCCCCCTAGCCCACACATCCGAGCACTTGAGCAGGCAGCACAGCCAGTCAACAGCACGAGACCGACCATGAGCCCCCTTGGATGGGACAAGTTGGGCCATACCTGGACCAGCCTAGCACCCGCCCGGCCAAGGGAGGGAGACGGCGTCAGGAGTGTGTGATGCAGGCTAGAGTGGGAGTGTGAGGAGGAGAGGACCGGCGGAGGAAGGAACAACCACTAGTGCAGGGAGCAGGGAGCATGTACTACTCCGTACTCCCGTGGTACGACTTTGCGGCACCAAGTATGGACCAAGGACGCAGTACCTACTGGTAGCCACGGAGAACAGCAAGGAGTACTCCGTACTTACCTTGAGTAATAGGTACTTACTTAGGTAGCCAATGTCTAGCACTTTATCTGGCACAAGTGACAGGCAAGAGAGACGCAGTGGGTAGCGCGAAGCGTTCCGTCTTTCAAACTAGAGGTCCTGAACGTTGACATCTGGCCGCTTATTGCCCCTTTGACACTCTCGGGCTCCACAAAGCGCGGAGTTGGCAAGTACTAACATTAATAATATGTTTCCTCACTGGTGTCTGCTCGGTTTCGCCGAGCTGGATCATTACAATATTTCGCTCGCCTCCCAAGCTCCGCTCGTGGTTTCCTCTTGCCCTGACGTGCACCGCGCGTGCGCACAGCAGAGCAAGAGGCGCCCACAACTGGCAGGCGTGGTTTCCGCTTCCGATATTATCTCTAAGCTAGATACCATGTACCTACCTGGGACGGTACCCAAGAAGTGACCCCATGTACGCACCTACCTGGGCAGGTACCTAGGGCTGGGTGGTTGTACTTGTATGCCCGGTACGGAAATCGCTACCCCAGGCACCTAACGGGCATGTACGGATGTAGGTTCCTAGTACTTGCCTAGGTACTTAAAGTAGGTACTTAAGTACTTAAGTATGTACTGGAAAGGGGAGGATGGCGCTCTCAGACGACTTTTGCACCTACGTACTTACCTAGGTACTTACCAATGTAAGTACGTAAGCACTGGAAGTGGTGTCCAGAGTGTAGCTGTCCGGCACGTCAACTTCAGAAGGAGGCTGGGCGGGTAGCTGTAACCTGGTGCTGGGTGTTTGTTCAGCCGGATGGATGGGCTGGAGCGCAGATGTCAACAGGCCGGTTGCGCTTGGCTGGCTGGCTGGCAACCTGGTTCTGGCCGGTGGCCTCGACCTTGGACTCACCTGGGTGACTTGGATTGACTAGGGGTTTGGGGAAAGTCGACTCGACTCGACTCTGGACTCTGGACTGTGTGTGTCTAGTCATGTGTGTGGCCAGCCGCGTTCCTACGCACACGCACCCACGCACCCACGCACCCACGCTCCCACTTTGACCACTTTCAACACACACACACGGTCGCGCGCCCACACACACAATCACTCGCCCTCTGCCCGCCGGGCCCGCCCATAGTAAAAAGGCTCTCTCTCCCCCTCCTCTTCTCCCATACAAATCTCCCACCCAAATTCTCCCATACAATCTCCCTCGCGCGTCTTCCTCACAACACACAACGCGACGTCTGGTGAGTACCTCGTTATTGCCCTGCATCGCTGCCAATCCCAGGTCACTCGCATCGCGAGCATCGTTGCCTTCATTCTGTTGCCTGCGCATTTGGGGGCCTCTTCTTCCGCGCTCTGGATTGCATTTTTGCATCTTGCCGTTCCAATTTCACTTTCACAACCTTGTGCATTTTTGCATCGTGGTGCTTTTGCTTTGAGTCTTGGACGGCTTTCATACTTCAACTCACATCGCATACCCCAACTTTGGATCCATCAATAAGGCTGACCAGCGACGTTAAGCACTCGCCTGCACAGTTTAAATCTTTCTCTCGTTTTCACGCAAACGACGCACAGGTAGGTCAATTTCTGTCTTTGCGACATTTTCGCCTCGGAGACAGCTCATCTCGAGCTCTGGTGACGGCGCAATTGCCTCGGTGCCTCACCTCAGACTCACAACCATGCTCGTCACTTACACGCGCTTCCTCTCCACCAAAACTGCCAATCTCGGTGCGCCTGTCTAAGCGTGCCAATTCATTTGTTTTCTCCGCCCGGCTCTATTTGACCACCGTCTCCCACTTCACAACACCCACAGTCGCTAGATGCACACGTTCAATCTAACCAAGCCTGCATTCTGTTTTCCTATTCTCGCTAACAATTACTTTAGTCAACATCTTTCAAAATGCCCAAGGTTAAGCGCGGCAAGAAGGACGACGGCAAGAAGAGTGAGTCTCATTTCATTGATTTAGACATGTTATTCGACATCATGGCTGACCGGTATCAGAGCGCGGCCCCAAGCGAGGCCTCTCTGCGTACATGTTCTTCGCCAATGAGCAGCGTGAGAACGTCCGTGCTGAGAACCCCAACATCACCTTTGGTCAGGTTGGCAAGGTTCTTGGTGAGCGCTGGAAGGCTTTGAACGACAAGCAGCGCGCCCCATACGAGGCCAAGGCTGCTGCCGACAAGAAGCGATATGAGGATGAGAAGGCCGCTTTCCAGGTAAGGACGCTTTCCCTCGCAATGAGTCGTTGACCAGGTTTTTTGCTAATGCATGGTGTGTATAGGCTGAGGATGACTCTAACTAAAGCAATCTAATCAAGGTTGGGGGTTGAGTCGAGACGTATCATTGTACTCTAGTCCCGTCCTTTGGCAAACGTTTTTTCCTTGTATTTTGGGCTGGGCGGTGTTGTATGATGCGCCGGATGGACCGCGCGCTCTTTTTGTTTTCCTGGGAAACTAAATGAAACTGGGTCTCAATTTTGTGATCAACAAGACGGCGAAAATCACGTCGCAGGCTTCACGTGTCGGCGTGAGTGATGATCATAAATAATGTCTACGAGGCCACGCAATGATAAATCTTGTACGAATATAAGAGTACTCTGTTCACCTCTCGTGTTATGCATGCAACAGTCAATGTGTTAGAACTCTGTATTCCTCGTCACGTCTGACTGCGTTGCTAATAGTTTGGATCCATGTCCGGGTCGGCGAGAGCGGCGAGAGTGCCACATCCCATGGTATCCCGCAGACTGGATGGAGCTAATACGGTACGGCGATAATGCTCAGATATTGAAACGATATTTATCAACACCGGCTGTTTCTAATTTGCCTCGGATCCCGATCAATCTTGCAGTCGAGAGCCGCCTCATCTCTGACCACAGCTACCACAAGGGAAGCAGCGTTTGCGGGCCCATGCTGCAGACGACTCTTCGCAGAATCGACGAATCGACCCCGTTGACCATGCATGCTGCAAGTGCCGGTCCAATCTAGCCCGTCCAACTGTCATGCACCAAGCACAGTCTGGGGCTGGGTTTACATGACTGGCTTGCATTCGTGGCAGCCTGTGAGCAGTTGCAGTTGAACGCTCGGATCCGACTGCATTTCGCCCTTGGCAGACATAGCTGCCATCTGGCTGTGGGTGCCATTGCTGTTGCTGGCATTGGCATAATCGGTGTAGAAGCAGGTAAAGACGCACACGCACACACACACAAAAAGCGGGTGCTGATGCTGATGCGGAGCGTCACGATAGTCTGGACTCTGCCGGGGGCTTTGGTCCTCGCAGTCGGTGCGGCATTGTCCATTGCCCGCCATGACTGAGGTTTGAAAAGAAATGCAATCCAGGACATTGTTTTGTCGGACTGAAGAATTCCGGCAGTGGCGCTGTTGTTTCTTTCCGTTGGCGGTCGTCAGGCGGATACGTCATGGCCTTTTACAAACACCGGACTGATCAGATGATGCTCACAGCGCCTCTGACTTGGCACCACTCAGAATCTTCTGCAGACGAACCCTGCGCAGATGCAGATGCTCGACAGCTGGTCTCAGTCTCGCCGGTCCAGGGTCAGATGGCGTTTGGTACAGATCGTACGGATGGATATAATCATCAGCGATGCCCCCATGCTGTGTCCTGATCGATATGGAACACGACGCCATTGGACCCGCGACCTTGGGAAGGGAAAACTAAAATGTGAGAAAACATTGTCTGATCAGTTCATCTCCAGTTCATCTCCGTTGGACCACTGGCAACTACCAAGCAGTCAGAGCCGAGTCGGTATGCGGGCAAGTGCAGCCATGCGGCTCTTGCTCTTGCTCTTGCCAAGTGGTGCTGCGTGCAGTGCAGCTCGAAGTCGGGTGGTGTGGAAACTCATTGCCCGTGCTCTTTGCTCTCCCCCATAACCCTTCCTCGTCCTTATCTTTCCGTCTCCGGCTCCCGGCATGTCTGGTGGTGTCGCCCGGACCAACTTGAAAATCACTGTGCACCGCGATAGAGGCCCAATAACAGTTCGTGTCGCTCGCTTTCCAGTCGCTGGCCACCTGGGGAAAGGTGTATAACGAATCAATGTCCCCGGTTCCCTCTTCTTTCACCCCCAACTCCTCCATTTATAATCCGACGAGATCCGTGCCCAACCACGGCCATGGGCACAACCAAACGCTTCAAGATCAATGGCGGACTCGTCTCGAGAATGACCTTTTAAATCCGGAGCGGCAGTTGATACTTTCCCCCAGGCGAGTCCCTGATGATGCGAGGCCAAGGTCCTTGGGTTGACAAGCGTAAACTCAGGAAAGCCAGTCCGTGTCCGATAATCCAAGGTTTGCAAAATGGACCTGCCCGAAACCGACGACGTCATCCTGCTGAAGGGATGCTATTTGGAGGCACACCGATCTGATGATACTGCTCTCAAGTTAGAGGGCTTGCGCATCGCATTGAATGAGCCCGTCACGTCTTGCTTGGCCGTCACCATCAAGGAGATGAACAGCGTCGCCCGTCGTCTTCGCGAGTTGGCCAACATTGCTCAGGTGAACCGAGACTGTCTTGTCTATGTACTGGACCCTTTGAACATTGTCTTGCCCTGCCTGTCCAAGTCCTTGAGGGACATCAGGTCATATTATGACCAGTGTTCACTGTCAAAGGAAAATCGATGGCGAAATATGTATCATTATATGAAAGATGAGTTCGACGGTGTGCCATTGCCGGAGAGGTTCAATATCTATTGTCAATACGCTACGCATTTGCGAAATATTCTAAGAAGGTAGGCCTTTCATCTTTACCTGTCGCGGCGATGATGAACCCCACTTCTAACCGCTCAGTTCAGAAACCCCGTTTCGAGACACAAGATCAAGAGCCTCGAGCGTCGAATACTTCGTTTACGAGAGGCTAGAGGAATTGGTGGGTAAAGTCCAACTTGTGCAGCTTTGCCTTGCCTTACTACCTTACATCGTTCTAACTTCAGTTCAGGACGGCCATGTATACTTCAACCAGGCCCGCTTGTTCTGCATTCAGGATCACCAAGTCGGTTGGATCCGGTTTGTTCAACCGGCACGAAGAGCAGACGTCCAGTTTTGGCTGACTGTTCTGTCAGATAACTCACTGGGCTGAACATATCTTCTCTTCCCCCTTGTCGCGGACGCCGCTGAAAATAACGGGACAGTAAGTCCACCCCGACACATCAGTTGGGAGCCAAGCTGGCTTTGTGTTCTGAATTAGAGAACTAGGACCATGTCTATGGGACCACATCATGAACTAGGCCACTACGACATCCCAATGTATTCGAAAGTTCTCTTGCGACAGTAAACGCCCCTCCGTTTCGGCCTACCATGCGTATTTACATCATCAACCCGTTTATCTAACTCCAACAGGTGCTTCGATGGTGATAGGGTATCTCTTATTATGTTCTTGAACTCTCAGGATGACTGCCCGTACCTACTCCTCCGAATATACAAAGACGAGAAGCCATGGTTTTCGCTTCGCGGCGCCCACGAAGTATGCATTATGAGACAAGCAAACTCATTGCAATTTCGCCGCTGGAGTATGAATACCAACAATTCCAAGATTTGGGCCAAATTATATTTCAGCGCATGGGAAGGTATGTACGTGTGACTTGGTGCAGTCTAACAGCAGCCATTCCATCGACGACATTATGTTGAAAACATTGCTGAATCCAGCTACAGATTTAGTCCTCACGTATTGTACCTTTGCATCGCTCAAGGCAAGAAATCATCGGACTCTCCAATGCGCCCCCAGGGAGCTTGTAGTGGGCAAAGAGCACAAACTTTTCCAAGCGTATGGGCCTCGAAAATTCTTTTTGCGGCACGAAATTATGCTAACATACCACAAAGGCGTATATCAGATGATGGGTTTGATCATACCCTCTATGTTTGTAGTGACAAGGCCACTGGTGGTCTGCGACTTCACGCAGCAGTTGGGGACGGCGAACTACGCCAATGTCCTGTCTGGACTGCATTTGGTATTATGCCCGCCGACGGCACCGACTGCGATTACAGATGCCACATTATACTGACCGGGTGCTCAGTGACTGAACAGGCCAAATGCACGAAATGGCTAAGGCGAAGCTCCTCTGGTCGTAAAGTCTGGCTGACAGACATCCGACTCTTTGTATTCTGCAAGCAGTATCGAGAGCATAACCAGCGCAAAGGGCCAGCTGGGGAGTTTCAAATCAACTTTGCCAGCAGACGCGGTACGTCTTGCATATGAAGTATACACCTTTGTGGGGGATTCGTATCACAACCTTTGACTCCCTGCTGATGTACATACAGCTGCCGAACGCTTCGAAACTGTTTTCTATCCATACCAACAGCAAACCTCATGAGTGAAATGATGATGATGATGATGATGATGAAATGATGGTCATATTTATCGGAACCCGGAGCCGAAAACATTGAATCGAAGGTCCTACTGTGGCGGTGTTGGGATATGGAGTCCATGGCCTTCCCTGGCCTCTTTGTTTCTTCTTTTTTTCTTTTTTTTTCTTTTTGCCCGCATTTGATACCACTTTGAATTTGTCCACGATCCAAAGAAGTTTGTAAGCATAGCGAGCGGGGGTCGACTACTCATCTTAGTTTTTTACTCTAGCTTCGACATCTATTATCACTATATTTTCGGAATTTTCTTGGAAAACGCTAGAATGCTACCTCGTGTCGTTACATGTGAGAATAATGCCATGAAACATAAAACTCATAATCAGCATCCCGTCTAAAATCCCCACATCAACCCACTTTCCTTAGGGGACTTGTCGTTTTAAGTCTTGACGTCAGGTTCATCACGGCCAACATGCTCCTTGAACTTGAGCAGTTCCGTGGCAAATTTGACTTCGGCCTTGAGGAAATCCTGAGCATCCATATCGTATGTTGACGGGTCACTGCTGTGCTGCTCAATGTACAAACGGATAGTGGCACCAGAAGAGCCTGTTCCGGAGAGACGCACGACGATACGGCTGCCGGAGGAGAAGCATGCGTAGAGGCCTTGATTAGAGGACACGGAGCCATCGAGATCGGTGTAGGAGAAGTTGCCTGCCTTTGTGACGGTGCGTCCTGCCAAACCAACTTCGTCAGTACATTCTCCAACCTCCGGTGAGCGGAGCGGGTTGGTGACTTGCCTCCAATATTGCTACCGACAAGCTTGGGGTCGGCAACCAGGTCCTTCAGCTCGCCGACAACCTTGTTGGCACCGCTTGAATCGACGTCCTCGTAGTCATAGCGAGTGAAGAATGTACGGCCGTACTGGGTCCAGAAATCCTTTTGAATTTGCTTGATAGACGGCGTGACTCCGGGGTTCTGAACTCCGAGGCCAGCAATGATGTTGAGCCAGGCGACAATGGCCCAGAGGCCATCCTTCTCACGGATGTGGTCGCTGCCTGTTCCAAAACTCTCCTCGCCGCAAATGGACAGCTTCTTGGCGTCAAATAGGGCACAGAAGAACTTCCAGCCGGTGGGGACCTCGTAGCAATCTAGTTTCTGGCCTTTGGCTACGAGGTCAACGGCGCCAGAAGTGGGCATGGAGCGAGCGAGGCCGTTTACGCCATTCTTCTGGAAGTAAGGGATTAACTTGGCGTGGTGGGCAATGATGGCGAGCGAGTCACCGGGAGACACGAAGGCGTTGGCGCCGTAGATCATGTTGCGGTCGCCGTCGCCATCCGAAGCAGCTCCGAAGGGGATATTGTTTTTGTCAACGGCTTCAACGAGGGAGTGAGCGTAGGTTAGGTTGGGATCCGGGTGACCGCCGTTGAAGTCTGGGCTGGGTTCGCAGTTTTGCGTGGCGCCAGTGAGACCGAGCTCCTTTTCGAAAATGGCCTTTCCGTAGGGCCCAGTGACACCGCTGAGGCCGTCAAAGAGGACTTTGAAGTCGGGGTGGGAGCTGAAGAATTTCTTGATGGTGGGGAAGTCGAAGATGTCCTTGAGCATGGCAACGTAGTCGGCGGTGCTGTCGATGATTTCGACCTCGAGCGAACCATAGGTACTTGTGCCAATGGTGGAGAGGTCGACGTCAGGGATCGAAGCTAGCTTGTATGACGTGAGGTTTTTGGAGGTTTCGTAAATCTTGTTTGTTACTGACTCGGGGGCAGGGCCACCGTTGGCGAGGTTGTACTTGATGCCAAAGTCGTTCTTGGGACCTGAAACGGAGTCACCAGGCGAAGTCAGTGTCTAATCGATGGGGTGTGTGGCGTCTTTTTTTTTTGGGGGGGGGGGAAGGACAAAACAACACACCGCCCGGGTTGTGGCTAGCAGTGAGCAAGATACCACCAGTGGCCTTTCGGAGTCGAATGACATGGCTTGCGGCAGGAGTCGACAGAATGCCGTTCTGCCCTATGAGAAGCTTCTTGACGCCGTAGGCAGCGCCAATTTTGGCGATCAACTGAACCACCTCCGGATTCCAGTACCGGCCATCCCCACCGATGACGAGGAACGAGCCTTGCAAGCAAAAAAGTCAGCCATGATGAGCTTGAGGTGGGCTTTGTTGGGCCAAATTTCATCCCACCTTTGACTCCTTCAGGAATCGACAGCAGAATACTTGCAACGAAGGCCTCGCTGTAGTGAGGCTTCTGGAAAACAGTGACCTTCTTACGAAGACCGGACCTGGACGTCAATTGCGTCAGTCTTGGGAGCTTTTCGAGCTGGAATGGTGCCTTGAAATGTGGCGGGGACAGGGGAACTTGCGTGCCAGGCTTCTGGTCCTGGAAGGGCTCAAACTCGACGGTCTTGATATCCATGCTGGCTATGTGTCAACGGCGAATTGACGTCTGAGGGAGTAAAAATCAGAGAAAGAAATTGGCCAACATGAGATGGTTAAAAGGGCCCCAAGTCGTCGTCGGGAGACAAGAGATTCGAGCGGGGGCGGGGAAGCTCTGAAGCTTGGTTGACGCAGGCTGGACATCATGAGGGGCTATTTTCTCGACCAGGATTGATCGGCGGGCAATATAGACACTGTGACATTGCGTGTATCTCATGGGGTTTCGTACAGTGTGACTTGTGGCGGGACTTTACGACGTGCATGGGCCGAGCCGTTCGGGTCAACGGTTGATTTGAACGACCAACGTGTGGGCACCAGTTACATCGAGATGGTGGCGCTATTTCGACGGTCAGCTCCGTTCTAATGGGGTTACTCATTGGTCATGGGGAAACGTACGTCAGAGGCGATCATATGGTTGCGAGAAAGGGGCCGACAGAAGGGACAGTAACAATTGAATCTGGGCTCATAATAGGCACTATTCAATGTCAGATGCAACTGTTTGTCGGGCCTTTCCCAAGCGACCAAGAAGCCAAATGATTCACACCACAACATAGAATCACACCAGTCCCCACCGCCTTCATGGTGGTCGCTGAAAGATAGCTTCCCGATAATACCTGGCCTCTTCGATACTCTCCAGAATATCATCTCTAGCCAGATGTCTTCCCTTCTTGGTCGGTGCCTGAGCCATAATCTCCCGCGGACACCATCTTCTACAAGCCTCCTTGATGGCGCTTATGTCCAGGATGCGGTAGTGCAAGTGATTAATAACCTTGGCATAAGGCTCCCTTCGCAAAAATTCCCTGTCGGCGTGGACGCTGTTTCCGGCAAGAAGTGCCTTGCGCTTCTCGGGTATCAATTTCGTGATGTAATTGTATAGTCCCTCGGCAGCTTGCTCCGGGGTGGTTGATGAGGCCAAGACGGCGGCGGTTAACCCAGAGTCGCCGTGTGTTCGAGTACACCATTCATCCATCTGGGCCAATCGGGAGGCGGGACGGTGAATAACTGCATGATACCCTTCTTGATCGATTATTCCTAGATGACCCGTGGTGATGATGCAGTATATTTCAATGATCTCCTCCGTGTCAGGGTCTAGTCCTGTCATCTAGCATTATGGCCATGTGAGAACAGTGTCTGGAGCCCGGGCTGAACTACGCCGACAGATAGCCCGCAGGGTTCCTCTCATGAAGCACCAGCCTTGTCCGCGAGACGGGGAACTTACCTCACAATCAATCCAGACAAGAGGACCGTCTGTCGCAGCGCCTGAAGGCGAAGTACTGGCTCGGAGCGCCATGGCCGCTGGTCCGTTGGCTCCTCGTCGCCGCTGGATTGGGCACGAAAGCTGGGTCGGAGCGGGAAGTATCGGCCAAGAAAGGGCAACACGAAGCCCCCAGGAGGCACTTGACTGGATGGCCTGTACTGTCAGCGATGATTGGAGGCAAAGGCGAAGCTTCTTACGTGCTGCACTGCGGGAAGAAGCGAATGATCTGTTAACGCGATCCACTTTTGGGAAGAGTTTGTCGTCGAAACGTGAATTGTCCAACCCGTCAAGTGGGCCGAAAGCGATTTGTTGTTATAGGTGTACGGAGTATTAGGCTCCAAGTTACTGACTGCTTAGATGGACATGGACCGAGTCATGATCGCGATAGTCATTGACAAGACATCTGGCGTTTGATGTCGGTGTTGGCCGAGGGAGCGGACAAAGGTTTGTAGCCGGGAAGCTGCAAAGTCCCAAGTGGGAAATGGGCGCAGGTCAGAAACTTTGGCCTCGTCCAATGGGGAACGACGCCGATGCTAAAGTTCGTATTGATTGGGAGATTTGTTGCGCGTGGAATGATTTCTTGGTGGTTAGTAGTAGTAGTAGGTACCAGGTGGCATGCATGTAGTAGGTATCACGTTCTAGGTAGTGGGTACTCCGTTCTCGCCAGGTCAACTGCAGAGGGGTCAGCTGGTGCCTTGCTGCGGCCGTAAAGTGCTGAAACGTTGCGTGGGGGGACCACGCCACACCTCAAGACCCATTGATTCCCAATAAGGAGCCTCTGATTGGCAGTCTGACTTGTAATGTTCACCCGCCCTGTCAACCGCAATCCCCCTCCCCCCCTGTTGGACGCGCTCTCATCTTATTACAACATCGTCAGTTTGACTTTCGAGGGGTAAGCTTTATCAGGCTAAAGTGTACCTCAGCGGCCCCCTTTCCGTTTCCAGTTCCGTTGCTCGAGGTCTTGTGGATCTTCGTTTGGACCGCACATATAGGTGAAGCATCTCGACATGTTCTGGAGTCTGTAGTTGAAGTCGTCCTTTCATTCTGCGCCCCTTGGTTGTGGACGAGCGCCCAGGTCCTCCATCCTTAAACCATATAAAAACACTCCGTGGTGCTGATGATATAGGCCCGATCTTTTGCTGCCTTGATCCTCATCCAAACTACCATCATGGCTGGCGTTGTCGACCCAGAGTCCGCCAACAAGGCGACCACGGCTCTCGAGAGACCTGACATGTCCAAAACTCCACCCCGCTTCGTCATCATCGGCGCCGGCTCCCGAGGGAATGCCTACGCAGACGCAATTCAAAAAGTCTGCAACGGAGTGGTAGCTGCAATCTGCGAGCCCCTGAAATTCAAGCGAGAGACCCTTGGTCAGAAATACATCTGGGGCAGGAGTCCCCCTCAAGAAGGCCAATCCTTCGGCAGCTGGACCGAGTTTGTCGACTACGAAAAGAACCGTCGAAGGCGTGCTGCTGCGGATGAAAGGGTCCCTGACGGCGTTGACGGCGCCTTTGTATGCGTCCTTGACGATATGCACAGACAAGTTGTCGTAGCTCTTGCCGAGCTGGATTTGCACATCATGTGTGAGAAGCCGCTTGCAACCAACTTGGACGACTGTCTGGCAATGTACAAGGCTGTCAAGCCCCTAAAAGGCTCCAAGATCTTCTCCATCGGTCACGTCTTGAGATACAGCCCTCACAATCTCATGTTGCGAAAATTACTTGTCGACGAGCAAGTGATCGGTCATGTGAACAGTGTTGTCCACACGGAACCTGTGGGATGGTGGCATTTTGCCCATTCTTTTGTCCGAGGAAATTGGAGAAATGACAAGACCTCTGCACCATCACTCTTGACCAAGAGTTGTCACGACATGGACCTCTTGCTCTGGCTCGTCTCAGCACCCGCCAAAGCTGGCCGAGGAGAGCCACACCTCCCTGACTACATCACGTCAACTGGCGGAGTGCAATTCTTCAAGAACAGCCGCAAGCCTGCCGCCGCCGGGAATGCCACCAACTGTACGAAATGTCCCCTTGGAGACTCCGGCTGCAAGTTCTCCGCCAAAAACATCTACCTGGGCAACAGAATTGGGCTCGCCCGCGGAAACACCAAGTGGCCCGTCGACATTGTCGTCCACGACATTGAGGACTACAAGACGGACGAAGAGCGCCGCCAGGTCGTGCTCAAGGCACTCAGCCAAGACTGGGACGAATCCACCCCCAAGGAGGAGGTAAGCAAACGCCAGTGGTATGGCCGCTGCGTCTACGAAGCAGACAACAACGTCTGTGACGAACAGTTCGTCACCATCACTTGGGCCGAGTCCGTACGCCCAGCCAAGCGTGTCACCTTCCACATGTCGGCGCAAACCAAGCGACAGTGTGAACGTGTGAGCACATTCTACGGTGAACACGGTGAGATTCACGCCGACTCGAGGAGGATTACTGTAGAGAATTTTGCTACGGGAGAGACCAAGACATATGAGCCTACTACTACTGACCTTGGCCACGGGGGTGGCGACACGGGACTCGCACAGCAGTTTGTGCTAGCATGCGACAGGGTCAAGAACCACGACTGGGATGCAGGCAAGGCTCAGAATGAGCTCGTAGGATGTACTCTGGAGGATATCATTCGTAGCCACGCACTTGTGTTTGCTGCTGAAGACGCTAGAGTGAACAAAAAAATTGTCGATTGGCAACAGTGGTGGGATGAGCATGTCACCAAAGTTGTTAGTGCTTGATTCGCGGTAAGTTAATGACGAAGAAAAATTTCGCACGTCCGACCAAGGAAACAGTGTCAATTCTAGTAGCAAAGTGAGGGTATCGCCAGGAGTACGGTGACATCCTCGGATAAATGCGATTATACAGTTCGGTAGCTCGCGAGAGCGTTTTATTTCATCAAACACATCAAAAGGCACCGAGACGAAAGTAGCCCCCGGGGATGGGTTGTCTTGTTCTAACAAAGTTATATTTAGGGTAGGAGGACAGTTCTGCCTCATCCAACGACGCCCTTGGATAAAACAAGACATCGAGGACCTCCCAAGAAAGAGACACTATTCAAAAACAACAGGTTGGTCAATCGCTGCAGCAGAAGTGACTTGTTGAGAAGCGCACATTTGTCCCTGAGGAGACTGCTCGAATCAGAGTGCGTCCGATGCGTAAGAAACATTGAAAGTCAGCTACTCCAACTCAAAATGCAGTAAAGATCGCGATTCGCTGCTGAATTCCGGGAGCCACTAGATGTTATTGAGGGCATGAAGCTCTAACCTGTCTTCAATGCCAAGGAGACCCTTTGCCTCGAGGAAACTGAGCATCACGAGTGCAGAATTCGGTTTCCACTCTCCCGCCAGCAAAGACTCCTTCACCTCATCGAGTGAAAGAAGACGGAAGCACTCGATGGCATGGGCGTCACATGGCTTTGGCACAAACGACTCAGACACGCAGAGTTCAAATGTGAAGCGAATGCCCGGCTCTAGCTGTCCGCTTTCGGCGCCAGCGACTTGGTCCTTCTCATCGTAAAACGAAATCAGAGAACCAGCAGAAAGATAGCCCACGCGTTCGCCTTGCTCGGTTGTGACTCGGCAGGTCACCATGTCGACCGTCAAACCGGCTTCTTCTAAAGCTTCCCTGGCCATGGCTTTAAGCTGGTTGCCGCCATCGCCGGGTCCCAAAGCACCCGCAGCAAGCTGATCGTACATGCCGGCGTAAGTGACGCGTGGCGACCTCTTGGCGACCCAGATGTGCGGAATGCGGTCGTCCCCCTTGAAGGTGTACATGGTCATATGGGCTCCCGAAGTGACGATTCCAAGCACCCCGCGGATGGGCGAAGGGACCTTTAGCCAGGCAAGATCGGGCCTAACTCCGAGGATCGGGTGATATTGCGGCGAGCCATTCTCGTCGTGCTGGCTCAACCAGGCGCGGAGACCGTCGATGCTGCCGACGTTTGCTCTGCAGAGAGCCATGAAGGCGTTTTCACAAGCTTGATGGATGGTCTCTCCGGGCTCCGTGTCTGGATTCAAGAGCACCGTCTTCCTGTTCTGGTCGACTTCGAACCCGGGGACATTCCAGGTCATCTGAGTGATGAAGTTGGGAAGCATGTATCCCACAGGGATCTTGTGGTCTAAAACGAAGAACCGGAACAACGTGGCATGTCTTTCCTGGAAACAGAATTTGTTGCAGCTCTGTACTACCTTGGTGAAATCCATGGTGTGAAAGTCGAGGTTATCCGATGTGCTTGATGTTGACGAAGTCGATGGTGAAGGACTGAGAGTCGGTGGTGAGGAACTGAGAGATGGTGAGGAACTGAGAGATGGTGAGGAACCGAGAGTCGAAGACGGCGTTGATCCGAGAGCCTTATATCCTAATGGCTGGCCAGCCGTGATCGTCGTCACTGAACTCGATGCCATTTTGCCCCTTTGATGAAGCTTTGAACGATTCGTCAAGGTTGATCTTGTTCTCACGCACGTTGTTTGGTTGTCTGTCTTTCAATCCTCACCAAGTCTTGAGGACAAGCGGACGTTTTCGTGGAGGGTGCTTTGACACTGTATGAAAGAAGCGCACATGTTCCTGGGCTGCACTGAGGTCTCAGAGAAGGGTTGTTGCAAGGTCTGTGGGATGTGAATTGTGCTGTGATCCTCTCCTTTTGTACGAGGCCAAGTCATGGGATCGGCCTTACCTAACATGTGTTCAGAGTTGGACTGCAAATTACAACGACGAAACAGAAGCTGCTTCATACCGGGATCTAGTCTGAAATTCGCTGGCCTCTTGCCCCTTCTTGGATCTGATCAGCCCAACAAACGCACACAATTTCGGGTTCGAGCTCGTCACAGACAGGCGTGTTACACATGCAGGAACGCAATGATCCTTCATAGAAAGGCGTGGACGAACTCTCTTCACAGTCATTAACAAAAGTATTCTGCGTGCAAAGGGGTGACCGGGTCCCCGGTTTCAGGGTTCTGTAGTAGTCCCTCTCCGGTATAAAATCCTCAAAGAACGAGGACGGTGGTCTAGACGGCGGCATTTGGCTGCCGTACGCAGCCTGCTCATCGACTGCAAGACGGGAAAACCACCCTGGGTAACATTTCTGCAAGGCCAAGGCGCAGGATTTTGCCATGTCCGGCCACGTTATAGTAAAACTCCCAGCCTCAAAACAAGGGCTTTCCCCCAGGATTCGCCGATTGGGCATGAGCAAAACGACGAAATGCAGCCATGCTCACCGTTGCGGAGAAGGATTCGAGTCCCTCGCCGCCACAGCGTTGTACTTTACAGACACATGGCTCTGATCCGTATTTGCTGTTTGAGACATGTCTTCCGGCCAGTCACGCTTGTATATAACTTACCATGTTGGTGTTGTTGTTCTCGGCGACGATGCGTCGGCACATGGCTTTCTCGCCAGGAGACCTTCTTCGGGGCCGCAGAAGGGTGAGCAACTCAGCCTGCGGACAGGCGACAGGACCCCCCAGCAAGGCCCTTTACAGACCGGCGCTTCGATGGTGTTTTGTTCGGTACAACGTTGCGCAGCGTGCTACGTATTACCACTCGGTGCGGTGCCCTTATGTGGTCTCTCGTACGCAGAGCGCAATACAACTGAGATTGGGGAGAGCTCTCGTGACATCGGATAGTCTCAAGGTTGCCGCAGGGATTGGGTTGCCGACTGCAGTTGTGCCGAGTCCAACATTGTGAAAGTTGATAACTTATATCGTGTAAGTCCTCGTGGTGTAACCATGGACGATGTGGATAAATGTAAGCCGGACCCCCTGATTGGCCAGGGACCGCTTACGTCAGCACAAGGAGATCAGCAACGTCGGCGCCAAACGAACCTCACCTTTGCTCATGGCGACTCGCCCATCTGGCTCGCCCTGCCCACGAACAGCAACAACCGACGACGCCAGGCCTGCCAAAACATGTCCGCCGCACGAAAAAGGGTAGGCCAGATCGTCCGGCAGCTCCCGCGGACAGCTCGCACCTACGCATCCGACGCCCACGGCCAGCACAAGGCCGCCCAGGTCAACGAGTCTTTCGGGGTACGTTTTCCGGAGAGGGGAGCGCTTCCCGCACCTCCTACGCCGCAGTCCATTGCGAGGCGTTGAGCCTGGCTAACCAGGGGCGGAAATGTCTGCGCGACGTATAGAAAGGGTCCATCGCCACTGTCGCCGCATTCTTCGGGGGTGTCTTGTTTTACCAGTTTGTCCCCGAGCACGGCGAGGACTCGTCCGTCTCCAACGTGATCCACAAGTATCTCTCACGAAAAGAGGACTGGGAGCAGACCAATGCCCTACACGCCAAGGCGATGGAACAGGCTGGATTCGACCGAAACCTCTTCGAAAACGCCTCCAACAAGCACAGATTCGTCGACGTTGCGTACCCCGAGTATGTGTCTTTCTCTGCCCCGGCCACTTCAATTCTTCCCTTCTGGCCACTGCGATCGTTAAACTTTGGCTGACGCGGTCTGTTTAGGGCCATTCAGTCCCACGCTCCCAGGAACATCCAGGCTGGCCATCTTATGAACCTCGACCATGTGGTGGACCACTACAGGCGGAGGCATCTCGAGGATGAGGAGAGGAAGGCGAAGAAACTGGCCGAGAACAAGGCGTAGAAGCGTAGGAAAGCAATTGTACGGAATTATTGCGATGGAGAGACAATCGCGTCGTGTCGTATAGACGAAACGTCCTCTGCTCGTTCTATTTATACAGGTTTTTGCATGTCAAAGGACGACGTCAGGTTGCTTGTGCTACTTCTTCGTGTGACTACAGAGCTGCCGTTTGTCACAGCCGTCTATCCTTGATGGTTGGGGAGCCCCATGTTTCCGGCATTTGCCCGGCTTGTCGTGTTTGCGAAACAGTCAAAGCCTACCGGTCCACGTATTGCTTGCAGACGCAAGAGTTCGTGCGGTCGGTGTAGCCGCGTCAGGGCTGTGTATTCATCGAGGTCACTGGGGTTCCTTGGAAGATCTGGGGAGGTGATGCTCGTCCTTTGTGCTCAAGTGCGATGTTTTTGAAATCGTCAGCACCGGCCAGCTGGTCCTCCAACCTTTGACCTTGCTCGGTCTCCCTCTACCCCCAACCAAGGTTGATTGTGGTAGGCGATGTTTACACGATGCAACGCCGATGCACCCGTGGGGATGAGGTGGCTACAGCTTGGTTTGGTTCTACAGTGAAGCTGTGGCCCGTTAAGACTCCCATGCCCGCTTTGTTGTTCCTTGTATTCATGACGTGCAGTGAAATGCGGCAATGAGCCTCGTCAAAGCGGCCGTGAATGGCGAGAAGCGCCACAAGGGCACAAGCCAGCGGATTAAAGCTTCACACGCGGTGTTCGAATTTTCCATCGCGAGACATGTGTGCAAAAAATGGCGATGCGTCCTTGTTGTACTATCATGGTACTCGTAGTCATCACAACAACCTTGGATAGAGGCATCGCCACTCTACCAAAACCAGTCCCATTTTCGCCCATAAATGTCCGTGAATGCAGAAACCACCCAAGACCACCACCAAAAACGACCTTCTTATTTGAGGGGAATGAAACGAGAAGAGTTGGTGGCACCAATACCAGGTCGGCCGTGCTTGACAGGCTTGCTGCACGAGGTTGTTAGCACGCGGGCTGACATGGCCATGGTACCGACCCCATATACGTTTTGGGCGGTAGGGGAGAAACGTACTATGAGATGGAGAACTCAGCGAGGTAGTGGCCAACCATCTCAGGCTTGATCTCCACCTGGTTGAACTCCTTGCCAGAGTAGATACCGATGACGCTACCAATCATCTCGGGGACGACAATCATGTCGCGGAGATGAGTCTTGACCAGTTCAGGCTTCTCGTTGGGCTTGGCCTCCTGCTTGGCCTTGCGAAGCTTCTTGATCAAACCCATGGGGCGACGCTTCAGGCCACGGTTGATCCTGCGGCGGGCACGGGCGTGCACAACATCACGCAACTGATCGGAGCTGAGGTCCAGGAGGCTGAGAAAGAGACAAGACGGTTAGTGTCATGCTAAACATTGGACGTAGATGTGGAGAGTGAGATTCGGGTCGTTTCGAATGGCGTAGATAATGGGTGCAAGTGAAACGAGAAAGTCGGCCTGGTGATTTTCTTTGGCCGTATGGAGTAACATACTTGTCCAAGTCGATTCCTCGGTAGGAGAACTTGCGGAAAGCTCTTCTCTTCTTGAGCTCTGCGGCCTCCTCGGCGTTCTGCAAAACAAATCATTGTCAGTATTCATGCCCATTTGATGGTGTCGAGATGACTGCAGCTCTTCCGCGCGGCCGTCACGTCGTCGGCGTTTCGGGGCGTGTTGGAGGACGTCGATGAATTGCACATACGTATTCGTCAGCCATGATCGCGCTTGTGTTGATTTCGAATTCGCCTATCGATGCAAGGTATCGATGAGCGAATGTGGTGGCCGGGATGGAGTCGTTTTAGAAGGCTTGTCGAGTCGCTTGCGGATTCACGCACTGCCAGTCCAAATTTTGATCGTAGGGTTTCCGTGCCCTGCGCGCCCCTACATCACGTGGGGTGAGTTGTTGGCCGCGACCCACTTTCCAGTCAAATTTCGGCGTCGCCTTACGTAATCAAAACCACGTGCCATCCGTCTCCCAGGACCTGTCAACTCCCCTCCCCGGTTATGCGTCGTTGTGTGACTAGATGTTTATCATGTTACCCGATTTTGACAGGTCGGAGCATCTTAATGTCTCTTTCATCCTGATGCACGGACGGTCAGCACATTCTCCGGCGGCCGCGGACCCCAAGGATCTCGTTGCTGAATGTGACGAGACCTCTCTGTCCGTCTTGGCAAATGAGGCACTCACCAATACAATCTTGTTGAGCGATGGAGTTCTTAGGTTTGGGCCAAACATGACACTCCACCTACCTGTATGATGTGTCTCGTCGCCAATGCTGCGAACTCGGTACCAGTGCTCGGTAGAGCGCTCGGCATGTTACCGAGCCGGAACTCCGTTCCACCCCGTGGACGAAACATGGTTGTCTTGAGCCAGCAGGTAAAGCCGAGCGAAAACGAAGTGAAAGGAGGACTTGGAAGACGGCCACCCAGGGGCTGCGCCGTAAAGACTCAAGAGCCCATGCCACCGGGATGCCTTGGTTTCCCCGTGCTGGTCCAACCACGGGATGGCCAAGCCAAGCCTTGAGACTTCAATAGTACTAGTAACACAATTATCGATGCTTGGTACTGGGTAACTCCTCTGTGCGATGGCTTCTGTCCCAGCTCCGTCGGCGAAAAATGGCACGAGGCGTGCTCAGGGGCCTTTTGGACGTGGTCTTGGTCTCGTGTCATGTTGTCAACGCCAAGGTGCTGGCTGGCGACTAGTGGTATCCGGACGGCGTCCCCGCATTTGGCATACTAGAGTCCATTTGCTCCCATCAGACCGACCGATTGATGAATGCAGGGCGACGGCGGCGGGCAGCACCGATGCCGCCAACCATCAGTCGGCTCCGACCAACGAGTGGGTTGTGAGCACGAGTAGTCAGGTCAACATAGGCCGTACCGCGGCGTAACACCAAGCTTGTGCGCGGCTTGGCAGGCCAAGGGCTCCGTACGGAGTGCCACGAGGTGCATTACGTTGTCATTATTCATAAATCGCGGATTACGAGTGCTCGGTACGAACGCTGGGCCCAAGGGTGAGGAGGCTCCCAGTCATGGGCATGCGAGGCACTGGCCAAGATTGACACGTGAAGCAAATTATTTATGATATGATGCGCGGCCCGTCTTTAAACACGGGAAGCGGCTGGCTTTCATGACAGCCCTAGCCATCTTTTTGTTTCATGTGTGCGTTGCTGTCGAGACACGGTACGTGGCCGGGGCAAGTTGAAACGGCGGGGACGAAATTTATTTACTAGTGAACGAAGGAGAGTGGAAAAGGAAGGAACACCGCCTCCCCCCGGAAAAAAAAAAGAGAGGCTGACTGGGCTGACTGGGCTGCTGGACTGCCGAGCCACTTGATGAGAGTCAGCTACTCCGTACCCTCATCGAACAGGTTACCTGGAAGACGCGCGCGGTCTCGTGCTTGGCAGCCCGGCGTTGAAAGTTGGGCTTGGCAGTCTCGGCGTCGTCTTCATTTCGCCCTCCAGAGATACTGCCAAGCCTTGGAGCTCCAGCCCGCGCCCCAAACTACCTTCGTTCACTTTGAGCCTGCGGCGCCCCCCCAGCAATTCCCGCAATGGGCGCACCAAGCGAAGCGAGTGAGTACATGTGTGCAATATGTATGGAGTACTCCGTAGCATTCGTTCATATACAGCTTTGTCCTCCCTCGTCGGGCCTTCCGCCTGGACATCGCTTGGTTGGCCATCTATTTGTGTTTGTGCCCGTGAACGAGGCGCCTGTTCATCGACATCTATCTACATCGGCTCGCGAGACCCAAATGAACCTCGCTGGTCCAACCAACCTGACGAGAGCTGTGGTTGGCTAAAGCAATCGCCCTTTGTGCCTGGCCTCGTCATCAGTCTGGGCACAGACTCTTTCGAATAGAGGCAGCAACGTGTATACCGTCGTCGACCGAGCTGCTGAATTCCCGCAGCCCAGCTTGCAGCCAACTTCGCACGAGGTCTTGACGGGCCATGTGTCCTCGCGCATGCGAAAACCCATTCGCAGTCATTGACAACTCACCACATTGTCGCTTCGAAAAAACCCTCTTGGTGAACAAAGAGCTACGCCTGGGCTGACTGCAAGCGTGTCTGTCTCACATAGTCACCAGGACGGCGACGCTGTTGGTGTTCACTGTTGACCACCACGGAATGGCGTCTCCTCAACCGGCACTCGGGTCTACTCCGACCCAACCGTCTCCGTCTCCTACGTCGCCAGCGTCCAGGTTTCCATCTGCTGCGCGTACAGCTTCTGCCTCTACAACCGCAAGCCTTCCCCCGTTGACCACGCCTTGGGGAAGCCCTCAGACCTGTACCTGGACATATGTTGTCAGTCACGCAGAGGAGACTGCCTCACCAGGTGCCGTCGCATTTCTAGACCTTGAGCCCATGCCCGGAGCTGGCACCTTGTCATGTTATCCCAACGGCATGTTCTCGTATGGCCGCACGGGTGTGTTCAGTCCTGGGACATGTCCAGGTGGGTGGACGACGGCGTCGCTCCAGTCGAGTACAGATAGAACCACAGCTGTGTGTTGCTCCTAGTAAGTCTGCTCCAAATGAAATGCGCCTGTTGAGCTTCACACTGACCTCGCTCAGTGGGTATGCCCTTCACGGATCAGACTGCAGACGCTCTGTGGCGACAGGCCTAGCCGTGCCCATCACCTACAACACTACAGCGGGCACATACGATGTCCTTGTCCAATCCACAACAACCTTGTACAGTGCCATGTTGGCAGTCAGCACCCTTCAAGTACTGTTTTCCGCCGAGGACAAAATGGTGCTGGGTATCGATTCAGATAAATATGGCGAGCCCAAAACTTTGTCCATGGGTGCCCGTATTGGCATCGCCGTGGCCGCCTGCGCATTCGTATTGCTCTGTCTTTGCCTGACCTGTTACCTCCTTTCCAGGAGGCGTCGTGCTCGAGAAGGCTTGACCAAGGAACGACTGATGCGAGACTTGAAAACTATGCACCGTCGCGGGCCATCGCCTGCCGCTGGCCCATATGCCGGAGACTTGAGCACATCGACGACCATGTCCAGTACGCAGGTTGCGTACGAACCACACGAACCACCACCTGCATACGACCCGGGCCGCACAAGGCGGATGTCCGTAGGCCGCGATGCTGAAGGTGGCAGACAGCGGGACGGGCAAACGAGAGCGCTCAACGGACAGAAGGCGGTGATTGAGCAGCGGACGGAGCAACTGCGGATGCAGGAGACCTTGCCGCCTGGGCCCTTGGCGCAGAGGCACTGAGAGCAGCATCGTCGTGTGATGAATTGAAACGTGCCCTCGTTGGAGATACACCTCGTTTCCTCCTCTTTTTTCTACGATACATTGATGGGCGTTTGGCGCATACCTGAGAATTATGGGCACGGATTAGCATGGCATTCGGCGTACAAACAGGAGGCATGGGACAAGTATCTAGCTACGTACTCGGATGTCGCAAGCAGAATCAAACCGTGCAGTCACACGGTGCGAACTATTGACACCAAGGTTTGCATTGACTCAAGACGTGCTTACGACATGGATGTCTGCGCCGTAATTGGCCGTGCTCCAGGGCAACAGTAGAGGTGCTCGCATTTGTGGCCATTGACAAGATGTTTATTTGGTGTAGGGTTGGTTTAGGGTTGCAGCTTGACGGCGTCGTAGACGCAAACTCATGGAATGACTGTGAACACGATATACGCCAAGGAGGAAACTCAGTAGCAATGCCTGTGCAGAGTGGTGAACACCTTTCTCCAGCTCGACCTTCTGGCGCTATGGATGGGCAGCGGGAACAGCGAATTGGCGGGCATATTTGACTTGATATTGTCGTGTTTTCTGGCTGACGAGCCGGTGACGCTGTAGGCGTAACCCGGGAGCACATGAACTGGAAGCCGAAGAGGCAACGGAAGTGCAGACGCCACGCTCTCGGTCGAAAGTTGAAACTACACCATCGCGGGCGAAGGGAACGATGATGGAGCAAACAGCATGGAAGTTGGACCTCCGTCGGGGCCGGCAAAATTCTACATAATTACGGAACAGGAACGGCTGAGCCCGGCTGTACAACTGGTAGACACGTGGGCAGCCTAGGTCTGTTGTTGGCTAGGTAAGTAGGTACTTACAGCCCACTGTAAGTACCAGGACCGACCCCCTCTCCCAGGGGCCGAGGAGCAGACTGTTGGCCGCCAAACGTGAGTGCTATAATTTACTTACTGGCGCCAGCCACGGCCACAGCCCCTGCCTCCTTACGGCTGCCAATTGGCGGTGAGCGGTCGATACCTTGCACACCGCCGAGGTTCATGGCTGGCTGCAGGTACCGGGTGCCTTTGTCTGCAGGTTTTCGACCGTTCCGCCCCCGTCTCCATGTCGCCGGTCTGGAGACTAGCACCGGCTGCCCCTGTGGTGCCGCGCATGTCGTCCCAAGCCGAGCCTGGTGCCGCCACTGGCAAATCATCGTCACGACTCACGACTCACCACCTCCTGTTGCCTGCTCTTAGTGGCGCCCTTCCTCCGACCACAGCGCTGTGCGCGTAGTTCGTCCGACTTGCCTCTGAGCTTCTCGAGGCAGCTTTGCCACCGACCGGTTCTCCGACTGTGTGTATACGAAAAATGAAGGGCGAGGTAAGCATTGTGACACTGTCGTGAGCGGCCACTGTGCTCCCCCTTGCTGCGTCCGTCACTCAAGGGGCCTCGTCCTTCCATACCACCACGCTTCAATGTCCCCTGACCTCGCTCTCCCTGCTTTCGCCGCCTGTTGCGGAACTAGGCCTCGGCTAATCGCTTTGGCAATAGATTCTTCACCTTCACCTGGGCCAGGCCGGTGTCCAGCTGGGTAACTCTGCTTGGGAGCTGTACGTTGCCGTCCGAGTAGATATATGCTGTCTAGTATCTACACTCTGTTCTGGCCGGTGGAAGCAGTGTTTCTAACAAGTGTCGATGCAGCTACCTTCTCGAACATGCCCTTGGTCCCGATGGACGGCCTGACCCAAACGCCAAGGATGTGGGCGACCCAGGTGCTTTCGAGGCTTTCTTCACCGAGACTAGCAATGGCAAACACGTTCCTCGGTCCATCTTCATGGATCTTGACCCCTCTCCCATTGACGAGATCCGAACCGGGCCCTACCGCCAGCTCTTCCACCCCGAACTGTTGATCAGCGGAACGGAGGATGCGGCCAACAACTATGCCCGTGGTCACTACACCATTGGAAAGGAAATGGTTGACACTGTCATGGACCGTGTTCGCCGCGTTACGGGTGAGTACACACAACCCAAGTCCGACTCTTCCTTATTCATCCAATGTGGGCGGTGGGGTTCTGTCGCTTCCATGGGTGTAATAATGGCTTTTGATATTAATTTTGAGTTCACTTGGATAGACAACTGCAGCTCCCTTCAGGGGTTCCTGATCTTCCACTCCTTTGGAGGCGGCACCGGCTCTGGCTTCGGCGCTCTTATGCTCGAGCGCCTGGCCACCGAGTACGGCAAGAAGACCAAGCTCGAGTTCGCCGTCTACCCTTCTCCTCGCACCAACACTTCTGTTGTTGAGCCATACAATGCTGTCCTCTCCACCCACAGCACCATTGAGAACTCTGACTGCACTTTCCTAGTCGATAATGAAGCGGTCTACGATATTTGTCGCCGCAACCTGGATATCACCCGGCCCTCGCACGAGCACCTCAACCGTTTGATCGCGCAGGTTGTGAGCTCCATTACTTGCTCCCTGCGTTTTGACGGTGCCCTCAATGTCGATCTCAACGAGTTCCAGACCAACTTGGTTCCTTACCCGCGTATCCATTACCCATTGATCAGCTACGCCCCCGTTGTTTCCGCTTCCAAGAGCAAACATGAGAGCTTCAAGGTTGCTGACCTCACCTTCCAGTGTATGCAATAGCCCACAAACCAGCAAACCTTTCAATTCTGCCATTGAACCCGTGAGATTTGGTACTGACATGGCCGGAACAGGCTTCGAGCCCAACAACCAGATGGTTGTCTGCGACCCTCGCAACGGCAAGTACATGGCTGTCGCTCTCCTGTACCGCGGCGATGTTGTTCCCCGCGACTGTACCGCCGCCGTTGCACAGGTCAAGACCAAGGCCTCCTTTAACTTGGTGGAGTGGTGTCCAACTGGCTTCAAGCTCGGAATCAACTACCAGAAGCCCATGGCCGTCCCCGCCCCGGCCGAGGACGGCGCGCTTGCCTCCGTCGAGCGATCCGTCTCCATGCTCTCCAACACTACCGCCATTGCCGAGGCCTGGTCTCGGCTTGACCACAAGTTCGACCTCATGCACAGCAAGCGTGCCTTCGTGCACTGGTATGTTGGTGAGGGCATGGAGGAGGGTGAGTTCACGGAAGCTCGTGAGGACCTGGCAGCCCTAGAGAAGGATTACGAAGAGGTTGGCGCCGATAGTGTCGAGGCAGAGGAGGAGCTCGAGTACTGAGGGCACTGATGCATTCACCATGTTTCTGCCTCCTGACAAAGCTGGAAACCTGGCTTGTTTCTGAGATTTCGGGCTGTCGAGCAGTCAAATCTCCTAGTGTACTTGGTGTGTGTCCTTTGTTGAACGGAAATTTTTACCCTTCCACGGCCTAGGTATCAAGCCAAGATTGGTGTGAGCAAAGTAATGACGGGAATTGCTCGAATGAATATAGGATCCTCTGGGAAATGGGGAAAAAAGGCCTTTTTTCCATCTATTAACTGAACGCCATGCCGTATATATAGGCACTGGCACTCCGCCGCGTTTGCATGGTAGGTAGGCGAAATTGATGTTGCGATACTCTCTCGACTTGTTTACTCTTGCACCTCTTTGATCCATGTTTTAGATTGCTCGGGACGCGGAATTCTTCATGCTGTATTTCCACCAACACGAAACATTTGCGCCCTCCAGGCCAGCGGGCTGGGGTGCATGGCAGGGCCAACCGTATCCAGAAAGATGACGACTTTCAAGATTGAAGTGGGAGAAAAGTAAAATAAAGTTAAAGATCAGGCACAACCTCCTATAGAGACTTCTTTCACCACTGCGCTGCTCTGCTTGCCGCTCGGCTCTTAGGCCTGCCCTTGCCCCTTCTACCAAGTTTCAAATCCTTGTGTCTTCCATCCTTGGACGACGCGCGATTCCCCTCAAACACGACCTTTTGTTTCGACGTGCCGTTGGCGCCGGAGCTGCCTGATTTCTTGCGGTGCAGAAAGGCTCCCGCGCGGCCGAGGAGCCTGTTTACTCGTCCGGCGGCAGCTTGTTGCTCGGGCGTCATTTTCGGCGTATACTTTGTGTTGCGGGCCTTGCTGTGGGCCGCGACGGCCTTTGCCTGGGCGCGTTCCTGTGTGCGGGCAGTCTTGCGAGGGTCCTTGGCTCTGGTGACGCGGAGTTTGCGGGGGAGCATGGGGGGATATGCCTTGCCGTCGGAAAGGAGAGCGGCCTCGACGTCGTTTGCGTCCTGTGAAAGCCTAGTTCAGTGAGGAGCAAAAAGGGGATAGAGGGGGCAAAATCAAGGGAGCTCACGTAGAATTGGACGTATGCGAATCCCTTGCCGACCCTGGTCTTGGAATCACGAACGACACGCACATTTTCAACCTTGCCCGTCTTGCTGAACGTTCTCCAGAGGCCTTCTTCGACGTCGGACGGAAGCTTGGTGCGCTTCTTCTCAACCTTTTCGCCGTCCTCGTTGGTACTGACGACCGTTTCGTCATCGACGAAGCCCAAGTTGCCGACGAATATGCACCGGCGGTGGTCTGTTGGACTGGGGTGTGCAACGTTGTCTACGCGAATGTGGCGGCCGAGGACTTCGGTGCCGTTGAGCCTGGAGGCGACGAGTCTGGCGGCAGCCGGGGTGGAGAAGACGGCGTAGGCGTTGGTGGACTTGGTCGTGGCTCCCATGAGAGACTTTGTGATGTAGGCTGCTCTTTTGGGCATGGAGCCCGTAGAGAAGGCGACAGATCGGAAGCGAATGGATTCCATTTTTTGAGTGGGCAGATCGTGAGGATCCAGGGCAGACGAGAGGTGGGCGATGAGGGTCTTCTTGGCAGCTTTGGAGGAAATGGCTTCCGTTGAGACGTTGGCAAGAAAGACTGTTCGCGACGCCTTTTCGAGGTCTGAGTCTGTAGATTCTTGTGCCACGGTTTCATGGACCGGAATCACGTCGTCTTCGCCCGCATCGTTCTCCTCGTCTGCTTTTCGTCGCTTGTCTGGTGGTTCCTCTCTGTCACCCTTTGTCAAATTGACCATGTACTTCGCTTCCAGGTCGTCGTCGTCATCCTTTCTTTTTCGTTTCCGCTCACGTCTGGGTCGATTCCCAACTTCCCCCGCCCCAGAAGCTCGGTCTTCAACTTCGGCCATGGCAATATCCCCCTCTTTTTCTACCACGTCTTCATCATTTTCGTCCTCGCACTCCTCACCACCACTGTCCTCATTACTTGATGATTGGTCTTCGACATCCTCGTCGTCGTCATAGTCTAATTCTTCGCCAGTTTCTGACGACTCCTCGTCATCCTCCGCCGCGTCATCGTCTTCGCTGTTTTCAGTTTCGGCTGCTGACTCGGGGGCTTCGCGAGCCTTCGGCTCCAGCAACGCAGAGTACCGAGACGTCGAGGGAGCTTGGACAGGTCCCGACTATGAGGCGTCAGTCTCAACGAAACTGTCCTAGACAAGGAAGGAAAATGCGTCAAAACGTGTTTGTACGTACACTGCTGGCAAACAAGGCGTCGAGGGTGGGGTCAATTGCTTTGGACGAAGCCTGCAGCACTGAACTTCTGAGATTTGTTAGTGATGATAATCATTGGCAAAGGAACAGCAAGAAAGACAAGAAGATGATCAATTGCAGCTTCGGCATACTTTTTCCTCATATTTCGGGCTTATTGACTGTGCCGCCAATGTGTCGACTGGGTTTTTTTATTTGCTATGGGTCGGTCCGCAGGCTTTCGGTTGCGACCTTGTCTGTTGCGAGAAAAAAATATCGATAAATATGCCCCAAAATTCGGGACGTGGGACACCCCCAAGTCGGAAGAGCAAATGCACTTGCGGCCAAAGGAGGTCAGGTGGGGCTATAGCCTGAGCCACCAGCCAGAGCCTTGCGGCCGGAAGAATGCGTCATTGGCTTCAGGCTCGCGGCTGGCCGCTCGAGGCCCTCATGACCCTCATTGTGCCGCAACTCACCGCCGGAAGGCCCCACCATTTGCCTGCCCGCTGTTGGGTGCTACCGTACGGAGTATGCAACTATGCGCTGTACTCATAAATGCCATCCATTGACAATGTGCAGCAATCAAATCAAATGGGGCAGGTGTGAGATGGCAGCCCGCCAACAGCCTGCTTGCTTGCCACCCAGGTGCCGTCGCCCGCCGCTGTAGCCCCAGGCTCCCCCTGTACGCACTAGACGCCGCACACCAACTGCTCTATTCCGTCCCCCCGTCCCGAGTACTCACAGGTCGCAGTTTCTTTACCCAGAGCCGGAACTGTCACAGACGCCGATTCTGCGCCAAAGCCGCCCGCCTCTCTCGATCCATGCCTTCCCCCCCCCCCCCAAATACTACGATTGCTCTGTGAATGGTTCTTCTACATCTTGTTTGCGCCGTCTTTGCCATTTGCCAATTCCATTGCGAGGCGGGCTCGACCACGTTGCCGACTGCAGACTCTGCCGCATCACACACCGGTCCTCTTTTACCTGTCGGACCTTGGGCTCGTGTAGTAGGACCTAGATTCTGCTCGCGTCGTCGCACACTCCGTCGTTTCGTCCGGGCAGGACTGTAGTTTTGGTCCCGCTCCTCTCAAAATCCGTCGGAAGCACACTCTGAACGCGATCGAACGTCCACCGAACGGGCCCGAGAAGTCATGGTGGCCACCACCTCTGTGCGCGGCACCCTGACGCCTCCGGGGCCGGGCGAACCTGATGTTGAGGACAGCAATGTTTCTAGTCCTCTGACTGAAGTTGAATACGGCGAGGCTAATGACGAGGATATTGGGCACATGCATATGGGCGCCCGCAGCAATGACGCCGACGACTCCAATGCCAGCGGGGATGACCAGCCTGAGGCCGACACCAAGAACGGCGCATCTGACTCCGAAAGCGCTCTGTCCGACGCCCATTCTGTCGATCATTCAGAGGCCAATGATACCGAGGCCGAAACAGAGAGGCTCTACGACACACCGCGAAACCGACGACGACGAGACGTGGTAGTTGACCAGTACAACCAAGGCCAGACCTTCGAACACACGCCTAGCAAGCTACGAAGCGCCTCCAGGTTGATTGACGATAATGATAATAACCGCGACGACGAGTCGCTGTCGGCCGACGATGCGTCAGTGGCCTCTGGCGACGATTCTCCTACGAAGCCCTTCGCCAGCAAAAACACTAGTGCCGACGGCGAGGGCAAACGAGACTTGCAAGAGCGGAAAAGAAAGCGTTCGCCTATGGGAGACCAGTCCGAGTCAGATCAGCCGCTAAGAAAGCGACTGACTTCACTCGGAGCCGCCGAGACTGGTGCGGATGGGGATGCCTCCATTGACGACGACGATACAACGCCGGCCATTTTTCCCAGTGGGGACCTATCTCTCGGCGAAGAAGACGATGTTTCTGCGGAAAATCAAGATGCACCCACCGACGGTGAGCGCCCGGAGAAGGGGACTCGAGTCTCCAAAAAAATTACGCGAATCGGCTCGAAGAGCAAGGGCGGCTCGGGTGATATTTCTCCCAGTGATACGCCAGGTCCCGATACCAACGGAGAACAAATTGACATTGCGGAAGATGAAGATGCGGAACAAAGGAATCAAGACGTCGAGGTCGATGCAGACGAGGCTGATTTGGCGGCCAAAAGCATCGAAGAGGGTAGGTACCAATTGAGCTTTGCTGTCCACTCCAAATTTGGCCATCTCGTTATTAATCATGTTGTAGCCGAGAAAAAGAATGCCGCTTTCAAGGATTGGTCTCATATCGAGGAAATGTTCTGCTTATTTAGAGACAGGTTTGTCCTCTCCTGTGCACTGAGCGCTCACGATAACTAACTGACCTGGTCCTAGACTATACAAAGACCGTCTACAAAGACTCGAGGAGGAAGAGCAGTCATTACTTGCACCCGTTCCGACTCACCCTGAGTATCTCAATATGAAGCAATGCCTAGATGACCGATTCGACAAGAGAGTACGAGAGATAAACCACGAACTCGTCTTTCGAATAGAGGCCCACGAACGACGTGCTGTGGCGGTACGAGCCCAAGTTTGGAGCCAGTATTTCCAAGCCGTTCGAGAAAAACGCGAGGCGGTACTGGAATCACTCAACCGCCAATGGTACGAGGTTCAAACGGCGAGAAGGACTGCCCATAGCCTCCCAGATTATGGGCTACTATTTCCCAAAGATCCCGTGCAACGAGTACGAAACGCCGTTGCGTACAACACAGAAGTCTCGACTTTGGCTGGGATTGCCAAATATGAGGGTTTCCCTGCCGGTCCTGAACTGAAAGGGGCCTCGGTAGCAGAGGTGGACGCTGATTTTGCCGCCATCGAGGTAAGTACATCACCACTCAACATCCACCACCGCCTGCCAACTGCTCGAGTCACATCTAACTATCTTTTCAACTATAGCAAGTCCGACGGAGCAGGCAAAAAAGTGTGGCTCAACTGAGAGACGATTATCCGAACCCTACGTTTAGTCGTCTTGGTCCGGCAGGCGAGCAATTCATCAAGGACACGCCTTGGGCGAACCCTAATCACTCATCTCACAAAGCGCACCAGAAACTGGGAATACATAGTGATGGCCGGCAAACAGTCGCCTCAGTTAGTCGGCCAAATCATTTTGCAATACAGGCGCCAAATGCGTCTGCAGAGATGAAAACTATGCCTGATAGCCAGGCGCCAATCCGCAAGTCACCTGCAGTCCTGCATCATATGTCCGAATCACCGGAGCTATCACGGTCCGTACTTAGCCCAGCGGCACACCAGATGAAGCGAGTTGCAAGCATACCAAACATGGGAAGGAGCTCAAAAGCTGCAGCCGTATAGGCACTCAGCCCTTGGACGTAGTTTGGGGAAGAGGGGAAGGGGGGCGGCCTTGCTTTTCAATCGGACTTGTGCCTGCGAACTGCTTTCAGACGGATAAATGATACCCAGAACATTATAACGACTTTAGTTTGGTACATATGGTGTTTTTATTTCTTTGGACAAAACTTGACATGAACCAGACCCGAGTCGGCAAAAGTTTTGCATGGGCGGCGCGGCTACTTGCATTTGTTGTTCGGATGGATGATTGTGATTACAAAAGTCAGCGCCTTGGGGACAGTTTAGAACTGTACAAATGGAACTACACTACTGCTTTTTGTTTTATCCATACATGGTACGTAAAGATGGTAGTGTCTCCGGCTATTGTACAAAATCGTGGCCTCTTGTCATTGAAGGCGTCGGAGGTTAGCAAAGTAGCTGCATCAAGACAGTCTTACACTTGTGCATTCGCACATAGTAATTTCAATTTCCCGGCTCTCTTTCTTGCCATGAAACCGTTGACAATTATCAACCCGGATTGCGAATTTTCGTCGCGAGGTTGGCGGCACGCGTGATTTATATTTTGTGGTATAAAATGCCACAATTTTCATCTTGCGGCCACCTGCTTTTGCGGCGCATCAGGAACTTTAACATCGTCGAAATCGTCTTGTCCGACAGCCTTTAGTGTGTACCAATCTATTTTGACCGGTCAGATGCCTGATGCTGGACGACGCAACGGGCGGGCCAAACAATTCCTTACATATACCTCCTACGACGGCGAGGAGGCCCAGGCCAGTGAATGCGTTCTTGAACAAGTAAGGACGGCGCGCGCGGATAAGCGCCGGGCCCTGTCGATACCGCCGATCGTAGTATGTTGAGTGTCCGCTGCATCAGATGCTGGGTCAGAACACAGTTTGTAACGGGGCATGGACGATTTATCCGGAGAGATTGCTCACCCAGCCATGATAGTTTGGAGTGAATCTTCAGAAGGCCGGCGAGGATTCAAGGCGCTTCAGGGGGCCCTCGGTGGAGCGGAATAGATTGTAGACACAATCGACAATGTACTTGGCTTCGCAAAATGTCCCGAGTTGCGAGTGACCATGATCCGACATCTGGAGGTTGAGAGTGCCGTGCCGGTTCATTGTCGGCTAAATGCACCCTGACGTACAGGGGAGCTTGAACTGAGGTCAGGCGCGACGGCATCAGACAAGAGAAGATTGAAGCTGGGGCTCCTTGACAGGGGTGGGTCAATCCGCGTCTCACGTCTGGTTGTTGCCAAAACCTTGACTGCATCTCCAACCCCCAGGCACTTAACTATATTCCAGGCGACATCGCGGCAGCGTAGTGGCACGACTTTTGCTTGAGAGCCAACTTCACTCGCGGTACAACAGTCAACGACTAGAATACAGTGCGCATAGGGTATGGAAGTCGCCTCACGGCGTCCGAGAGCACAATCGAGCCCACGCCCACGTAGCGCCGTTTCGTCGCACGACATCTCACAAACGGGCACCTTCACCAGAGCCGGGCTTGAGGACTAATCCCACCTCTGCGCAGAAACACCGAACGACGGCGCGAGGCTGCGGCCGAAAGACATTGCAATAATGAGCTCCAACCTGTCCGTGCCCGAGCAGATCCGCCAGCTCAATGACGCGAGAAAGCTGGTTCTGGGGGATGTCAAGTACTACCCTAATGTGGTCAGAGGCCTTCTTCCAATCATTGGACCCAATGCGCATATCGAATTGCGACGATGGGGAGCGGAATTCCTGGCCGAGGCCTTTTCAACGCCTGCACTCCCCAACGGAGAGAAGGAAACGATGCAGCTCTATGTTCTGGCAACGGTAGAGTCTCTTTTACAGAATGAGAGAGAAGACCCGCAAGTGCTGCGGAGTGTTATTCTGGCGGCGGCGAGCATTTATCCGCTCGCTTTGCGGTGGATGTCAGTCAGACGAGCCCCTCGATGTCGAGATGTCGACGCGGAATAGCCTTGAGAGTATGGACTAATCGATGACACCTTGCAGTATAAATAACGGATACGACACGGTTACGTGGGATAAGATGTTGAGCATCAAGCAGAAAATATTGCGAGTGTGGGAGGATGCTGTCCCAACAGTAAGGATTAGCTGCATTAAGTTCGCCCAGAGGGTGGTTCTTGCGCAGACTGTCTCAACGGGGGCAGAGTTTCGAGTGCGTATTGTCTCTTACGTTTTTTTGAGCCCATCGACACACAACTGATATGGACTTTAGCACGCTGGCACTCTTGACGTCTCACTGGACAAGGTTCCTCCCAGTCATCAGTCACTCGATCCTAGAAACCTCGAGGCTGAAGCGTCAGGTCTTCTAGATCGCATACTCGGCGTTTTACAGGAGAGCACGTCAGTACGATGGAAACCTATATCCTACATATGAGGCTAACTCGAGTACAGCGATGCTCTTGTTATTGATGCGACGCTAAACAGCCTGTCAATTCTCGTACGGACCAGACCCACGACGTCAAGCCGAATTATCAACGCATTACTTGGCTTCAACCCTCTTCAATTGGCCAACTCGCCCTTGACGCCGAGAAGTAAAGTCATGATCAAGTCCATGGAGAAGACCGCCAGATTACTGCTGCTCCATCTCACTAAGCGAGATCCCCACAACCCTATTGTACCAAGAATACACCAGCATGTTGAACGTACGATGCACATGGTAATGGAGGTTCTGGACGATTCCGGTAGGAACCGGCCACTGGAAGCGCAACAGCACGATGGCTTGGACGCCAAACGCCAGCAAGTAACCGAGTCTTATGTACCACGAATTCCGTCCCTCGGCTCTGGGCCACACAGCTTGGCTGATGTCTTTACTCTTGTCGGCCATGACGGTCTGAAGTCATTCGACTTGTCACAAGTCCCAGCGGCCTTGGTAGCGAAAGTCGCGGTCACAGCACTGTCACGTCTAGACCCTCAATTACTGTTAAAGGCTGTTGACGGAGTGCGCGGACGGCTCACTACCCTTGCTAATGCACCTGCTCCGGAACTGAACCCCAATACTGCACCTCTTGGTGTTGACGACGACGACGACGACGACTATGAACCCGATTTCTATCAGGCAGAAGATACAGAGCAAATTCTGAACAAGCTAGACGGAGCATCACCGTCCCTTCCCACTGAGCTGACAGCTCTGGACAGTACACTGGCACTCACATCTTTCAGCTTGCCTCAGCCTCCTCAACTTACACCAGAGATGGCGCTTAGCGCCGGAAGTGGAACAGTAGCAAAGGTGGTCGAACTGATGAAGTCATTGGACGAGCCCGCGGCAAAGAAGAACAAGGCTGGGTTTATCCGCCTGGCAGCAAGCTCAGGGAGCAAGGACGCTTGGATGACGATACTGACTCGACTTGCCACACGGTCCACCACTGGATTAGATGAAGTCTCGGTCAAGGGTGAAGGAGAGGAATCGTCGCGGCAGCCGACTCTGAGCAACACTATTCGCGAAGTTATATACAACTACGTTATGGAGGATTTCCGAAAACATATTGATGTCGCCGTGTCATGGCTCTGCGAGGAATGGTACAATGACAAAATGCAATCTCGACTGGGGGGCGATTATCCCAAGAACTACGACAAAAATACATTGCGCCTGATAAACGGATTTCTTCCCTATCTACATCCGCAAGATAAAGTTTTGACGAGGTTTCTGAGCGAAATTCCAGAGTTGAATCGCGCCATGCTGTCGAGAGTCAAAGACATGTGCCGGGACCCTAGCGTTACGCAATTAGCTTTGACGAGTTTGCTGTATTTGGCCATGATGCGGCCACCTGTGAAAGAAATGGCTCTCGATACTGTTCAAGACATCTGGACAGAGTGTACGTTGGTTTTTTTTTTTTTTTTTTGGCCCATCTTTCTTCTCTCCTTACTTGCTAACGACTTTCGATATAGTTGAGGATGCCAGGCCAATCGCGGGCAAGTACCTGTCCAAGTATCGCCCTGGATTCGTGGAGGCGGCCGAAGCCAAGACGACCAGAGACGGTGCTGGTGCTGGCTTGGAATTTTCAGGAACAGCGATTGCGACTTGAGAAGATGTTCGAAAGACGTTTGCCTTTGTGATTTTTGGTCGTACGCAATGGGAATCCTGGTCGGCCCCTCGAGAGCCTGGAATTGTTCTTGGGAAAGAAGCTCGCACAGACGACGTTGCAAATCTTTTTGTGGTATCAAATGAGGCATTTCACAGGCGTTCACTTGGGGAGGGAGACAAGCACCTTGAGATTCTGGATGTTAACCCATCAATAATGAGTTTGACACTTGACAGGTTCTGTCCCCGGAGGCTGGTTGGTAAAGGCAATTAGATGCACAAAGAGTCGACAGAGGACATGGGAAGGAAGCAGGGAGAGAACATCAGAGGCGCGGTTGAGACTCAAGAAGCGGCTCGTATATTTATTGATGGGGCTCGTGATAATCAAGAGAAATGGGTCTGATGGCCCGGCCGACTTGGGACATGACTGCCCAGGTATGTTTGCCGATGTCTGCGGCTTTGTGCGTGTCAGCCTCGTCGCATACAAGTAACTACATGACACCACACGTGAAGGCCGCTAGGCTACTGGTGGAAGCGACGCACAGAGACTCACCCTGACACCGACACGGACCACGGGCGCTCACGCTCTCGCCTACGCTCACTTGAGTTGACACACACAGACCGAGCTGGTTGCCCTGCCCTGCCCTGCCCAGGACGTACGTACAGGGCACCAGGCACTCATCAATGATTGGAATGGATGCGGTTTGAGCATTGATCGAGGGACAGGAACTGGAATTGGGTTTGCGCCACCCACAATGCATGGCCACGGCAAGCTAGCTCTAGCGGTGGCAAGCTGTTGTCCCGGACCCGCCCAGGAGCCCGGGATCCCGGGATCAGGACAAGGTGTCTTGCATTATGTGCGTGCGGCGCCCCTGGTAATAACAATAACAGTACGGAGTACGTAGTGAGAAAGAGGTCGAGACAAAGAGCTCGGACGGAACGGAGGGCCAGCCGCAGGTACTCGAGTACCTTGGGTACCTGCAAGAGCTAGTAGCATGCAACAAGTAGCTCACAGACGATTTTAATGTTGTTTCCACGGGCTTCCGTCTCTGTCTTGCGTCCTCGGCCCAAACAATACAGTCACTCCAGAGTCGAGCGTCGACGCAATGGAGCGAGGGATACCGGATTTCTGCGGCCAGATGCTGCATGCACAGAGTGACCCCCCCTCGTACGGTGATGCGGCTGCGTAAGGTAGCGTCATTGTTTGAAATGAGAGGGTCCAGAATCCAGATGTCCAGAGTCCGGGGCCCCTTTGGTCCCTTTGGTTCCTTTGGTCTTTGACGGCGGCTTGACCACACATGTGCACACAACACGCTCCTCCAGAATCGACTTCTTCCTGTCATTGCCATTCCGCTGGCCTGCCCGTCCGCGACTCCAAGCGTAGATTATACGATGTCAGTGCTGTGACAGCCAGACAAGACACTCCACTCGCGTCCACTGGCCCACGGACCGGTCAATCACTCGAGTCTCGAGCCGGCGTCTTGCAACGAGACGCGAGACGCAACCCACGAGACACGGCGACTGGTGCGCTCGACTGCTTTCTTGGCTTTGCGCAATGCTCAGGAAGCGCCTCCATAAACGAGAATTCGCTATCCATCGAGACTCTGGGACCGGTACGATGAATCCCCCTATTCTCTTTGTACATTCGCCCTATGGAGCGCAGAGCCCGAACCTGAAGTTGCATTCACGCCTCCGGGGCCGGGCCTTCTTTAGAGTGTCACTTCACTACGTACTTCTTACACATGTAGAGTCTAAAGTCTTGTCTCGGCTTGTCACCCTCGCATCAGTCAGCCTCAGTTCTGCCTCCTCGCAAAGGGGACGGACGTCGACCCGGCTTCGAGCACCAGCACGCTTTGCTTTTGCTTTTGCCTTGCCCTCACTTCCTCTGCGTTTTTCCCTTTCGCTTTTCCTTTTTTTTTTTTCTCCTATTCCCGTTTTCCTTTTTTTTTTTCAAACAAAAAAAAGAAAAAAAGAAAAAAAGAAAAAGAAAAAGAAAAAGATTCAAAAAACTCCATGCGTGTCAAAGGGCAAAACGAAACGACCTTCGCAATTGCTGATTCGTACGTGCCATTTCGCAGCTTCGAAATCTGCACATGACGAAGCACAGCTGGATGCTTCCTCGGCAAAGACTCTTGCGCCAGCGTCGACCGGCACTATAAACAGTATGACGACGCCACGATCGGCAAGCAACGCTGCAAAACACGCTCTTGCGAGATCAGCCACAATTCGCAGCGTTCCCAGCCTCGACGGCTCCGAGTCCAGTCCCGACAGCAAACGCAGTGCCCTTTCCAGCAGCGTCAATTCCACCGCCGGCACCGCCGCAACCATGCCGGGCGTAGACGCTCAACAAGACAAGACGCCTTTGACGACCAGGTCAAGGCAGGACGGCGGGGCTGACACGGCGATTTCAAGATGGCATGGCAATGGTGTACGGGCCGTTGAGCCGTCCCTCCCACACGATCCATCGACGTTGTCCGAAGAGGTAGACAATGGACAATGGGACTCAACAATCGGGAAAGCTGGACTCGGAAAGACGGGACGCGTCATTAATAAGCTTGTCAGCGACAATGACGCCTTGAAGCGAGACATTCAGATCGAGCGATTACGAGCAGAGGAGGCCAAGCAGGCTGCCAAATTGCTAGAAGACAAGATGGAACGAATGGTGAACGAGTACGAGGGTCGACTGCTAGAAGCAAATGTAACAAAGACGCTATTGGCTCGGAAAGAACGTCAGGTAGAGTCGCTGACGGGTGCGGTGGAACTCGAGAAGAGGAAAACACAAGCCGCAACGACGAGCGAGAGAAGCTGGAAAGACGAACTGGACCGGGTGAAGAACGAGTCAAAGGTCCGCGTGGACGAGGCAACGAGCTATGCGCAGTTGATGGAGGGGCGGTATAACGCAATCTCCTCTCACTGGCGAGATCAAGGCGAGGAAGTCAAGCGTGCAATGACCAAGATCAAGGGAGAAATCACAACCATTGTCGACGAACGGAAGTCTGACGACGACAAGATCACCACATTGCGAGACTTGTGCGAACAACAAGACAACAATATCAAGGAACTACGGCGGGAAAAGGAAAAGATTGCTCGGCTATTTGAGGAGTATAAGAGGACTCAGGAAGAGGACTTGAAAGACATCAAAACCAACGCGAAGAAGAGAGAAGTGGAACAAGAAAAGCAACTAGAAGAGGCGAGAGAAGCCCTGCATAAGCTGAAATGGGCCTTGAACGTCAAGGAGAACGTAAAGGGCGCACAATAAAGGAACAATGACTTTTTTCTCGACAACAACTACTCGACGGGTCGTTGCTGATACCCCATCAACAAACGAAATTGGCTACAGTACTGCTTTTAACATTCCGACATGAAGATTCTACTACGGCTTCAGGAGCATGCATTCCGACATAAGATTCTACTACGGCTTCGGGAGCATGCATTCCGACATGAGGATTCTACTACGGCTTCGGGAGCATCGCATGCATTTCTAGCATCTAAAACAATACCACGCCTTCTCTCTTCGAGTTGCAGTATTCGCTTTAGATCGTCAGCTTGGGTCTTCAAAGGAGAGAAGCGCTCTCTCTCCAGGGCCAATCGCACCGCGTACCATGCCTCGCTTTTTACACCTATGCTCGCATATATGTCACCACCAGCATGGATTAACACACGTCAACAAAAAGCTGACCATTACGAAATAAGATATGATGCCGCCCGCGGCCTCTGTCCCCGATAAATCTATAAAGAGGGGGGAAATTATAATGTGGCGCTTGGCGGCGTATTTGATCACTGTTTTTCTTGCCTTTGGATCTATTGTTCTTGACACTTCTTGACACATTTTATCGACCGGATGCATGCAAGAACTATTTGGCATCATACTTATGGATTTGACTCATGCGAGTCTTGGCTTTTTGTACCACCTACACTATTTTTCAGGACACGTGCTTTTGTGAAAGGAGAGAGGAGTGCATACAGTAGGAATAGCGGGCGGCAGCGTCGATGATTCAACAGACATGGGATGGCATGTAATGTCCTTTTTCTTTAATTCCTTTCTGAACTTTCGTTGGAAAATACGCCAGATACCCCCTGTCTTATCATCAGTCAATTGCTCACCAAGTAAGTGCGTGGGCTTTTTTTCGGTAGCACTTACCGTGATCTGTTTCCGAATTCGACGTGGTGCGAGTTGGTCTGTGTATCAGGCAGGAGCAGCTGGCGGGCAGGTGACGGGCAGGTGACGGGCAGGTGACGGGCAGGTGACGGGCAGGTAGCAGCGTCTGTCTCTATTTGATATACTAGGTAAACACGATTCTGTTTCCCTCGCCTGTCTTTCTTTTCTTCTTCCATGTTCATGCAGCTGCAGCGACGAGAACAAGACTGCGACGTGCCGTCTTCGTTTTCCGCCCAACAGGTGAGTTCCCAAGCTGCATTAGAAGGATGCCCATGCTGACTCTATGGATATATGCCACAAGGGACGCAATAGAGTCCGCAGCTCATGTTTCCGTCTCTTCTTGTTGTACTGTTTCTCTCTTCTTTGCAAGCTTTTCGCTGGCTTCCCCCGTCCTCTGTACTACGTACCTACCTAGGTACCCTATAGGCAACAAGGTACTCAGCTGAACCGCGAACATTGTTTGTTGCCTCTGGTCCATCTGCTAACTTAAAGTATGGGTAAGTGAGACTTGGCCGTTGATTCGTTAGGCAAAATACTCCCGAATAAATACATCGAATCTGGTTCTGATGATATACTCGCCATGACTGTCAGCTGTTGTTGCAACCTACATCCAAGGTCCCAGAGCAACCCATTTTAGTTGGTAAGGCCAGCAGTTTTATATCTTGCGGGTTAGATAGAGCCACTGTCGTGATCTTTTCATTCAAGCTCATCACTCTGTCGTACGGTTTCACTCTGTTGCGTCCAGTTTTGTTGACACACAATGATAGCCGAAACAGAACCCCCCTTGCACTACCAGCCAAACGTGGCAAGGTGATACCATGGATTATTTAGCTTTGGTCGAATTTTATATTGCCTCAAATCCCCCTTTGAAGCGGAGTGGCGTCAAACGGATCATGAACTGGGTCGAAGATTGGAACGCGCAGGCAAGTTGCCGTTATTGGACTTTGATGATACATCTTCTCAAGCGAAAGCTGACCGAGAGCAGAACGAGCGTATTTTGGAAATCCTCTATGAACCTGAAGTCCCATGGTTCAAGGTTCTGACACCTACTCAATGGAAAGCTGAAGTTACCGACGTGATTGAAGGTTATTTGTCGAAACTCGTAGCCGAATACCGCGTCGCCGACGGCGCCTCGGGTGACCCTGCCAGCGGGCTCCTAGTTGACATCGTACCTCCTTCAGAAATCACTACTTGGGCGGCAATTTCAGCATCGAAAGAAGGCTATGAGAAAGATTTTGATAATTACAGATACCCATTCGAGATGCAATCATTATTGTACAAGCGGACATGGACTGGGTTGGTGAAGGAGAAGGCGTATACGATTAACACATTCTTTAAATTCCACGATGGATGGCGTCAGTTGGGCTTTCCTGACTCCTTGGAAAGTCTTGAGCAGCTGCTTGGCTGCTATATATCTCACAACGCAGGAGGGACGATGCTTTACATCGGCACAAGCACAGGTGAACATGCTATCACGAATGCAGTCAACATTCTGAACAATCTCTTGGAGTGCGCAGTGAGTACTTGATATGAGAAGTCAGAGGTGAGGCTATACAACTGATTTCTTTCTTTTTAGACAGCAATATCCGGCCACCTACATCATCTTATCCACAACGAGAGGGAAGGCAAAGCAAAGTTTGTCTACAGGTGTCTGTCTCATGTCGGTCTTCTGCCAACCACATACGCCTCCGGCCAGGACATTCAAATTGAACGCCGTTTGCTAAAATCGGCTGTGACTATTAGGATTGCTGAAAAAAATAAAAATGCCTGGGTAGCAGATCGGACAACTTATTCCTACAAGCAAGGCATTCGTCTAAATGCTACCAAGCCGTTTAGCGCATTCACTGGCTATAGGTACAAATGCAAAGAAGCTAGCGCCATCTCAAATCTCTTCAGAGAAGCAGAAAGGCTCATCCTTAAACATGAACAAACAGAACAGCTTGGCCCAGGTTCCGATCCTTCTACAGCATGTGAAGGCGATTCTGCGTCTTTATGCATGGGCACACAACCTACAGAAGAAGCTTCATCTTATGAGTCGCTTCTAGACACCAATGTAGCTAATCGTCCTTCGCCTCGATTATCCTCCCAGGGTATCTCTAATGATTTTTCAAGGTCAGAGGACCTCATTTGCTTTGACGAGGCTGTTAGCTGCCCCCAAGGAAACTCGCCCAGCATAAACCAGCCAAGCCTCTTGGATGACTGCCAGCCCTCCGAACTCATGAAACTGCCACCAATGTCTTTTGTGAGCATGGCACCATCATCACAGGTAACACATACTCGGTCAAGCACAAGCCTTGTTTCCTCGTTAGCTATGTTACTAATGATTACAATCAGACTTTGCCAAGGTCTCGGACTCATTGTGCTGTTCCACCTAGAGGATATGGCATTGCGAAGAACATGAGCACAAGCAGCCGTCCACCTGTGGAAGGAGAAGCAGCAAGACTTTTGGAAGAGCGCATCAAATCCTTGGCATCCATGATGCAGTTTGCCCCTGGCCGTGGCACAATTCGCCTCAAGTTTGGTCGATTTTATGGAGTAAATTTTGGCCCAGCTAAAATTTGGGTTGAAAGCGGTCCATGCTGGAAAACGGAACAGTGTCTTGATGATTTAGAGCAGGCGACGCCATCTGGCAACCTGCGATTTTCGCCAGTGCTATCTACAATTGGACCGGATGCTGACGCAATAGTCGGAACATCAACACCAATACCGATGTGGACAGACCCAATTATTCAGGTCATGTTTCAGATTACGTGCACCTTCCAAGGGGATACGTTCTTTGTAGAAATCAACGCGGATACATTCCATTATACGTGTCGAGGACCAACCGTTGAGCTAGATTATGTCCTGGTCCACTGCCCTCAACATCCATGGGATATGAAGGTGTGTGGAGATAGTTCCAAGAACTTGGATTCGTCAGAAATCCATCAAGTTTTTGGCCAGATCATTGTGAACTCTCTTCGATGTCTGTAGGTTGACATGAATGGATGCTTTGTATGCCACGGCGAGCTACTGACCTTTCCTTCTAGTCCGGCTCCGAATGGGATTATAACACTCGAGCTCACTGCAAATGAGAAACTGGGACTTGTAATCGAGGGAGTCGCGATACGCCATGTGGCAACATATTCACATGCTCATACAAAGGATAGCAATCTGTCTGTGGTAATGACGCAGAAGCTATCGCCCGGTGATGAACGGGACAAGCGTCGACGATGGAGTTTTCCTAAAAGCCAGGACGACTCTAACCCCAAAATGTGGTTTGAGGCATACCTAACCTCAGCAGGATTGGAGACGAGTATGCAAGAAAACCTCGGACTTTCTGTAGGTGGCAGACCATCCTGGAGTTCTGAAGATGTTTCATCCCAAGGTTTTTTCTTCAGCCTATATGGGCCAGCTTTAAAAATGCTTGCAAGCCTAGATACGGTCGGACAACACAATGACAATGGACAACTAAGTAAACATGGACTGACCTTTGGCGACCATATCGCAGCGGAGGTGGCGCGAAAAGGCGAGTTCAAGTTTTGGTGACTTTGCGGGGGATACGGAAAGGGGAGGTATTTTTGCCAGACACAATGAGGATTGACGCGGGCAGATGGCTGAATGACGCAGACGCAACTTTTGCCAGTTAGCTGCAATCAAGAGAATCGAGAAGACGGATGTCGGCAGGCTGTGCGCACATGACAACGTGACAAGATGACGGGTCAGTAGAAGGGAAGCCGCTATGCCGGAGTGAGGTTGGCCAAGGCTCGAATCGGATGTAAAGTGTACATGTGAGCCTTTCAAAGGGCCAAGGCTTCGCTGCTGTTCAACAGCTGCGGCCGATTCAGTACGGGCATCATGCCATCACCACACCATGACCATGATCATGATTCTGCCACGGCTGTTTGTGCTACTCGGGCTGCTGCGACTCGGGAGCGGCGGTGTTGGTTGTGCGACTGAACAAGGTCATGACGCAGACGCCGGGGCTGCCGCCAACAGCATCTGCTTGTGCTTGCATGGCGGCAGAGCGACTGAGCCGAGAAGACGCTCGCAGGGTTGACGCAAAGGTGGAAGCCGCAGGCATCAACTTCCGCAAGAAGCACCCGCCGAGGCTGGACAGAGGATGTGTCGTTGTCGGCGGCTCCGGCGAGAAACGCGCCCGTCTCGCCGCTCCAATGGTCTCATCATCTCATGCATCTCTTTGGAGTCTGTTGGCTTGCATTGACTGACTCCAAGTCCTGTTGGAGCTCAAACCATCCTGGACCTCTTGGATGGCGGAACACAGCCATGGGCGATTCGGCTGGTCGACATTCGGCCTCGGTCGCCCGCCGAGTGCACCGGCTCCGGACGAGCATCCCGAGTACCGTTTGCGCAGGCGAACGCTACACGGCTGTTCTACCGGCGCTGCTCGACGGTCAACGTGGCCGGGACGGCAAACTCAATGGCGCCGGCCATTTTGGAGATTACAACGAACAAATGTGCGTGTCATGAGGGAGATGATGATGGTCTTGGACGGACTCGACGCCTTTGGTGGCCCCGTCAGCCAAGGCCCAAGGCTGGTGCCGTCGCCGTTCGCCGTCGCCGCTGCGTGACTCGCCTAGGCCGTGGTCGGCCGAAATCGAGGGGAAGCTGGTGGTTGGTGTTTTGCAAGTTGCCCAGGCAAGTCCCGTGCGTCCCTTCGCCGAGTCCGTGGACGGCGGCGGCGGCTGACTCCGAGCCCGGATTGAACTGAGCTCCAGGCAGCACCATCAACCAACCAGCAGCCTGTGTGGTCTGTGCACCAGCACCAGCTCTTGCTTTCCCGTGCCTTCCCCAGGACCCGAGCCGCCCCACCCTCCCCATATTTTTAAGTCTCTCGACCGTTGACGTGCGTGCAATGCATGCACGGCCACAGCCACAGGCCCCTTGCAGTTATCAGCTATCAGCCATCATCTGTCAAGATGCCCGGCGCTCGTCCTCCGCGTCCTCATCCATCTCGCTCCCTCGTCCTCCTTTTAATCCCATCTCCCTCGACCTCCTTTTTAATCGCGATGCAATTCTCGTCTTCTTGCTGACCACCAGAACCTCGGCTGCTCCAAGACACCTCCGCACGCGGCACGCCATCCTACGAGGACGCACTGTCAAAGATGGGCCTCGGAATTCTCGAAGCCCGTGGCCACGCAAGAGTTCCCGGTACCACAAGATACTTTGACGACCCCAACCGTCCACATGAGGCCACCGAAACCGACCAGCGCTTGAAATCCGACCCGGCTTCCTCCATCATCCTCGTACGTTCCACCTCCCCGCATCCTCCCAGTCGTCGACATCACTCTGCTCTGCAAATGCCCCCCCCCCGGCGCCTCAGACTGCAGGCCAAGGCTAATCCTGCAACGCGCACAGGTTCCTCAACCCTCTGATGACCCCAACGATCCCCTAAATTGGCCGTTGTGGAAGCGTGATGTGATCACCTTCACCCTGTGCTTCGCTGCCGTCTTGGCCACGGCTCTCGGCGCCATTCTGGCTTCAAATACTCTCGTCATTTCCGCCTACTTCAGCGCCAATCTCCCCGACACCGCCGCGTTAACGGGCTACTATCTGCTCGGTGCCGGCTGTGCCGCCATCTTCTTCGTTCCCTCCGGCCGCATATGGGGCAAGCGGCATCTGTTCCTGATTGGCATCGTCTTTGTCGTGTTTTCCAGCGCTTGGGGTGGTGCTACCGGCAACCTCCCCCCAAGGCCTGCGGATGCTCCCTTCGGTCAGTCGCACGATCAAAAAACCCATTACAAGAGCCTTGCCGCGGCCCGCGCCTTCCAGGGCGTCGGCGCGGCCCCCTTCGAGTCTTTGCTCAACGCCGCTGTCGGCGACCTGTACTGCGTCCACCAGCGTGGCGTCCGCATGGCCTTCACCAACCTCGCCGTCTTTGGCGGTGCTTTCTTCACCCCTGTCGTCGTTGGCAAAATTACACACACCCTCGGTTGGCAATGGACCTTCTACCTGGTTGCCATCTTCTCGGCTGTCACCTTCCCTGCCGTCTTCCTCTTCTGCCCCGAGACTGCCTACAGACGCGAGTCGAGGCTCAACATTGACAGCGTGGTCGAGGAGGAGAAACTGAATCCTTCTACCAGTCCGCCCAGATCTGCGGCTCCCCAAACTGCCGAACCTCCTCGCACCCCTGGCTTTGTCCTCTTTCCGAAATCGTCAGCGATGCAGCCAATTGGCCACGCCAACACGCCGCCCAAATCCTTTGTCGAATCAATGTCACTGTTCGACGGCAGGAAGACACACGAGCGCTACTGGGTATTGTTTCTGCGGCCCTTCCCCCTCATCTTGAACCCTGCCTTCGTCTGGGGCTGCCTCATCCAGGGTGCCATGATTGGATGGACCATATTCATTGGCGTCGTCATTGCTGTCGTCTTTATTGGGCCACCGTTCTTCTGGGGTGAGGAGAGGGCCGGCTACACTTACACGGCGCCGTTTGTGGGAGCCCTGTTGGGTTTTGCTGTTTCCGGTCTCTTGGCCGATTCGACTGCCAAGGCCCTTACCAAGCGCAACAGGGGCATCTACGAGCCCGAGTTCCGACTGTTCCTCGTCATCCCTATGCTCATCGCGGCAGGTGTTGGGTTGTACGGATTTGGCATCACATCCAATGACCTGCTGTCGGGCAGGTACTCGTACACTGTCCCGTTGGTCTTCTTTGGCTTCGAAGTCGGGGGCATGGTCATTGGCACCGTTGCCAGCTCGCTGTACATTGTGGACGCGTACCGTCAGTCCTGCCCACGACATTGGGAACCCCCATCCGTCTGCTCCAAAACTGACACTCCATCATAGGCGACTTGACGATCGAGGGCTTCACACTGATGATCATCTTCAAGAACATTTTCAGTTTCATTCTGACATTTTACGCCTACGACTGGGTTATCGGCGGCGGGTTCCGGACCGTTTTCCTCACCGTGGCCTCTATCCAGATGGGCATTTGCTTGCTCAGCATCCCGCTGTGTGAGTATCGTCACCGTCGTCCTCAGCACCTTGGCTGTCGTTCTGACTCGAGCAGACTTTTTTGGGAAGCGAATTAGAGCCTTCTATGCTCGCAACGACCTTTTGTCCTTGACTCGTCTTCGGTAATCCTAATGTCTCGCACTAAAGTGTCGTTTCTTTAATCTGTTCTAGGGAAACCAGAACGAGGTTTGATGTCGGATTAATGGGGAAGGAGTTGGGTGCCGGTAATACCAGTGATTTTTTACGCATGCGCGGCAAGGATATCATGGCGTGAATTAGAGGCTTGCAACGGCGTCGTCTTACTATATAGCTCGTAATCAATCAAGCATTATAATCATTGTGGCTTACGGCCCCGTTGAAGTCTGGTCGAGTGTCAGCCGGATTATTCAGCATGGGAAGTTGGACCGGAACCTTGGGAGTCAACATTCGGGTGGGTAATGACGGTGGACCGGCCAATGTCCGCATATTTTTGTCCAATTATCCAATCATGTGGTACCTGACTATGTAAAACTCTCCAGGCACCGTGTCGCCCTTGACCGGGGGGCCTCGCTTTCCATGCGTTCGGCGTTGGCTGTGAAAACATTTTACATCATGGACAGCTGAATTATGTAAATAGTAGTCATTTGATGCCAAACATTCCAGCACTTTGCTGTATCCTGCCGCAATCCAAATGTCCCGAGGCCGAAATATACGAACAAGGGGTGAATATGGCCAAATAAGACACTAGTGGCTCTTGATGCCAGCAGTCTCGGGACCATGGTAAGCCCGAGCCAGCGTGGACTTTTTGACGAGGCGGAGACCGCCCAAGAGCATCAGGGCGGCCTGGATGCCGAAGATGACTACGAGGGTGACGAGAGCGCCGATGGCGCCGGCGACGGGCTTCGAGACGCCATTGTCAGGAGAGTCCTTGGCCGGGGCGGAAGAGCCGTTGCCGCCAGTGGCGGAGTTGGCTGCACAAGTGCCGCTGGTGCCGCCGCAGAGAGCGCACCAGTGCTTCGTGTCGGTGACGGCGAAGTTGCTCATGCCCGACTTGAAGTCGCTCCAGGAGAGCGCGGTCCTGTCCTGGCCGAAGAGGGGGAAGGTCCTGAGTTCGCTGTGGGCGGCAGTACCATTGGCGAAGAGGAATCGGACCTTGATTTCGTTGGCGCTGGGCTTGGCGGCGGTGCTAGTGGTGAAGAGCTCGAAAGTCATGGACGAGGCGTAGTCGACAATGCCGTAGAAGTCCCGGCTGACCGTGGGCAGTTGTGCGAGGCCAAAGAAGGCCATGAAGGTGCCGTAGGCGCCGAACTGGACATTGAGTTTGGCCGTCTCCTCTGCACCGTCGACAATGGCCTGCAGAGCATCCAGGACCTGACCAGCGAGGACGGAACCAGCAATGGCACGGACAGGCTCGCTGGCATTATAGGCGAGATTCCATTCATGGATGGAGGCAAGATTGAAGAGGAGGCCAAAGGTTCGGTTGTCAATGAGATTGCTGGAGGGAATAGAGGAGTTGTGAATCTTGGCAGCGTTGATGTAATCCCAAACTTGTATTCTGTTAGCACACATGTATCATACTCTTGGCCACCGTCTGGGTGAGAAACGCTCGGGGCACGCACTAGTGTAGGCGTTTTTGAAATTCGCAGCATCCCTGGTATAGGTGGTGTTGATAACCGGCAGAAGGCTCTGGTACAAGTCCAAGGACTCGTCATAAGTGCCCTGGTAGTCGGAGGAGGCGAAATAGGCATTGGAACTCTTGACGCCGTTGTCGCAGTCACTAGCTCCCTGGAGCCAGCCCTGATTCTCAGCCTTATTTGCCGTTGCCGCGTTGCCGATAGCATTGACGGGAATATACTGATATCCGCCAAGGGGAGCCTCGATCCTGGTTCCGTTGGCAAGAGTCTCGCTTTGACCGGTGGGAGGGTACAGCCCTTGCAGGAAAGTCACGGCCGAGTTGTACAGAACGGCATCCTCGGGTGCTGTGGCTGACAGCTGAGACAGGATGGGGTTGTTGCTGCTGACGCCGGCAATGCGGACTGAGGCGTCATTCTGGACGTAACGCTTGCGGTAGAAGGACCCGGACGAGTGAACCTCTTCGGCTCCGAGAGCAGTCAGGTTCACGGGAGCCCAGGCCTTGGCGGTGCGATCACCGTGGCGGTGGAAAATGTAAACACCCAAGACGCGCTCCTCGCCGGCCGAGACAAGCGCAGCGGCGACGGCGGCCGACAAGGCAATCGAAAGCTTGGATGGCATTGCTGTCTGGGCGGCCTTCTCGGTCGGAGTCTGGAGTCTGGACGCTCGGGTGTGGTGGGTGGTGAAGCACCGGTAAGGAGATGAACGTCTCGGTTGCCAAAGGTTTGGTGAAGTCCAGCCAAGGACTCACAGCAGACAATGAATGGACAGAGGATGGCCGAGCACGGGTCTTCAGCAGAGATCAAGACGAAAATCCAAAGCCGGTGTTTTGACGAGCTCCTGGCGGGGAAAACTCGTTATATACGGAGCAGCTTCAGACTGGAAACAGGTTGACGGGCAGAGAGGGTTGCACTTGCCCCGCCATCACCATCAACAAACATCATCCTTCGTTCGACTCCGGCTCGCTCCCCCACCCAGCATTGCAGCGCAGCTTTTACAGGATTCTGACCTCGTCTCTCACCTCGTGCAGCGCACATGTGGAAAACCACTACCCATTCGTCTTGGGTTTTGCGCAAATACATGTCCAAATGATATTCGCTCCCATGCCCACCCTCGAGGGCAGTCATGGGCAACCTTTACCGGCTTGAAGGACTCATGCGCACCTGTAGTAAACTGGAAGATGAAACATTTCGGGGAAGTTGCGCGGGATTAATTAATTTTCATACTAACAATATATACATGACGTATTTTATGTCATATAAAGGAGGGTTCCGTTATCGGCACGTATGCCGGACGTTGTTTCACGTGGGAAACGCTTGTTATATTCCAAGGGTAAAGGCGCCTTGCCTGGAGACTGCTTTTGGCATTCATTTCACACCTGCGGCCAGTCAGTCTCAACCCGGTCCAGCAACAACCTGCTCTGCTGTGGACGCTGCATTTCTTTGTAGCAAGCATCAACTGTCACCAGCGTTCAGTACGAGAACATTGGGTGCCCAGCTACGGACAAACCGGCTGGCCAAGTATGTACTCCGTAACTTGCTACACTATTACTGTACATTCTCACACGGTTGCGTTGATGCGAAACATGCCGCGTGGCTGGGAAGCTCGACTATCGCGGCTCCTTTCTTGGTCTATAAAATGGCACATGGCAGAGCTGTTTTACAGCTTGACCTTGGGCGCCTCACCCTCGGGGATCAAAAAATCAGGATACCCCATGCCACTGCCACTCATACCGACTGACCCCTGTCTTCTCCATGCACCACCATCAACGACCAACACGTGCCCGTTTACGTGAGAGCCAGCAGGGCTGAACAGGTACACCGTAGCATCAGCAATATCCTTGACGGTTCCCAGACGCCCGGTGGGGGTAAGTTTGGCGTGGTTCTTGAGGGAAGCCTCATCGTCTGACAGCAGCCGGGAAGCGCCCTCGGAGTCGGCAATGGCACCAGGGGAGATGACATTGCTCGTGACGCCACGCGGACCGTATTCCAGGGCCACAGATGCCATGAGGGAGTCAACAGATGCCTTGGCGGCCGCTACGTGGCCTTGCATGGGCATGCCGGTGTAGTGGAAAGTGGCGGAGACGCAGATGATGCGTGCGTCGGGGCTTTTGAGGAGGTAGGGCATGGTAGACTTGATGGTGTTGAAGGTACCCAGCACGTCGATGTCCATGACGGTCTTGAACGCGTTGGAGCTCATGCCTTCCATGGAGACGAGAAAGTTGCCTGCTGCTCCGGCACTATCGATGCGTCAGATAAGCTCTCGACATTTAGCCTGCGTTGAAGGGCACGTCGTGGCCATGGACAAGACGTTTGTGATGGCTGGATGTATAAAGCTCATGCCAGAATAATTCAAGCATCGCACTGCAAGGTCGCTTAAACCGGCGTCCCAATGTCCACCGTGCTGCAGTGTATAAGGACACTCACATGACAAGGTCGATACCGCCTAGTTCCTTTGCGCAGCGGGCGGCAGCCTCCTTCAGACTCTCAACCTAATGATGTCAATGTCAGATGGGAACGTGCCAGATAGTAACGAAGCCACGTTACGGTCAAAGATGAAAAAATAGAGAGAGAGACAGAGAGGGAAAGACAGCTGCACGGCAAAGCGAAGCCCCCATCGTGAGCAATATCAAGACACAAGGCGCCTGCAACGGAGAGGCTCTCGGGACATGTTGCACACACGTGCGTACCTTGCGGACATCGCAGCCTCCAATGCCGATGACCTTTGCGCCAGGGCGAACAGTCGCAATGTCCTTGGCAGCTTGGTCCGTCTTCTCCACGTTACGTCCAATGATGCAGGCATTGGCACCCAGACGCACAAGCGCCCTCGTCTGCATACTGCAGATGGTGCCAGCACCACCCGTCACAAAGACGACGCGACCCTCTGTTGCACAGATTCACCGTTAGCATTCATGCTATTCTTTCTTCGACCAGAGCAAGTCGTACAAGGTGAGACCAGGGGCCGACTTGACATGCCCAACTGGTCAAGAGGAGCCAATGACGGGTTGAGGGACTCACTGAACAGATCATCGCGCCAGATAGGGCTGAGATAGTGCGACTCGGGGTAAGGCATTGTGTGGAGTGAGGGCGAGGCAAACAGCTGCTCGTCTGCCCTTTTCCGATGAAACGCTAGGATCGGCGATGGGTGACGTGTCTCCAAATGCTAGTTCTGTTGCCGTCAGATGGAGAGCGTCGCGAGTTTGGCGAGTCTGTCGAAGCTGTTGAAGTTGTTGAAGATCTTGGTTGCCTTTGGAATGACGGCTGAGATGCGGTAAGCACGGCGCAATTATATGCCCCGGAACGCCGTTTTCAACGGATTTCAAGCTTTTGAATATGGCCGTTGGATGCGATGCGAGGGCGAGGATTCAGGAACCTCGGCTCGGCGGTTGTCAAAAGGTGGGGGAACATTTTGTCCCTGAAAGATTGCGGCCTGCCTATTGGCTAGAATGGACCATCAAGCCAGCCAGCCGGTCCCAATGTCGTGTAATCTCCGTCCTACCACAGTTACAAGAGTACGTGCCGATATAGCTATCTAGGTGCTTAGTCATCTGAGCTGTCCGGACGCAGTTGCGACATCACGAGTTGGTTCTCGGAACGGGCTGTACTGTGGCTCCACTTATGAGCACAGATTAGGGCTGGGGTTGTTCTTGGATGCTCATCCTATGTTTCGTCACCCCTTCTCGTGCTGCGTGCTACCATTATCCACGAGTCCATCACCGTGCCACAAAGGCTCATGGTATAAAACGAGAACTTTTGCAACTTCCCATCCACTTCCTGACCGCCATCACCGTCAACTGATCGGCGGCAACCCCGGCCGCGAGCCTCGTCAACCGTCCTTCATTTCCACTCTGCAAACCGTCCGTGAGCGTGCTACTGGCTCGCCAGACGCGCACAGACACAAGCGTACGTACGTACCTTGCTACGTACTGTACGCATATGTGGACGAAGCATACCTAACGTAACTATCCATCTGGATTGGCGTTGGAACTAGTTATTCGATCGAGCAGGGCACGCACCATGCCGAGAAAGATGGCGACTCCTACGCGAAGTACATTTCCCGACGGAACAATGACTGCCATCCGGCTGCTATCCTCATTTCGACTTGAATCCCTAGCTTTGTTTTCAGATGCTGGAGCTCTGCGTTTATTGGTGCAATTCTGAGCACACTGACATTCTGATCTACTGCAGAATAATGTGTGCTTGCTCGACAACGGTGGCTACACGGGAGCCCCATCGATCATTCATACGAGCATTCGAACCAAAAGCTCTCCATCCGTCAACCGCTCTCTCGTCATCTCTGGCCGATGAACCCGTGCTATTTTCCTAATGTTCTATCAGACAAGGATACTGACCTTTGTCACCATGGACTACGGCCAGGCAGTTTCGAGAGCGCGGTAAATGGATCTTGCACTGACTCGCCACCCGCGTATCGAAGCGTTTGAGCCTCACTGCTCGGCCAGGCTTCTGGGATGAAGCAGCGTACAACCTATTTGCCCATGAAACACGACCAATCATTATTTGCTACTAGTGGTGGCCCGTAATCGACCAGCTTTCAAACCCTGGGCCATTCAACATTGAATCGTGAACGGCCATCATCCGTTCCAGAGCCGTCTCCTCATAGGCAGTAAGTTAGTTCCGTTCTTGGTTTGGACGGGAAGTAACAACCGCCCCTTCGGTGTTGAGGTTATTGCTTAGACTGACATGTGGACATCAAAACGGTCGGCTACTTTAGCGTCCGAATAAGAGGCGCGTCTCCTGCTACTAGTCGAGAGCCCGATAATGCTCGCCCTCGTCATCTGGACGATGGCTCGTAGCATCCGCAGCAGAGAAGAGAGAGCAGCCACGAAACACTGCCCCATGGCCATGTGTCATACGATGACGACCATCAGATCTCCATGTTCCTCAATGGAGCGTTGCGGGTAGACGCAATCTATTCATTCATTCGTCGTGTGCCTGTTCTCTTCGTCACCCGGATGGCTTGATATCGACAAACTGCGACATGTTGTCAGTTACGACATGGTCATGTCCCTGATACCCTGTGATAGGCATCTCACGCGCCAAAATACCACGCAGTAGCAGGAAACACCGGACACCCCGCATATGTACGCTAAGCCACGAGGATGATCTGCCCTGTCGGCACATGTAGGCCTGCCTTTACGGTTGAATGAAAGATTGCGGATGAGGCCTGTTTGACGCTCGGATCAAGACGCTTCGCAGGACTGTTGGAATACTCCCTCGAGCCTGTCGCGGGACTTGATTCAACAGCATGTGAGATATTTACGCTTGGGGCACTAAGCTTTGGCATAATTATTAGCTCTGTGTCGGGGTCATCCGCCACCCCAGAGCAGATCTATACAGCTCAGAGGTCCGCTAGCACCACCCCGTCGCCAGCGGCAACCCAGATACCCGACTTAGTTTGGGCGCCTAAATTTCCCGTTGCAGCACCCTATAGACGAATCTTATGCTGATCCGCAAGCTTTTCCTGTTTACGGTTAATCTGCACGATGACCCTTGCGGGAATCTCCGGGGTTTGTGGGCAAAATGGAGGGACGCCTTGTCCACGCCACGCCACCTCCAACGGTATGCCTCAACATCTATACCAGCTGCTCATAATGCTACTTCGCCGGTGCCGTTTCAACTATCGCTCGGCAATCGTTTTAGACCGGCTAGGGCTCCATCCAACAGTGGCATGCATCTCCCTCCACCAGGCCCCGGAAGTATCTCTGGCCAACTATGCGATCGAATTTTTGACACTCCGGACTCCTTTTTTAGCAGGCTTTCCATTGGTGAGAAGACATTACCATCAGCAAAAATGGCTCATTGGTACAGTCCCTAAGAGTCGTGTCGTCGGAGCCTTGCCCAGCTTCGAGGTGATAGGTGTAGCAGTTTAGACGACGCAAACCCCCCCCTGTATGGCTGCTAGCATTCAACACGGGGAACGGCGTACTATTGAATCTTCTCAGAAGACGAACGAGAGCTGTCTGATTTGTTGGGCTTTATATTCTCCAGAACCGAGAGACGTTCTGGTCCGTCTTGGCACGACGAATTGCTGATGACTTGTAGTACCCACCAAACGCTGGTCGATGTACGTATTTTTGACTTGCTGCGCCAATTATTCTTTCGGGGTATCACGACGACGACATGACGACGGGCTCTGTCTCGCGTGGGCCGGGAGCTTAGTGCTGCCATCAGCAATCTCCAGCCTTCGAGCCTGCCTGCCCAGTCCTCGAGAGCCGAAAGCGCGATTCGGCAATGCACACGGAGCACTCCGCAGCAGCAGGGCAGTCAAGCCAGGGTGCCAAGTGCCGGATGAGACGCCGTTCCCAAAAGTCGGGTCCAACTCACATTAGTACTAGTAGTAGTGATTTCTTCTTGGGTTCTCCGGCCACCCTGTGAGCCCCTTGGGCCGAAACGAAACCCACCTCGGACCCCGACTCGTTTGGTCTCTTGTCTCTTCTACGACACTGATCGCCGACGCGGACTTGCTCCTCCGGCCAGCCACTCCGTGGGTTCCTTTGACGGCCCACACGCGCCCGTGAATGGGGTGCAGCAAAACGCCCAACAAGTCCCTCTATCTAACCTGGCAGAACCATGCCCCCGGGGCGGTTTGGTGACGACACGATGGCTAGCCTCTTGGGGCTTGGCTCGATGTCGAAGCCGGCGAACACGGTGCTCCACCTTTTTCTTGCCGTTCAGCCTTTGTCGTCGGCCGTGTTGACTGCTTTCGGTGAGTGTGGTGCTTGTGCCTGGGGACTCCTTTTGAACTGCGGCCGGTCCTACGTGTTGCGCCGCGGCGCGGAGACGAGATGGCGAAAACGGCAACATGGCAAGTCTGTAGAGTGCGACATCAGATTTGATTCTAGAAGGGCGGTGAGACGTCACAAGTACAAAAAATGCCGTCACGTTTCGGCCTGGCGCTTTGGTCCGAGAACACGCAAAGTCAAAGAGTGGACTGCATCACACGTGTCGGAGAAGAAGAAGAAGAAGAAGCAAAAAAAGAACAAACGCTTGCCGGTACATAGAATGACTAGAATGCTACCTGATACCCTCGTTTCCGTGGTGGGGCTGCCTTTCCCAAACTCCAAACTCCAGCAAAAACCCCGTATGCTTGCTAGTGCAAAAGTCGAAGTGTGAAATACAAACATGCTCGCCAGCGCTCAGATGCGGAAATGTTGTTGCGGGTACCGACCGTCGTGACGTGCTGCCGTTGGTGCTGGTTCCTCCTTGCGGCATCGGCATCGGAATCGGTGCGAGGTGAGGAGTGAGGGGGTCCCCTGGTGAGGAGCTTAATTTTGTTCTGTTTTGTTTCGTCGAGGTCGAGGCATCATGACAGGTGCTACTCGGCCGCTGCGTGTGCTCGCTCGGTCCCCATGCATGCGTGACTCGCGACGTCTGCCGGCATGGGCACCGCCTCGCGCCCGCAGAGGCCGCACCGAGTCATCGAGACGTGGAATCTGGCACCCTTCAAGGTCCGCCGTCAGACGATTGTCTGACCCAACGTACAGTGGTCCGTTGGCGGGATAGCATGGCACCGGTGCAGCTCGGTCACCAGCAGCACAGCGGGCAGCTTTCGGGGATGACTATGAATCGCTCGTGGGGACCCGTGGGACACGAGCGCTCTCTGCATCCATCGGTCGACGTGCTGCAGAAGTGAGCGCCGGGATCTGTGCAGGACGTGTAGATGTAATAGTTCTTGGTGAAGTAGCACATGGTGAGCAGTGAGCAGTGAGCAGTGAGCAGTGAGCAGTGAGCCCGAGGGGACGTCGAAATCGGGAGCGGAGCCAGTGACGGGGTTGAAGGACGATGCTATCCTCTCACGTGGCCATGCGGGGAATATTGATCTTGTAGGAGCAGTGCGATGATGGTAGTAATGGGAGTAATAGATGGTTGACTTGACGGGGTGCGGCGTCCCGTTATATAGCAACGTTGGATGATGACTCGAGGGAACGGGCAATCAAGTGCGACCACGACCAGGCCAGACCGGACAGGGGGGATCAAGCAGCTTGCATCTGGATGTGTCGAGTCTTGACTCGTTGACGCCGGTTTGTGTTATCAAAGGCCTCCCTTATGGTC